TATTCTTTCTATCAGTTTTTCATATTCACCTCTCCTTGATATATACAAATCTGTAAAGCATTTAAAAACTAAATTATAGTATTTTGTATGGGTATATATAAGTAACTGGCATCCGTCTTAAAACCTTTCCAAAATGAGCACACAGGAAGGAGAATGATTTGATGTAACAAATGGCAAAAGTTTAGCAGCACCAAAACTCTCCGATGTTTTTAATTAAAAATGACCTTTGTCCAAGACTTTATCTTCCATTTGCACATTTGTTTTAAAGGGCATGAGGTCTCCATTACATTTAACTCAAAATATAGGCTCCCAGACAGACACTGACCACATTTAGAAGAGCTGCACAAGAAATCTAATTAAACAAACTTAAGCATTTTGTCTGCACTTTGGAGTGGCAATAAGTTGAAAATATATAGAAAGAATATACTTGCCATATAGGACAACCATATACAAGAATCATCCAACTTCTATGCCTGTCCATTTTGCTGTTTGATATTTTATCCTTTTCGGAAAACAACCTTAAAGATGTACTAAGTAACTTTTGTGGTGGAGTATCTGTTGTTACCTGCCATAGAGATTTTATTGATTTGCCCGGAATGTTCCACGGTAGCTTTAAACATATCTATCTTGTTTTTGTTCAGTTACAGGTGTTATGTCTAACTAAAGATATCTTGAAAACAATGTACATTTCTAACTGTTAGTGGGCCCGCCACCCGATTCAGATCTGACCTGTGGCCTGGACAGCCTGGTGGCACTACTTAATTGTCTCCATGGAGACAGATAAGTTTAATGCCATGCTGTGGAATATTGTGATCTAGGGAAACCAATAACATCATGACAAGCAGGTGGCATGAAATTGCATTAAATGTCCTATATTAGACAGAATTGACTCTTGTGAGCTTTAAGCCATGTTATAATGTTGTTTCCTCATCAAAAACATATTTAGAGTTGTGATTTGTTTCCTTGACACATGTTTAAATAATCCTTTATCATTAGTCTGTCTGTATCTCAAGCTCAGAATGCTCCGTTCCACCTTGTGATGTCATGAAGTGCTAGTTGAAGTTAACAGCTCCTTTTACATTTAGTTCAGTAGATTGGGAATTCCAGGGCTGAAATCAACCAAATGATTCTAGTGAAGGTAAATGGAATTGAAAAACACAGTCGAGCTGTTTAAACTGTTTAAGAAAAGCCTAAATATCCAAGGTTTGTGTGTTAAACATGTATGAATGAAACAAAACACAACTCCAGGTTTGTGATGAGGAAATAACATTATAACACAGATCAGAAATAGTGTAATATGGGCCTTTTAAAATACCCATCTCCTACTAAGTAACATTGCATTTTTCCTTTTTTTTTCTCCCAATTATAACATCTATAACTGAATAAATATAAAATAAATCCATACTAAATGTAAAACAGCCATACTTGAGGCACAGAACACACTAGGACTGTCACGATAACAAATTTAGAAGCACGATATAACGCTACAGAGAAATAATATTGATATTATATTGACTACAATGCAAAATAATCCTTGTATACCCAAAATCACCACACTTTTACAAAGAAATTGTACACACGATAAATATCAAGCCCCAAAATATATTACAGCTTTCCTGTATTGAACGATAAATAGATAGTAATTGTCATCACAGCCCTACTGGACAGTAGAAAGTTGCACAATATGCCTTTAGATCTGAGATCTGATTCTTATAGAAACAGGAGTAGAAATAGTCTTCCTCTAAGCTCTATAGTCATCCCCCAGAGTAGCATTTAGTCGGTTGATGTAGTGCGCGAGTCAGCTGCTCCCTCTCGTCTCATCAATAGTTTATTTACCGAGCGCAGAACCCACAAAATTAGAATAAAAATTTGATTGTGTCTCTCCGCAGTGAAACCAGAGCATTCAATTACTCCAGCTGTATCTTCCTCTTGAGGCGGATATCTACAGCATTAACATTCATCAACAAAGAAATATCAGTGAGTTTCAGTCTCATGTCAGCAATTTTCAACGCTACAAAAGAAAGACAGATTTGATAAAAGCTCTTGGATCCACTTAATCTGGTCACAATGTCTCAGAGCACAAAAATCAATTCTTTATGCGTACTGTCTGTCGCTCTTGTCAGTTTTTATCATCACCTATAAATATGCAGACTGTACAAATATGTTTTACTTTGTTTTTATTTGAATTCTCTTTTGTTTAAACGTTCAAACACTTTATTACCTTTCAAGAGTCTAATTGTGTTTTTTCTCCATGATGTGATGAATGAACTTCTGTCTTCCCTAGTCACCAATACCCACTTTCATTGTTTGTTTACTTGGTGGGTCAGTGCATGTTAAAGGTGCACTTTGTAATTTTTCTAGTGAAGGGTCTCCATGGAAATTATGTTGCTTTATCTGGATGTATTCAATGTGTCCATCTTGAATTTAGTGAAAATAGTTTTTTTATTGACCTAAAAACATGCATTCTTACTGTTGATGGGCTCAGCTCTACAGTTACCTAACATGTAACTTGGCCCTTTGGCGTCACCTGCTGTCTCCTGAAAGAGAAATAAGGGTAATGCCACACTCTGAAACATTCTAGGAAACATTTCCAGCTGTTGACTCCCATTCACCCCCTCACAAACACTCTACCACTAAGTACCACCAGAGAAAAGACTTGACTTTCCAAGTACCCTCAGATCTAATTCAGTTCCAGAACTAATCTTGGCCTGAACCAGGTCTAAAAATGGACTACATTATTTCCACTGTAATTCTAAACAAGAGAGGAGGACAAAAAAGTGGAAAAATGAACTCCATATTAGGCAAATCCACAAACTGAAGAGCTGTCCAAGTACCACCTGAATGAGCTTACCAGTGTGAGAAACACGGCTCTTAATCATACACCAGTGTACATGTACACTGGAGGCAAGGTCAGTGAAGTGTCTTGCCCAAGGACACAACAACACTAATGCACCAGGCTGGAGCCACTGTGACAACTGGTGTTCCCAGTGGTCTCCCATCCAAGAACTAACCAGGCTCGACCCCGCTTAGCTTTCCAGGTAACAGAAAATTGAGCATTGTCAAGGTGGAATGGTCACTGTCACTGGCATTTCCTGGAGAACACAAGTTAATACCTTCAGTATCAGGTATAATGATAGAAGTTTACATTAAATGCAAGCCACGTGTTTCCAGTTGATATCAGATAAAAATTCTTGAAGTCAACCAATGTAATCCCAATATTAACTGAATGTAATCATAGACCAAAACCAGAACTTAGACTACAAGACTTTACCTAAACTTCCTTATGGTGAATGTATAGCTTTAATATTGTAATGTTCAGCTCATTTCTTACTACTTTTGATTTATATTAACACTGCATATTTTCATCTTCTTTAGTGATTCAGTTTCCCTACTCTAATTTGTCTTCCTGCAGCTTGGAAGGAGTTTAAAAAGAAAGATTAGTTGTCTCCTAGGAAATGTTTAATATTGTGGAACATTCCAGACAAAGCTATAATAAGCATTTTTATCAATAAAATACCTTGAAAAACATGTATTCTTACAGAGAGAGCGCATTTGCTGACCTGTAACTCTGGCCTGGTGACGTCACCATGGAGATACTGTGGAACATTCCACAGAGACAAGTAGGTGTAAGACTACAAAAGTCTTTTTTCTTCAACATGTACTTGCGCACAATTGACTCTTGTGAGCTTTAAGCCATGTTATAATGCTGTTACTTCATCAAAAACATACCTGGAGTTGTGTTTTGTTGCATTCACATGTTTGAGTAACCCTTTATTATTAGTTTGTCTACATTGCCAAAACTAAAAATGCTCTGTTTCACTTTGTGATGTCTTGAACTGGTAGTTTTCAAGTTAACAGCTCCTTTTACTTTTAGTTCAGTAGAAATTGGCAATTCCAGGGTTGAAATTATCCAAATGATTCTAGTGCAGGTGTATGAAGTTTAAAATTTAATACACAGTGAAGCAAGGTGAAGCAAAGTGTTTTCAGTTTGAGAGAAGAATTAAAAATGCAGTGTTTGTGTGTTAAACATGTGTGAATGAAACAAAACACAACTCCAGGTATATTTGTGATGAGGTACCAACATTCTAACATTGCTTAAAGCTCAAAAGAGTGAATTTTTTTAAATAATATAGACCCGTTAATGTCACCGTTATTTTGTTAAAGTGGAAGACTGACTCTGCTTAACACTGCAAAAAGAACCCCATTTCCTGTACATATAGTTCACATGCCTTCACTCCTCATCACTCTTTATGTGAACATGGTTTTTAGCCTTATTCAACACAAAACAGCCCACACTAGAAAAGCATTTTGACATTGTAATGCCTCAGCTAAATGCACTGGTGCTGCTGTGAGTTCAAACAGAGTTCATGTTGTTGGTTTTACAATCCTTTTATTCTCTCAAATCTCCCCACGATCAAATAGGGCTTCATGGAGGTATGCCACTGTGTCAGCCAATTAATGCCCACATAACAGCTGCTCCAAGAAGCCAGGACTAAGCACTGAACACAGCAAAACACAGCAGCGATTTCACCACCGGCAGACCACTTTTAGACTAATTATTCAGCACTTTGGGATGGGTTTAGTAGCCTGGATCTTGAATGTTTAATACAGGTCAAACAAAGAGGAAATGGAGATAATACAGAAAGAAGGACTATCATCAAATTCAGCCAGTGTTTCCAGAGGGAGAGATGAGAGAGGAATCATGGTTAAGAATAAACATTATGGCTCATTGTTTTGTATACAGATTAGCCATTACGCATTTACTCCCCAGACACTCTAGTGGTGTAGTGCCACAGACAACCTGGGGCAGACATCTGGAAATAAGGCTGCAAATCTGAGCTGCTTATAGTCAACTAGTGAGTATGATTTAGAGATTTAAGCAACAAAACTACTGAGTAATGGAAACAGCTGCTACTGAGGCCTTTCTCTAAAACTTCACCAGGATCATAAAGCCTAAACTACAGCACAGACCTTAACTATGTTTAAGAGGTCAAGTAGAGTTCGATTTTTATAGTTTAATTAAAAATGAAACAACATTAGAACTGAGATGGAGCAGAGCCTTGAGTAACAAAAATCATGCATCAAAATCATAAAATCATGCATTAAACAAACACATAATAGGAACATAAAACAGCTCAGCTCAATACAGTAATTCAATGTTTTCTCATTATACAAGGACTTTAAAGAAAAGCTGTGGACTGCCTCAATAGAGACAGATAAGGTAATGTTGCCACCTAGTGGTGACCAGAGCATAACAGGAAAACTTGTCAATTTTAACAGGACTTGTTTTAACAAAAACAATCACTTAAAATTATATTACTAAAACTACTATAGAGTTCTAAAGTTCTCATTGAGAGAAAGAGCGTACTAGTTACAGTGTGTAGTAGCAGCATGTAGTAGCACACAGTAGCGCATAATAGTAGTACTGTGTAGTAGTTTGTAGTACTAGATCTCAGTTGTAGTGAGTGGGTTTATGGTTGAATCTTCCTCGATCAATGCCTTTGTTTTGTGGGATGTGTTTAAAAGTGCAGTCGTCTTTGGTGCAACCGGTCGTCCGCCAGAAGAAGCACTCCTTCTCTACACTGCAGAGACAAATTTACAATTGTGTTTATTCTTCCACATTTACTCCTTTAACAGAATCATTATTTAGTTTAAAAATTCCTGGTCTGACCTGGGGGGAGTGAGGGGGTCTGTGAGGGCATCTTTAGAGACTCCTATCCCTGGAGGAATTCGACTGGGATAACGCACAGCCAGAGGACTGCCCTCTAGCACCAAGCCCTGTAAAAACACAAGAGGAAATTAATTTAACCTTTTCATGTGAGTAGAATTGGTATAGTAGTCAAACTTGTGTGCACATTAGATGTAAAAACTGCATTAAGAGATTAGATATTTCTCACATTACTGCACATTTTTTGTATTGGTTTTACATAAACATGACCTTTGTTTTATTTAAACTGTATACCCACCTGCATGTGAATATTATTTTAGTGACCATTTTATCATCATCATTATTATTATTATCATTATCATTATTATTATTCATTGTTTTATTGCTATTGTCAGTGAATTCACAAATTAGGAACTTGATTGTGCATTATGGTACAACATGAAATAATGAATAATAATGTTAACTATGATAAAAGTAAAGAAAATGGCCTGCATTACAATAAAAGATAAATAATATAAACATTAATTGGGGAACCCTGTAATTTATAATGGGAATCTATAAGAATATAAAAAGTATTTCCTACATTCAGAAGTTGAATGGCCCGTGCACTGTCCTCTTTCCTGGTGTAGTTCACAAATGCACAGTGATGCTCCAGCACCATTTTGATACTGAACACCTTCCCAGCTCTAAATTACAAACATGAAACAGTAAAATTAGAAGCAATTTAAGTGGGTCCTATATGACACAAAATTACTTTTGTGAGCTTTTAGCCTGCTACCTCCTCAAAAACATACCTGGAGTTGTGTTCGACTTCAGTCACACATTTGAGTAACCCTTTATTATTAGTCTGTCTGCATCTCCAAAAGCTCAAAATGCTGTGTTCCATCTTGTGATGTCATGAAGCGGTAATTTAAGTAAACAGTTACCTTTTCTCTTTTCTTCACTAAAGATTGGCAATTCTGGGGGTGAAATGATTCTAATGATTCTAGTAAAGGTATATGTAGTTTAAAAATATGTGACATCACAAGGTGGAACAGAGTGTATTTCTGTTTGAGAAGAACTAAATATGCAGGATGTGTTTGTTAAACGTGTGAATGAAAAAACAACTCCAGGTCTGTTTTTGGTAAGGAAACAACATGACAACACAGACCAGAAATTAGCATAATATGCGCCCTTTAAACATCTGATATTGACAGCCTCCAAACAAAGTGCTGGAAGAGCAGTACTTTACCTGCTGAAAACCTCTTGTAGAGTCACGTAATTGACTGTCGGAGCCAGAGAACCAACCCAGACTGGAAACACCTCCCTACAACAGAAAAGTTGTGACTTTTAATCAGACAATTCTTTAGACTTCATATCTTTAAACTCAATTAACTGGTGAATTACACAAAAATAAAAAATCCAAATTGTACATACGTTTGACAATTAAATTGGCATTAAGTAACTTTTTTACTACTCAAAGTGATCCCTTGTTCAACTTTATCCCCAACGGAACCACAAACAGGAATTATATGAAGAATTTGGCACCCCCAATGTCCATCCAAACTTGATAGTGATTATTAAAGGTTTACTCACATTTTGCCTTGCTTTTTAAAGACAGGAGGTGATTTATATTTTGTGGGTAATTGGACATCCTCCCACTCCTTGTTCAGAACACTGTGACCTGCTGTGGACAGCTGTGACATGTCCAACTGACAGGCACCATTTTCTAAAAGACAACAACATGACAGTTGGATCACATACAACTTTATATGTTTACCACGAAATAAAGATAGATTTACTCAATTTAAACACTGGACCACAATAAACTAATTTAAAAGTAAAATGTACTGAAATAAATCACTCATTCTGGTTATAGTAGCTGTCAGCTGTAGTAGGTTAAATCCCACAATGACAATAAAACTAAATAATAGTAGTTTCATGCTGATGACATCACGCTGGGGGTGTTCAACATGTATGTATGCATCTCTATGGTGGAACTTTCACCAGTTACTATGGTGACATAATGCACATGTTAGCAAACAGCCAAGTTTTAAAACTGTCTGAAAACTCAAGCAAAAATACAAAATGTCAACAACACATTTGGAGGGGTCTGAGCACTCATGGACTTGTTTAGGTGTTTGATTTTCAATAAAAAATGTTGAGTGTGAGTAACTGAAAAAACGTTTGCTAATGCTAGTTAGCTTGTGCCTGCAATTTTATGTGAGATTTGACTGAAGACTTGAGAGAAAGCACAAATCATTTCACTTGTTGTAGTTTCAATTAAGTCAGTACTTTCTGGTCAGACTGTGTTAAAATAAAGCTCAGATTAAAGTCTAAACAGAGCTTCAGTCAGAGCAGTGACTTCAGTTAGCGTCACCACTACAGACTGTGAATGACATCAGCTGCAAAGTATCAAAGTCCCATTGAGGTAGTTTTAAAGAGTCCATACTTCAACCACACCTTACCAATTGTATAACTACATATAAAGGCGTGGTGCACCAGAAGGCCACATCCCATTAATACTCACTTCTGCCAACCGCACCCAACATTTTTTTTTTAAATCTGGTAACTATACACCAACTCTATAATTAACAAAAGGTAAAATACTTAACAATCTTACTCTTGTGTAATTAGTGCTGAATTGTTGAAGGCTTTATTAAGATAATCATTCTAAGTGTTTTTACCACATGCCGAGTTTCCACAGTTAATGTTTACACTGGTTTAAAAGGCCATTATCTGCACTCTGTCTGTCCACTCACTATAAGCCTACGTCCTGTCTTTTAAGCCTTGAATATAGGCCATTAACATCCTCGACAGGTAATAAACTAGAACAGACATAGGGTAACGGTACAATAGAATACACGGTACAATAGTGTAACTGCAATATTTTACCTTCAGGACTGAAATTGCCCTCTCCGTTAAACAGAGCTTCTACGGCTTCTTCTAAACTGGAATGTCTCTTAAGGGCATTAGAGCTTTGGGTCCATGTGAACCCCATTTCCTGTGTCAGAGAATAACATGTTAATATTGATATAAAGCATTAATAAACTGTTATGTGAGCTCCTGATTTACCATAAGGTGAAGTGTCTGGGCCCGCTTTAGCTCCATTCTGGCCTCTTGACTTGTACTGTCCAGATTTAACACATCTCTATAGGCAAGGGAAGCCTCGTAGTATTTCTGAAAAGGAAAGATATTAGTTATCACTCAACTGTCACCCAACTGTCATTAAAAATACCTACATTGACAAAGAAGCTATGACAATAGACCTTTAAAATAGCTTGATTTTGCCCTGTATCTGTCATAGTAGCAGATTTATCTAATTTTACAACATAAAATATAAGAAATTGATCGTTTTTTTGTGTGAATAGAAACAGATATTTGAGTAATAGATCATTAAGAATGTTTTAAAACCTAGTTATTTGTTTATTTTTCAATCAAAATGGTCTTTAAAAATTGTGTTTTGGACCGCTCTCATCTTATATTTTTCCAGTTTATCAAATAATATTCCTTACTTTCCATATTGTTCAAAGTTCTTTATAATAAGGGTGTGTGTTGTTTTGAATTGTAAATTGATCCTTCAGAAGTCCTACCTTTAGACCACAAAGCGCTTTGCCTTTCCTGAACAAGCCTTTGATCCAGTTTGGCTCCATGGACAGGGAGACCTCAGCGTCACTCAGAGCTTCTTCAAACCGTTGCATTTTTTCAAAACAGAATGAACGGTTTCCAAATAATCTGAACAAAACAAAACATTTGAACATGTAGTGCTCATGTTTTAATGTTATAATGTAATGAGTCCACAGTCTTACTTGTATTCTCTTGGATTGAATTTAATAGCCTCAGTAAAGCATTTTATGGCCATTTCGTACTGTCCATTTGCAGCCAATTTGTTTCCAAAGCCTAAAACACAAAAATACAAGTTTTATGATCTCTTGAAATCTTATCTTTTACAAAGTAGCATAAATAAGTTAATATATAGCATTAAGAAATATTGATGTTCAGTCTGCATTCCCACAATCTATACAGAATAGACTTTGAGACTATAAACTGTATGGCATTTGTAGATAATATCCCTTAAAAGATTCACTGCACCAAATCATTACACATTCTCCATTTCCAATACAATCACCAATGCAGCTCTACTTCATTAGCACAGAATATATTTACGCTTTTGAACCCTTTGTGGCTTAAACATAATTTTTCAGTATTTTAATAGTTGATGTTTGTAAATAACCTCTCACTTGGAAGAAGCACAGATCATTTTGCTAGTTTGTTTACCTGCCATCTCTCTGCTCTTTTTTGCATATTCTTCTACCACCGAGTCCACAGATTCCTGGCAACATGAACAAAGTTAAAAACTTCTAAGTCATTTAAATTAACAGTACAAATAATTGTATCTTTATGAAGCCTCGACAAATGGCAATGCATGATGTTGCCTTTTTTTAATACTTTACCTCTTTATTTTCACCCTCTTTTTCTTCTTGTTTGATTACTGTGTTTCCCTTCGTTTTTACTTTGACAGGTTTATCCACCGTAAGTTGTTTTTCAGGCAGTTTAACATTTTCCACCATATTATTTTGAGTGCTCTGAGCTTTTTCTATCTTTTTAGGTTTGTTTTTGCTCTTCTTCTTTTCTTCTGGTATAGATTCAGTTATAGAAAGTTTAGAGTTTTTAAGTTCTATATTCTGTGGAAGAAATGAAAGACACAATTCTACTAAAACAGTGAAAAATAAAACTTTGCCAAATCCTCCATAAAATGTTTCACTAACCTTTGGAGGTTTATCTTTTTCCTTATTTAATATTACAGTTTCTTCTTCTTTTATCAATTTACAATGTTTTTCTTCAGTAATGGCTTTAACAGATAAATTAGGTGTAGATTTTGCAATTTCTTTATAATTATCAATATTATTTTGGTCAATATTAGTTTTGTCATTATTAAGATCTTCATTTTCAGAAGAATTTCCTTGTTCCTCCTCCTAAAAAGAAAAAAAAAATAATAATAAAAAAAGAAAAAGTGAATCAAGAAATAGTTTGACAACACTTTTAGGTGGTTATGCTTTAGCTCACTTACAGGTGAAACATTAGAATCACCGTCCTCTTTTTCTTGTCGCTTCTTTTCCTTCTTACGCTGCAAAAATATGTGTACAAAAACATGAATTAAGGGAATACAGACTGAAAACTCACTATTTAGTAAAATAAACATAAAGCTACTGACCATTTTCTTGCGTTTATTCTTAACAGATTTTGATTTACGTTTTTGTTCTTCTTCCAATTCTTTTATTTGCTCAGCCTCCTGAAAGAGAAATATTTATATTAAGAAGTTCCATAATACCCAATAATAGTGAGGAAAGAATCAAACAAAACCTTATCATCAATCTCCTTTAATTGTGGGTGAGGCTTTAGTTCCTGGGTATGATTTGGTTCATTAAAATTTTCGTCTTCATCTTCATCCTCATCACCTGAATATATCAGATCACGCTCTGGAACCACATCTATATTTTGCATTAAACCTGAAGAAAATGAATAAATTAAAAACAAATAAAATGCTCTTTATGCCACTTGAGGATGTTAAAGGAAAAAAACGATCAAATTTGTTGCAAGAATCAAAATAAATTCTTACCAAATATTCCAGCAGCACCCAGAATATCCATAAAAGAACCTGATGGACCACCGGCCTTTATGAAATCGACCATTGTTTCCTGTGTAAAAAGAAAAAGACACGGTATCACATATGCAATACAGTACAGTTTGTCGCTTAAGGTCATCTTGTTTTAGATTTCCATTTTAACGCAGCTACATCAGGGCATTATCGTACCGTTACCATACAGAAATGTAACTATCATTCCCCAATCCAGATCTTCACTTTTACTGAGAGAAAAGTTTGGTGCTTGTGTTGCTTGTAAAAATCTGATCTGGGACATCTGCTTTAACCCATTATATAAGCATATGTGTGTGAGTTGATTTGCCAGAATCATCACCTCTGCTATGGACAGGCAACAACAAAAGGATCAGATTGCTTGTGCTAATGTAATTCACGTCAAGACTACAGACAAATTAATTATTGACTTACAGTCCTCTCTAAAACTTCAACCAGTGGAGGACAATCCCCCTATTTAAAGCTTCTTGTCTCATGTAATGGCTGGCACTTTCCACTAAACACTAACCAAAACTGATTGATTGATTTGTAGTTCATGTATAATAAATGAATGGTAGAAATGTTATGGTTTTTAATTTACTGGTGCCACTACCCAACGAAATTAAACCCCACTTAACTTCTCTGAATACTAGATACTGGCCATGAAAATGTGTAAATATAGCTTGCCAAAGATCTAGTATAGTGTATTTTGGGACAACCTTTAGCATGGGCTGTCTTGCAAAACCTGTTTTGAGTGAACAATAGCGCTATGAATCATGCAGCTTACATGGACTTTCATGAGTGCGGTGTCTTCTCGAAACCTCGGCGCCCGAGTTGACACTAAATACAAAACACACATTGTTAGTAAATTAGTGAAATAGTATTAAAACAAAGATTTAAAACGTGTAAAAGACTAGGCATGCTCAAACATGTCTTGCTAAACTAAAAAAAAAAACAAGAAAAAAAAAAACAGTAGCTAGCTTAGTTCACTTTAGCTAGCTTTAAAAAAAAAAAAAAAAAAAAAAAAAAAAAACAACAACTCAACACTCCTCGTATAAGTAACAATATAAGCTTAGTTAGGTCGAATTTTCTTACCTTTAACAAAATCCCTCTTTTTCGGCATCGTGACAGTAATAGTCCTTTTCACTGTACTTCAGCGTAATGTGATATTTTGACCAGTTGTTTAGGACTTCCGTGTGAACAGTATTTTGTCAGACTGTATTTTGTCCCTGCTGCTCTGCTGCTCCCGCCTCTAAAAGGTCACACGCGGGTTTTGATTGGTTCGTGCAGGTCCGTGGCTCTAGAGCTCTACTGTGATTGGAAAAAATATATATAAAAATTGAAAGGCGTGCCTCCATAAAGACGCTTTTGCGTACCGCAAATGAAATGTAAAAAAACAAAACAAAAAACGTGATAAATCAAGTGGTTATAAGTAGAATTAATGGCAGAACCAAGTAGCAGACACAAATTTTTTTACAGTATTTAGTTTTACGATTAAGTTTAGGTTATAATTTGTAAGCACTGACAGTGCGATCATCACAAATATTACAGTTTCTTCCTTCTTCCTAGTACAAAAGTACAAAGGTACAAGGTTCATTGAAGCGATATGGCACGGGCTCCTATGCTCCTATTAAGCAATATTTACAAAAGGCAATAAAACGAAGGACGCTTTGTAATAATTTAGTCTTTTTTAAATAATATGTCAACAGAGCTAATCAAATTGCTTTTCACTTTAAATATAATTTAAATGTATTTATTATCATTTTTAGATCCGCCGTCTCTCACAGTCACGTGACCTAGCAACGCTCCTTGGAAACAGAGCGGAAGCGCGGCTCTTGTGGCGGACAACAACATCATGGACCATTTACAGGTACTTTTAGATATGTTCCCTGAAATTCTTGGCATAATAAAAATATTTTTTGCATATGCATAATCGGCATTCGTGTTTTGTCAAATATGAACCATCCCTGCTGCGAATGTTGACCATGCTTTGCTGCTGCCAGCTAGCACGCTAACTTGTGTTTTGTTAGCTCTGCTGATTTTAGAGACATCAAAAGTAAAACGCTCATAAAGAATTCACTGCTACCTTTTCATCAGTCGTTTTACTTTAGCCCCGAGCGTTCTGACCTCCAAATCATTGCAGTACGTCTGTGTGTCATCTGCAGTAACCTGTTGCGTCTCATGCAAATCATGTGGCCAACGTTAACTGTCTGTGAACTGTACCTTTAATTATTGAAATTATAACAGAACAGATAACAAATGTTGAATCTATGCATTCATGTATATTGTTTCGGGATGCCCAGAGGTCCGCGTCTGATGAAGACGCAAAGCTTCAGGGCCAGAGACCTCAGAGAGTGACAGACAGCAGGTTTCAACAGATGGAAAGCAACTCTCCACAATTTGGTAAGGTCATGATTGTGTAAAAATTACTTATCATGAATCATGTTCAAATAATCATATTTTTATGTCAATTTTAGCCTTCCAGGACAGTAACCTGTCTCCTGCTCTGTCATTGCTGCCATTGGACTCTGGAATGGATCTCAACACAGACTATTCTTTGTTTCAGCAAAGTGACATGAACTTTGCTCCTTTAAGGTAGTCAAACCACTTAGTGCAACAAAACCTCTTTTATTCAAACATGACTTTTTTATATTATGTTTTGTTTTAGGGCTTATCCAGACATGTCAGTGGCTTCTGAGAAGTTTCAAACCCCACCTCATGAGTGCACCTCTCAGACAGTGGATCAGGCCTCTTTAAGCCAGCATCCTTTAGCTCCAGAGATGACGGTTCTTTCTGAAGAAGCAGGAAGTAGCTATGGTTCCCTTTCTCAGCACAGTTTATCTCCAGAGGGTGTCAAAACAAAGGAGGAAAGTGTGCATTTAGCTCCTATTACAGAGGAAGAAAAAGAGATCGCCTCCAAAGTTATTTTCAGCGGCAATTTGGAAAGAACAGAAGACACTTATTTCCTGAACAAGGATGTCCCAGCTCAACAGCTCATGAAGATCCTTCAGAAAGATGTTGGTGTGCCCAGCAGCAGTAGTAGCACTCATTCGTCTTCGAAAAAATCTGAAACAAAAGAGTTTAAAAGTGTAGAAAAACCTGATCCAAACCTTATTCGAGAAGGTCCTCCAGGTGAAGCCTCTGTTTCCCATCAACAATCACAAACAAGGAGAGATTTATATATAAATGAGTCAAAAACACACGTATCTGATGTTTTTAATATATCTATCGGGCCTCGTTGCACTAAACCAGACAACAGCAGTGAAGCTTTACGGCAAGAGTTGTTGGACATTCAGAGGCGAAACAGTCGAGAAAATAATCAAGAACAAAACAAGACCAAAGCACGAAAAGAATATGCTACACCTTTTCCATCTAGGATCCCCAGGCTTAAGGATTTAGCCAGTGAAAATGTCAGCAGTGTTTTATCCACTGGACCATTCTCTACAGGAAATCCACAAAGACTCAGAGAACTCAAAGAACATGATTTATGGTCTTCAGGAAATCAAACTAGCATTGATGGTTCCTATCTCGGCTTCCTTCCACAGTCTCAGTCCACTCCTGGTGTTTTTAAAGCTCCTCCCAAATCTAGTGTCAAGCTTAAATTTCAACAGCTTTCTGACATCGAATCCAACAAGGAAAGCTCTATTCAAAACAGCGCAGACACATCACCCCCTTTAGCATCTGCTGCTAACGTTGAATCAAAAAGCCAATGCGAAGAGGAACCAACTTGTGAAAAAGTTCAGTCATTACCCAGTCTTAACTACATGCAGAAAGTGGATGCTTGGAGGGCTAATCAAAGCTCGGGTAAGACATCTTTGTTTGATTCCCTGGCGCTACAAGGGTTTACTGGCATCTCTCCAAAAAAGAAAGCTTATGATGCAGTTTCAGACAGTTTGAACCGCATCCTCAGTCAGCAAGTTATTAAAATGACTCAAAATGTTGCACAAAATGCCTCTGCAGATGTTTCTGCTACTTCTTCTCCCAGAAGAGAGGAAGCAGTGGGCAGCGCTCCCAGTGATAACATTGTAGCCACACAATCAGCTTCTCCATTCAACAGGTCCCAGTCTCATTCATCGCTCAGTACAGTTGTAATGTCAGTTAAAAAGGAGCAAGCCACAGAAGCACGCATAGAGAAAAATGAGACAGAGGAAGTGGAACCTCATCATCAACAAACTAATGAAGGAGAATTGTCACCTCTTGTTGTTAGTCTGAGTCAGTTTAGTGATGTGACACTCTCAAATTCTCAGGATAGTTCAAATTCAGGTCAGAAAGTCACCACTTCTATCGGGACTTCCTCTGTCAGCCTAGAAGTGGATAACTATGATCCTTATTGGACGGCAAAATTATCCACACCACCCCCACAGCACAAGCCTCGGGAGTTAAATATTGAAGAAAGAATCCCGGTAAATACAATATGAAACTTACGTTCAGGTAAAATTCATTGTGAGATATTTTGATTCAAACACATAATTTTTTTTCTTGCAGTTGTATCTTCAAAATCTGGGAATCAGTCAGTCTCCCTCCACCATCCTGACACCATTTGCCCCGAGGGGACCAATCAGAGAGCCAGAGTTTTCTCCCACGGAGCTTGGTACAATTAAAGGATCTACTCCAACTAAAAGCATCCAGCATTCTGAAGGTACATTAACAAAATATTGAGTTAATTATCCTAAGTTGTAAAATTTAGGACCTGCTTTATTTAAATAACACATTTATAACAACACTGCTTAAGTGCTTCACATATGGGACAAATAATTAAATTGATTAAAAATAATAATAATAAAGTACAAGAGAATGCACTAACATACAATAGAATAGTTATAATAGAACAATTATTTGTGAATTGTATGACAATATTATTATGATCAAAATGTTATTTTTATTAGAGCTTGATTTCACTTTCAACCTTTTAATGTTTTATAAACCTTGTTGAATAAGTAATGCTGCCAAACCATAAATCTATTTAATTGTATGTCAGTATAAAAACATACTTATTTAATTTTGTGTGGCTTTGGAAATAATGCACAGATGTGAAATCAGGTTAAACCTAATTGTTATTACTCATGCATACAGTAATTTAGAAAATTTCAATATGTATAAGGTCAGTATTGTGAACATCATAACTTCAAACTGCTCTCATTCTTTGAAACTACTATTTTAACTCTTAGGTGGCACTCCTCACAAAGCAGAGTTCTCCAGGTCCAGTCTCCAGTCAATGGACTCCAGTGTGTCTGTGCCGCTGAGCACAGATCTGATTGGACAGGATCGTTTTAGACCCGCCTCCTCTTCCTCCTCTGAAGCATCTGCACCAGTTCAAATTGACCCTAAAATTCTCTCCTATCCTAATGAAGACCTCTCCAGCCAACAGCAGAGAGACGGCATTCAAAATCCAGTCTGTTTGGGACCATCTTTAGATCAGGAGGCTGACCAAAACGTACATCAACAGGGTTCAAGCACAGAGCAAAATGCAGAGATCTCTTTTGTTAGCTCCGGTGCTTTGTCAGATATACACAAGCTACTCAGTCAAGCCGAAGATATTGTGTCACCCAGGTTATCATCTGCGTCTGATACATTTTTCTCACAAAGAAAAGAGGTTTCAGTTGCTCCTGCTTTCACCGCCGAAGACTCCAAATCTCAAAGCTCCCATCTCTGGACCAGGTCTTCCTCGGATTCAGTTTTGACAGCAAGAGAAAGGCTCACAGCTGAAAACAATCAACCCACGAAGCAAAGTGGTGTTATGAGCCGAAGTGCAGGTCTGTCTTTGGTCCTGAACAAGTCCGTCCAGAGATCAGAGCCCGAGGGGTGCAGCGCAGGACCCCCTGATGGTGTCCCGCTACAGCCCCAAGTGCAGCCGCCTAACCCCACCACTGCCATGGTAACAAGTGGACCAGAGGAGAGTAAGGAGACGTCACAGGAAAGATCACAGGTATGAATATTTATATTGTTAAAGTTTAGTGTATGATTTGTTTTTAAATAATTGAGATAAAAATTTACATGAGAGAACAAGACAGCTAGAACATTCATAATAAAATATTTATTCAAAATATTAGTTGGTTCAGTAGTCCAATCCAAATACATTCATCATGCTGTGTTCTATCTAGAATAGAGCATGGTACTACAACTTTTAAGTAGATAAAAATATAAATTGGTTAATCCCTATGACTTCTCTAATCACAGGATAGTTCTGCACAGAGCATTACTTCCTCCCCTGTCCCAGTGGAGTCAGTGAGCGACAGGAGCAGCGGCAGGAGCAGCAGCAGGAGCAGCGGCAGGAGCAGCGGCAGGAGCAGCGGCAGGAGCAAGCGGCAGGCAGGAGCAGCGGCAGGAGCAGCGGCAGGAGCAGTGAGAGCTCCTTGGCAATTCGAGTGGCAAAGTTACTGCAAACTGAGTCTCCAGCTACAATGGTGTCCAGTACCACCAGTGTGGACCAGGAGGAGTGCCGAGCCAGAGGTAAGAGAAGTTTGACAATAGTTTTATCAGTTTAGGGTGATTTATCTTCCTAAATATTTAAAAGGAAGCTTCAGATGTGTTGTATGGTAAACTACTCTATATATCAGCATTGTTTTATAATAAAACGAAAATGGAACAGCTTCAGTTCTTTCTTGTTGTATGATCCTTGTGTACAGTAGCATAATCTTATTCAAACCTTATTTTGTCCCAGTTACTATTTTGGTTTATAAATATGGTATTTAACAAGATTTACCAATAGCAACAGATGTTTTTATGCAGCTGCATTATAATTTCCTGTTTGTAACGTTCTTCCAGAGTGGATCAAGCAAATGATTTCAGGTCAAAAGTGTGAACCTCTGGAGTTGGACCAAGAAGACCGAAGAAGAATTGAAGAAATCAAGAGGGAACTGTTACTGAAAAACCCTAAACTGGTACAAACAAATCTTACAGTTTGAGGCAATTTGTGTGTCAGTGTTTTTAATAATTATTAATTAAATTATTTATCATTTATTTTAATTATTCTTTCAAAGTTTGGACTGTACAGATGTCAAAGGTATCTGTGTGATGATTGCTTTTTACTCTTTTTGGTTGCTGTGGTTCAGGGTGATTTATGACTGAAAGTAATGAAGGTACTGGCGATAATAGCTTTCCATGAACTCCTTAAAAGATGGAGTACACTTTAATGTTCCCATAGGGCAGTTTGTCCTCTGCATTTGGCTTGGTCAGGAATATCTAGCTGCAGCATTAGCCAAAAGTTAATATGGTGTGGTCTAAGTTTTTGTTTTGTCATTTTGTTTGTTTCTATTTTGTCAGATAGCCTGCAATGCAAATTTTGATTGACAGTTTGCTAATTTACTGCTACTGTTGCTGCCCGATTATAGTTTAAACTTCAGCCAACTTAAACTGTTGCTATGTTTTTTGTGTAATGCATGCTTTCTCTTTATATATTGACCACACAAACAATGAAAGTTCACATAGTTAAACCAAAAATGTACTAACCCAAGTTTAAATGATTTTGAATATAAACCTAGATTAAACAATTTTTTTTCAAAGGAGACTATAACAAAATCAAGATAATACCAGTACAAAATCAAGTGGTGGAGAGTCCATTTCCTTCGTGTCTTCATGACTTTCTGACTACTACTTTCACTATAGCTAATAGGTTAATAACGTAATGACCTTTCTTTTGTTTCCATTTCAGGGCTACGCCAGCACAGACACAGAGAGTAGTGCAGCATCTAGCTTCAGACACCCACGAGGACCAGCTCCACTTTATCATATAGACCGTCACAAATCCAAAATCCTGGAAACACAACCTGACCAGTCCAAGAGTCTTAGTCCAACTGTCCCAGAGCTTACCACCCCACGAAGAGAAGACATCATTGAGACCAAAGTTAGAGAAATTGCTGCAAGAGAAGGTGTAAATTTCCCCAAAACAAAAGCGCTGACTTCGATCACAATTTCAACCTGCCGACGGTCTACCTCCCCTTCTCCCTCAACTTCTCCTGCCCCCCCGAGGACCCCCAGCACAGAGCCACTGCATTTGAACCAGCTAACAACAGAAGATGACAACAAACTGGTCACAACAACACTGGATAAAGATGTGCATAGTCAACCAGAAGAAATAGATGAAATAGCCTTGGAAAGTCGAGTCCTAAATGAAAAAGCCAAAACAGCAGTAAGACAAGATACTGTAGGCGGACATGAATTTTCGCCTGTATCTTCAATAAGTGTAGAGCAGGATAAAACAAAAGAAGACAATTCGAAGTTGTTCAAAACAGCAGAAGTTATTGAATCATCTAAGGTTGAACAAGTTACTGCAAAATCTGGGCACATCTCTCAAGTTCGCCTCCAACTATCACCAAAACCAGTGGATCCTAGTTCTTCAATGTTTAATGTTAGTTTACCCCCAAAGCACTTCATCCCACTCAGACACTCCCCCTCCTCCCTCACCAGCCCAGACGAAGGGGTGGGCATGTCCAGTCCCCCTGAATGGCAGGAGGTTCCCAAAAGAGGAGAGAGATATGAACCCAAACGGGGGTTAATGCAGCAGCCAAGAGTTACTTCTGCAATTCATGTATCACCAAAGCCTTTAGCAGTGGACTCAGCAGTAGGTAGGTGTCAGAACATTTGACAATTAACCACATACTGGTTGATTTTTCTTGTTCACAAGTTACTTCTGTCACTTGTTTTTGTGATTATGTATTATATTGGGCTACATTTTCCTATTTATAGATGCCATTTTGAGGACTTTTAACTATTCAAGAGATGCTGAGTTTTGAATTTGTAATTTCTGTCTTCATTTTTCATCAGTCTGAAGCCCATTATGTTTTATTTTTTGCCATTTATATCTCAAAAAGCATAATTAAATTCTAGACCATGATATTACATTTAATAAGATCCAACCATAAAGAAAATTAAAATTCAAGAAAACAAATATTATGGTGAGAGCTTAATATGATTGTGCTATTAATTATGAATGTATTTTTATATCGCAGAATATATAGCTTTTTAAATTCTAATAAATGTCTTGTTGATTGCAGTGCCTCACCTTTTGCCTTATAAACCCAGCGGAAGTGAAGAGCTCTTCTATGTCCCTCAAACTGAAGCTGATTCCTCCAATGACACCACCATGGAGAGCACCCACACAGGTATGTTTAATGAAAATTTGAATGTTGTCTGTACTCACTAGATCTGCCTAAATGTCCTTTTAATTGAATTATTTAAAGAAAAAGATCTTCTGATCTTCTGACCTGAGCTAAACAAACAGTAGAATTCCCTAGGGAAAGCAGCATAAAAAGGGCTCTATTATTAACCACTATTTCAGAGCTATTGATAATTACGGTAAATGAAGCAAATTTATTATGAACATGATCCTACAAAATGTTAAACCAATTGGATTTTTTTATATATGGTGACACAACATTGATCAGGTCTTATCAGTGAGTGAGTGGTTGGTTGAGGAGCAGCTGGTCCTTTGTAACCTACACCAGCACAGTCATTAATTATTCATGTTCCAGGGCTGACCCAGACAAAGGCAGCAGTGGGGCCCCAGCGAAAAGCAAAAGAGACCTGCATCCTCACATGTTTTTCAGTTTTAAAGGGAGTTACTAGAGAAGACGATAAAACTATTTTGTATAATTTTTCTATTATTTTGAATCTGCACTGTTGTTATTGTCTATAGGATCAGATGACGCTGTCCCTCCGCGCTTCAGCAGTGATGTTTTGGGACATCAGGACCCGGGTTTGGACCGTGGAGTGACCATAAGACACACAGAGGGGATCTACAGCAAGAGACGGACTAAAGCAGGCTTCACCATGAGCGAGGAGGCAGGCAGAGGTGAGCTGGAGAGGGCAAGGTTCCTGAAGTGAAATCACACACACAAAAAATTTAAAAAAGAGAGGGAATAAAGCCTTTATGTGTACAGCGTATTGCATGATTTTACAGTCCACTGGCTCAGCTGATTTTTTTCTTATCATGTTTGTTATGAGCAAACTGCTGCAAGGGAAATAAATGTTTTATGCAGTGGAGAGATGTTTTTATTTGGTGAAGAGTAAATCTGTTGACATTGCTGATATGGATTTTTTTTTTTATGTATGTTTTTTTTAAATGCCAAAAATAGTTGCCTTTATGATTTTAAACAAAGTAGAATCCTGAAATAGAGCAGACTAAATGCATGTGTTTTAGGATAACATAATAATAACATAATGCACAAATGTTTAATAGATACTGAATAATCCATATTTATAATTTACACTTCAGTGACTGGTATCTTGATCCATTTTATTATTCACTAATGAGATGCGAAACGTCTTGCACATCTTTATAAAATAATTGTACATAATTAATTATAGCATAACACACCATAATTTGTCAGAAGTTTTACATGCATTTTTAAAATTCATTGTTGTAGATTTTTGATTTGTTTTTATGGTTTCACCAGATGCACCAATCCACGCGCCCCAAATTCCTAAGCCCTCCTCCCCTCTCTTCACCCGAGTGCCTTCATCTGACACAGAGCTCCCCACTGCCTTCAGAAGAGACCAAGGGACCAGTCCTGTCTCATTCCTCACCTATGAACCTCCTCTAGCCCCCAAAACACGAGAACCACTCAAACTTCAAACAAGACCTCATCACCATGACGACCTACCATCCACATCCAAGGAAAACATCAGCGACTTGGACCAACTTTGGCAGAGATTCAGTGAGCGGTGGAGAGGGGAAGAGGAGTCTCGTAATTTAAAAGAGAAGGAGATTTCACTGTTGGAAAGACTGGAACGCTTATCTCGAATTTTACATAGCACTCGGGACAGCACCATTTCAGAAATGGAGATGTCAAATCAGGAAGTTCAACAGAAATCTAGAAAAACAGGTGCTTTGAAAGAATTAAAAAAGCAAAGACATGCAGACAAGAGCCATATAAGTTTTCAAGATAGAAGAAGTGAAATTGGGTCAAGACATAAGCACAATTTGGACGATTTGAAGCTTTCCAGTCCAACAGAACGTGATGTTACATTGGATTCTGTGTCTTCCACATCAATGTCGACGGTTGATACGGAGAGGCTGGTCCGAGCGTTTGGAGCAGAGAGAGTCCAGAGGAACCTTAGGAGCAGCTCTAGTCTGAATAAACTGTACTCCGCCATCAGCAAACAAAGGGAGCAAGAGGTCACGACCCCATCAGAGACCAGCACTAATGAGGAGTCCTCTGTAAGTCTGCACTTGAACTTCATTAGAAATATTTATTTTCTTTTTCTTTTATTTATTTATTTTTCCTTCCAATTCTGCCATGTTTTATTGGTGGTCTATAGACATGTTTTTGTCATTTGACAGAGGATGTCATGTTGTTTTATCCATGTTGTTACTGTTAATGTTTGTTTGATTCACATGTTTGAGTAATCCTAATTTATTAGTCATCTCTACACCTCAAAATGCCCTGTCCCAACTTGTCATGTCATGAAGTGGTAGTTTTCAAATTACCAGCTACCTTTTACCTTTAGTACAACAGAGACTGGCAATTCTACGATTGAAATTATCCAAATGAATCTAGTGAAGGTGAGTTTAAAAACACAGTTGAGCACTCACTGTATTAACACATGACATCGCAAGGTGGAACAGAGTGTTTTCTATTTGAAAGAAGAACTCAGCCTAAATATGCATGTTTGTGTGTTAAACGTGTGAATGAAACAAAACACAACTCCAGGTATGTTTTAGATGAGGATACAACATTATAACATAAATCAGAAAGTAGCATAATATGGGCCTTTAGGTGTCAAAAAGTGACTTTGCTGTTTAATATATTTCTTACAGGTGGTTGTTGATTCAGCTTCATCAACCTGCACTTACACTCTACCTCCACATCGTGGTCCCTCCAAATCTCTGGTCTCTAAGAAGGCCGTCAAGCTGGTCTCAAAAGGCATTCAAGCAGGTAAATATATACAATATTCCTCTCTTCATGGGATCTTATTATTATGTATTTATGTTGTTATTTATTTGGCTAACCCTGTAGTTTAGACCTCTACAATGTTTATAGAGTGTGTGTAATCCCTCAGTAGTCCAGGTACAATCCATTGCAAAAGTGCTTCAGAGTAATTTTATTGTAGTTGGCTTCTCCCTTCAAGCAGATAAGGCAGTATCCACCAGCATCTGACCAGAAACGATGAAGCCGCTTGCATGAGCTGCAAAACGTATTTGATCAGAAACATTTGTCCAGTAAATCAGTGGAGACGCCCAATTTTCCTGTTTATTTATGAGCTTATCAAAAACATTCAGGTGCATGCTCACAGGTTTTGATGTGCTTTTCTTTCCGTATTTTCCTTAGGTGATCTGGAGATCGTCAGTAATGGAACGCGGCGTCACACTCGAGATGTTGGGACCACTTTTCCGTCTCCTAATGACATCAGGAGTCTGATACAGAGCTCCTCCTCCTCCAGTCTGGACCGAGAGCACAAAGCCCCCCGCAGTACCCCAACCAAGACCCCAAAACACAAGAAGAGCCCCTCAAAACTATATCCACACGGTAAGATCAGTGTACTCTAACAACCACAAGAACTTACTTTATTACCCTGAGTTATGAAAAAAAAAACAATAAGAGAAACACAACAAGGTATAGAGCCCATAAATAGCCATAAAAACTACTACTACTTTTTTTTCTTTTTAAGTAAGACATATGGCATTATTATAAAGAGAAAAAAAAAGATGTTCACAAAAGGCACAAACTCCTGCCAAGGCACTGGTCATTATCTTGCAATATAGTTTACAAAGGTATTCATATTCTGGGATAAATTTAACCACATAATGAGCATTTTTAGAATATATTAAAATGTATCTTTAAAATTAGAACCTTAAGTATTTGGTCATCTCCAAACATAAGAATCATCATATGCATTTCTCATAATGGAATATATCCATTTTAGTGCACATTTTTTAAATATATCTTTTTTTTTTTAGATATGCCTAAAGGTATACTTGGCAACTTTTAGTTGGGGGTCCATCACCTGCTTGTTTCTATGGATATGTCTTTGCTCTGCTTGGAATGTTCCACAGTATGACATGAAACAGCTCTATCTTGCATTTATTAAATTACATGTGGTTTTATTGCTCAGATATACCTAGAAAAACATGGCATTCTAACTGAGAGAAGCTGCCTCTCCCCAGATCTGAGCTGTAACTTGATCTCTTTAGGTCTGCATGAAGATAGAAAGGTTTAATGCCATACTGTCAGACCCTCCACCAGAAAACCTTTAAGTATTCACATATACTATAGCAGTTGAATTACAGCTTTATTTTATGATTTGTAGGTATTTCCTGGTTCATTTCCGCTGATGAACTGAAAGCAGAGGCCCGTAAAGAAAATGAGCCGGAGGAGTGGAGGCCAAGCACCGTGTGGTTTGAACCTTTGAGTCAAAAACCTGCGTGGAGAGAGCCGCTCCGACAGAGACCAGTGCAGGAGCAGAGGAACGTGCAGGAGACTGAGACTGAAGCAGACCCAGGGAGAAAGAAGCCCTCCTCCTCCTCTGTGTCCCGGGTCAATCTGCAGGTCTGTTCATTATTACATGGGTTTAAGAGGGCGTCACTACATGAGTTTCAGAAGATGGTGGAAAAGTTAGGACCATTACCATAGCAAATAACAATTCAAAACAAAATATATCTCTTTAACTGTCAAGGGCAGGCAAAATATTAATTGTTAATATGCAGGTTTGTGCGGTTGGAGAAAAATAGCAAGATCAATTTATCAATAAAATAAATGATTACATGAGATTTAATATTGGATATTTCCTTTACTAAACCTTACATTGATGCATTAGTGTCATATTCCACAACTTGAAAATTACAGCAGGGTGGAGGGACCTGCTTATCTCCATGGGGACTCTTTAATGCCATATTGTGTAACATCAATACTGACTTGCTTATTTATTTTGTATGCTTTAATTTAGTTAATGTATTAATTTATATCATGCCTATCGTGACTCTGTACAGCACTCTGGAGACTTTGTGTTGGTAAAATGTGCTATACAAATAAATTTGGATGGGACTGGATAATATTTTACAGGAGACAAGTAGAAAAGTATAGTGCACCTTTAAGCAACTCAGTGTTTGTTTAGCCAAGGTTAATGATATCCTATCTCCTCATATGACTAAATATCATTTGTGTTAAACTCTTCTTAAATTGCTGAGCTCAAATATCTGCTTTTCTTTGTTCTGTTTTAGGACGCGTTGCTTTCAGGACGTCCTGATTTTGTGTCGCGGTCTCGTCAGAGGTTGGAGAGACTGGCTCTGCAGGTGGAGGAGAGGAGACTCCAGGCCCTCTTTAACCAGGAGAGAGAGCAGCTGTTTATACAACCAGGGGGACCAGGGAGGCTGCCTAGACCTGCAGGTAATGTAATTGTCTTTTGTGTTGTGTATTGTTTTAATACATGGAAAAGTTTACACATTTTCTCTTTCAAAGGCACTGCCCAGTTGAGGAGAGCTGTGCCCAGGAAGGAGATGATCCAAAGATCTAAACAGTAAGTAGGCTTTTTTTAAATAGCACTTAAAATACTTAAGTTTGTGTTTAATGAGGCATTTTCCTTTGTTCAGAATATACCTTTCCACACAATGAAAAATATGAAAATTATGTTTTTGTTGCAGGATATATGAGAACCTGCCTGAGGTGCGCAGGAAGAAGGAGGAGGAGCGAAGGAAAGCAGAGTACAGATCATATCGACTCAATGCTCAGCTTTACAACAAGGTTTACAGTACAGAAATGATGCACGATAACTACTGCTCTTAGGTGATTTGTGTCTAATTTCTCTCTTTTTTTCTTTTCTTTTTGTCTTTTAGAGAATTACAAACCGAGTCCTGGGCAGAAGAGCAGCATGGAACTAATGTGAATCTCAAATTAAAATCATCTGAGACTTTCAAAACAAGCTACCTGAATGAACTGTTTCATGTAATATTTATGTGGCCTGATTTTAAAGATTATGGTTTTAAAAGATTTTAGTGTTTTTACATTTCTAACAAAGCTTTTGTAGTAATTCAGTGCCTGAATTTTAGAGAAATTTTGTATTAAAAGCATTTTGTATCATGGATGTATTGTTTTATTATTTTTTTTACAAAAATGGCAATACTACTCCCTCAATAATGAAAAAAAATCCTTAATATAAGAAATTGTTGTCAATTTGGAATAATAATCTACATCACTAAATCATTAAACTGTAAAAACACAGACAATAACAACTAAGCTAGCCTGATTCCATGGCAAGTAGTGCTCATAGCAACCAAAAAAATACAAAACTATCAAAGTAATTGTTTTTTGTTTTTTTTTAAGAAGAAAACAAAATTTTTGCTTTAAATGCATTTATTAGTTGTGCAAGAGCTGAAAGCCACACAGGAGCTGGAATAGCTACAAGAAAAATTAAAATGTCTAGTTTTCCTTAGCGACCGTCACTCATAGCAACCACTAAAATTTAAACTTGAGTAAACAAATTTAATCATGACGGTAAAAAACATGGTAAAATGTTCTTTGGCAAATGAGGTTTAACACTGAAATGAAAGGCTTTCTGAATTAAGGCATGAACAGACTCACACATACATTTATATTAAATTTACAAACAACATACAAATGACACTCCTCGTAACAGCAATAAATTAAAGGGCTTAACACCACTATAAATACTGCAATAAATAATGCTCCAGTAGTCAGCCACTTTAAAGTAACAACATTTTTCAGCACTGTAAACTACTTTAAAACACCAAATAGCAATAACATTATGACAACTTATCTTCTACCTTATCCAAATTGCAATCTTTTCTATCAGAAGTAGCAGTTTAATTTAGTTTATTTTCCGCAAATAGAATCCGTCTTTATAATTAAACAAGTGAATATATATGGACACTATAAGAAGCTGTAATTGCTTGTAGAATAGGGTTTACAATGTTCAGCTAAAATCTTGTGTATGTTTGACCACTTTGATATTAAAGGATATTTTAATTGCTACCTTTGCTATACCTTATATTAAAAGAAAATGTATATTATATCATTAAGCCAATGAAGAGCAAGCAGTCATAAAGTTGTTGCTGATAGGTGTATAAATAAAGTTATTCAGTTTCAATGTAACAGTTATTCCCATATGGTGTTATATTTAGGTTGCAACATAATGTTTTGTGCAGTTTCACCCTACAGCCCACCACTTGTGCAAAAGTAATAAAAGTACATGAAAATGCCCCAGACATAATAACAAAAAAAATCTAAAATCATGTAAGTACTTTCCCTTTTCAATTGCTCAAAAGTACATTGGACAGTTGCACCTTAAGTTTAACCTACCACAGAAGCTTCAATATCCTTAAATGTTCACTGTAACTTTTCCGGTGGAGGGTCTCTCACCCGCTCCACCACAGGGCCAAGTTATATGTCAGATTTTTGGAGAGGCAAGCCAATTCACAGTAAGAATGCAAGTTTTTAGGTCAATATAAACCCATGTTAATGAGTAAATGCAAGATGGATATGTTTGATGCCATACTGGGGCATTCCAGACAAAACAATAACATCTCCATGGAGATAAGTAGATGGCAGATCCTTCACCAGAAAAGTTACAGTGCAGCTTTAAAGTCGACATAGAGGATGTCCATTTTTCCAATTTTTTACCTTTTTAAAACATCTTGCATACATAGGGTTAGACAACAAAGAGATGCCTTTAAGAGTTTTAAAGGAACTTGGCAATACCTAATTAAAGGTGTTGTACCTGATTTTTACTGTCTCAAAACCATGAAAAACAGAACTCGTTCATTTTAAATGGTTTGCAGTGGTCAAAAGTTATTCCTCACTGACCTTTCAGCATTCAGAGTATCATAATTATTCACCGTGATAAGTTTATAAACACTTTTCACCAGAGTGAAGTTTAGCTGTTATGCTAAAGCTAACAACAACTAGCATGCTAACTGCGCACTTCCTGATTCTCTATAAAATAAAACTCTTCATAATTAGATGCAGTAGATGTATTTTGACCTCAACAGCTGCTTATACAATACATCTGTACTCGGGCAAGATAACATTTGCACCAATACATGAAAAAAAAAAATCTGACACAGGCCCTTTTAGATAGTTTGGGCACTAAGACATTAGCAGGATATTGTCAGGATTTTGTCAGGATTTCATGAAGTTTTGGTCCGGTCTTTATGTGGTTTGGAGCAGACTGTGGACCCTGTGGAGCTGGTTTGGGGACAGGACGAGGCGGTGCACCTGCTCCTGACCTCTGGGACATGGAACCATCACCCGCCCCACCAACACAGCATCACCCAGCTTCTCCTCCTTTGCCTAAACAGACACAACAGACAGACAGTTAAGAAAATGTTTATCTCAACTATTCTTCTATTTAAAAAAGCATATATTATATGCTCATTATATACGGGGGACAAAAATCAGGTTCCCATGATATAAAATTCAGTACTATTAGACCAATAACATGAATTTCAGATATGATATATCATTCACTCTAATCATGTGGATGTGGCAAAAATAAGTTTATCAGATATGTGGATCTTATTTCAAGACTAAACAAATATTCATTTTCATTTTATCTAAGACTCACCTTGACGAATGGAGCTGATGGAAATGTGGCAAAGTCTGATGAGACTCGAGCTCCGGGGTGCTGATTCACTACATGCTCTGCCACTTCATCCTGAGAGACAAGCAGTGGGAAAAAACGTAATTAACAAAAATATGTAAAAAATATAGTAAAATACTGTAATATAAAAATATAAGTTTGTATATTACACTAAAGTGACACAGTTTTACCTTGAGTCTGTCCAGAGTATCTGAGAGAGACTGGAGCCGAGCCGTCTGCTCCAACAGCTGAGCACTCGGGGTCACTGAAATAGTAAATGAAAGAAAAATATTATATTATTAGAAAAAATATATACATATATATTAGAAAATTAAATAATGAATATTAGTTATCATGATAATACATTGGAAAATATTTTTTCAAACTGTAATATTATAAGAAATGTAGAAAAAGCAGAAAAGTCCAATTAATCATATCATACTAATCATACTAATTAACAACACTTTCCAATTATATTTTTATATGGCTATACATATAAGATTCTGTAAACAATCACCAAATAGTGTGCTTAAATTGAGGTATTTATATAACGTGGTTGGCAATTTGTCCTTGTCCTCCCTGCCACCTACTATCTATCCATATTAGAGTCTGATTAAGTAAGAGCATATTAAGTAAGACATTATTATTTTTAGTTTTTACAACTCACAGTAACTTGTCAATGTGTAAACTGAACAATTAAATAAGTCAGTATTCAATAGGGAAATAATACTTTGCTGTTATATTAACATAGGGGCAATTTACCAGGAGATTTCCCAGTGACATCCACCACTTTGACATTGGCACTCATCTGCAACAGAGTCTCCAGCAGTTGGTCTGTTTTTCGGTAGAGGGCACTAGAGATCACTTCAGGGGAGCCTTTGGGGGGGAGTTTAGTCACATGTAGAGGAGGCAGAGATGCCAACTGGGCTCGCATCCTCTCAGCCTGAAACAATAAACAATCAAATCAATCAAAATAGTCCAAACTCCAAACAAACACTTCAAACTCAAATCATTATTTTATAATTTGCACATTTTAAGCAATAATCATCTAAAACAACTTAACAAAAGAAACAAATCCACTGACTTCACGCTTTCAAGTAGCAGATAAACATTTTTTTTTTTTTCATTTGTACCAAAATTACTACACAATGAGGCCAAATCTTACATGCATCCCTGATTAAGGTGATAAACCTGGGCTAGTGGCAAGAAAATTATGTACATTGTTGATAAGCAAAAGGATTGAGAGTGATAAGGCAGCTTTTTGCTTCATGTTTAGAGTTTTGGCGTGCTTCAGCCTTTACTGATACAGGCTGAGAGCTATTCTGATAACTGTAGTTTATAAACACAGGGGTATTATATAGTATTGATTGCTTATTGATTGATTACCTTGAGCCTGTTGTTCTCGTTTTTGAGTCGTTTGATGCACAGTCTCTGGACTTGGATTTGTTGAGTAAGCAGAGGAGAGTCTATCACCTGGAGGCCTGAACCTGAACCCAGACAGGACACTGTAGTGGCTGTAGAAAATGACAATTAATATAGCATTAAATAATACTGTTAATCTAGGATAACATAAAATATGATTGTTAATATGGCAGGCAAAAAATCAAACCCACATAAATACAAAGACAATTTCTTACTGTTTTGGTCAAATCAACCAATTTGAAAACACATGCAATTCACCATGCCACAACTCCTACTAATCAATGCAGCAATCCACAGTGCATTAACAAACTGAAACATGGGAAATGTTCTGAAAACTTTTAACACATAAAACTCAAATATATGGAAAAAAATATCATTTAAATAGTAACAAAAAAGATTAGACTCATGCAGTTGATGCCAATCTTCAAAATGATATATTCTAAAGTATTGTAGGACACAGGTTCACTCAATACCTTTTTGTTCTTCTGTAGATTCAAAGCAGGAGTTAATGGAAGGAATAAGGAAACATAGTAAATAGTTGCAAATAGGTAAGGGCCATACTGACAAAAAAGTATATCTTGTTATTTTTTTTAAATTATATATTATGATTATACTAACAGTATTTTATTATTGTAGCCTACTAAGAGTAATTGTAATAGATTAATAAATTTTGTCTTTGCTTGTCTCTCCTTTGCTAATTTTAAGCACGATCTTCTCTCACCTCCAGCGCCCCCTGTGACGATAGAGGAGATTCCAGACTGGGCTCCTCCTCTGACCCCCTCCACGGTGGTCTTGGTCTGACTGTTCACTCTTTGCTTCAGCTCGGCCTTCTCCGCCTCCAGTTGGTCGATATCAGCCTGGAGCGCGTCCATCGTCTCTTCAAAGTCCCTGAAACACACAACACATGAAAGGTCCTATATTACGCAAAACTGACTCTTGTTAAGCCATGTTATAATGTTGTTGCCTCCTCAAAAACATACTTGGAGCTGTGTTTTGTCTCATTTGCACATGTTTGAGTAATATTTTATTATTAGTCTGTCTACATTTCTAAAGCTCAAAATGCTCTGTTCCACCTTGTGATGTCATGTGGTGGTAGATGTCAAATGAATAGCTCCTTTAACCTTTGTTCTGTAGAGTTTGGCATTTCCAGGGCTGAAATTATCACAATTATTTTAATGAAGGTTTAAAAACACAGTGGAGCACTTCCTCTATTACCAAATGACATCACAAGGTGGAGTGTTTTCAGCTTGAGAGAAGGACACAGTGTAAATATGCAGGATCTCTGTATGAATGAAACAAAACAAAACTCCAAGTATATTTGTGATGAGGAAGCATTATAACATAGATCAGAAAACAGCATAATATCGGCCCTTTAAAGCCATACAGTTCACATGCACTTTCACACAGGGTTGAATCACCCACCCCAAGAGAAAATTCTTATAAATATCCCTTTAGGAAAATTAATGGGGGTAGTGCATCAGCCTGGGGACCTATCTCATTATGTCTCATCCTTGTACATATTTCACATATGTAAACAGAGCCTCACTTCTCTTTCTTCTTGAGCAGAGTCTGAGCCTCGTCCAGTCTCATCTGGATCTTCTCCACTCGTTCATCGGCATCTTTGGATGAACTGTCCAGTTTCTTCTCCAGGAGACTGAGGCGCACACTGGCCTCACTCAGCTCCTCTCCCTGGAAAACAATGGAATTTAGAGTAATTTTATTCTAGTACCACCACAAACTTTTAATGTAGTTCAAAAAGTTAAAGTTAAGGGTGCATTGTGTAACTTTTCTGGTGGAGGGTCCGTCAAATGCTTTTCTTCATGGAGATGTTACTGTTTTGTCAAGAATGTTTCAAAGAATGGTATTAGTTTATTTTCTTTAGTTTAGTTTACAGGGACCATGTACAGGAGCATCAATCAAACAAACATTAAAGAGATGCTTTGTACAAGACTGTAGCTCTCAGAGCTAATTTCCATCTGTAATATTAAACCTTTCTTTCTTCATGGGGATCAAACCAGACCAAGTTACAGGTATTTTTGAGCAATAAAAGCACCTGTAATAAATGTAAGGTAGATGTGTTTAATGTCATATTGTGGAACATTCTAAGCAGAGTAATGACATATGCCATAGAAACAAGAAGTTAACAGACCCCCAGAAGAAAAGTTGCACAGTGCACCTTTAAGATCATTATGTGAATCTAAATATGCTAATTTAGAATTCCCTATATGATCTAATCAGGAATCAGGAGAGTCACTGAGGCTCAACCCAAGCCACACAAGATAGAGACCCCTTTAATTTACAAATGTTAGATGAGCCCTATGTAGCTCAAGTAGTTCTTCATTTCACATCTGACTAGAGAGTTTAAAAACAACATTAACAAAAAAAACAATATGGTCTTGGAAAAACAGAAAGAATATATGTGTAATTTGGTCTTATACCTTGATTTTGAGGGACTTCTTGAGCTCTTTGATGACGGTCTCTCTGTCCTCCAGCTTCATGCCCAGCCCCTCTGCATCTGTGATCTCAGCTCTAAGCGCCGCAGATCTGAGGTCCACGGGAGGAGGATTCTGGGAAATAAAACAACAAAATCGAGTCAAACCAGACAGCAGTTAACAACTGTCCCCTTAAAATCTTAAAAATGCACCTAAAAAACCTAAACTAAAAAGCAGTAGTTCTGTCTGCCCCTACCTTGTTTTGGGGCTTTTCAGAGTCGTACTCGCCCTCCTGCATCGCGGTGGCCATTTTGTTCATGGTGGCGATGACGCTGCCACAGGATTGACGGAGATATTCATGTGGGTTGGCACCTTGAGCTCCATAGATCTGGGACAACAAAAGTCTTTTATATCATTTAGCAATTATAGCTGATATATAGGAAGTATATATTTACATAATTCTGAGTAAAACACCAGTTATTGTTTAGCACCAAAAAACACCACAGAAAAAAATCTCAAACCCATTATCTAAACTGTCACTAAACCAGATTAAACCAAGGTTAAACTCAGATAATCCAGGACACAGTAATGTCCAAAACAGGCTAAACACGAAGTTAACTAGACATCAAATGACTGTTAACCAAACCAGCTTTAAAAACTACTCCTATAAAATAGAACAAAATCCTAAAATACAAAAACTCATTCACTGCTCAGACCTGTTCTCCAGCCTTAAAAGCCACATCCTCCAGTTTAGCAGCAGACAGTCCCTCCTGCTCCCCCAGAGGAGACACCATCTGGGCCCCGGCCGCTGCCACCTCCTGCAGCACTGCCACCACCCACGTCAGGTGCTTCCTACAGTCTGACAGAGTGCCCGAGACCTGGGGAGGAGAATGGATTTAAAAACAGGGATGGTTAAATTTTACAACTTAAATGTATGCATTAGTTCAGTGATTAATATTTTAGTTTTTAGTCAGATGTTAATGCTTATTTTAATATATATCTATATCTATCTATCTATCTGTCTATCTATCTATCTATATATATATCTATATCTATATCTATATCTATCTATATATCTATATCTATATCTATATATATATATATAATTCTAAAAGTAAATTGCAATTCTTGCAATTTACTTGCAATTGTAATACTGTTTTTGTAAAAACTGCAGTAAAGTACTTCTCATGGATACATCAATTTAACAACGGTGGAAGTACTCAATTTTGTTCCTTAAGTAAAAGTACAGATACCAGAGCAAAAAAAGTATACAGATACCTCAGACTGATGAAAAATAAGGACTGTTGCCAAGGTGATTAACAATATAAAACAAAATATGAAATCTGAATGTGTTTCTGCTTGCTGTTTTATGCAAAAAACAGAAGTCCCCTTCTATAATATTCTATTTTAAATTGTCAATCGCCATAGCAGCTGTCTCACTTCCTCATTATTCTAAAGCCCAGGGATTCTCTTGGAGCCATGGTTACCTGTGGTCCAAAGCTGAGTGCTGCTGGGATACCGGGAGCGTCTGTACCGGGCATTCTGCGTCGGATCTTTTTACAGAACTGTCTGATGTCGGAGCAGGAGGTCCCCAGGTCTCTGAGGAGCACAGCCAGATCTGTCTTCTCCTGCCCTGCGTGAAGGAAGGAACGCAGGCGAGCCACCTCCACCGCCATGCAGTCCAACGCACTTTGAGTAAACTATACACACATACAATTATGAGAAGACTTAATTAAAGAGACTCAAGTGATGATGTAAAGCCTATAGCTTGTCATATTACAAAGGCATTTCACTAATTTGTGTTACTAGTACTAGGGTTAGCAAAAAAAAATAAAAAATTTAACATCAAATTAAACACAATCACACAAATAATAAAATGAAGATAAGTTGTTGAAAAGTATACTATCATATTTAAACATCTTAAACTCACTCTAATGTGATCTGCCAGCTGTACAGTGCAATCTTCAGGTTGGTCTGCCAGATGGATGCTGTACAGTTGCTGAAAAGGGACAAAATGTTGCTTTTATTAAGTTAATACAATTTAGAATGATATAACTCTTTCACATACCTGATAGTACTTAATAGCTTTAGTGAGAGGCTCCACATTCACGGTCTCGTCCAGTTGGTCTTTGTGCAGTAGGTCAATGAGGAAGTCCAGAGAGCGTTCGTGAACACTCATCTCTGGATACAGGGAGCCAATCTTCTTATAGACCTCCACACTGCACCCTGACAAAGCCCTAAAGCAACAAAACAAGTGATTTAGTACTGTATACATCAGACATAGTAGTTAAAGGGCCTATATTACACTATTTTCTAATGTTTCCTCATCAAAAACTTACCTGGAGTTGTGTTTTAATACAAACTGTTTGAGTTCTTCTCTCAAACGGAAAACACTCTGTTCTACCTTGTGATGTCATGCGGTAATACGAGAGGTGCTCCTCTGTATTTTTAAACTCCACATAATTCACTACAATAATTTGGATGATTTCAGCTCTGTAATTGCCAGTAAAAAGTAGCTGTTAACTTATAACTACCACTGCATGACATCACAAGGTGGAAGGGAGCATGTTGAGCTTTTGAGATGTAGACAGAATAAACCAGGATTACTCACACATGTGTTAATGAAACAAAACACACCTCCCTTGTAGTTTTATAATGACATCAACTCACTGTTCATATTTGTGCAGTGTTGCCTGGAGGAGACTGAGAGAGTAAACCAGGCCCCCAGCGAAGCTCAGCTGCTCCCCTGCTGCCCCCTTCAGGCCAGTCCGCTCAGAGCAGTTTTCATTCAGGTCAAACTTCTCTCTGGCCTGTTTGCTGATCAGCTCTGCCTATAAATGATAGAAAAAGCAGTGTGAATTTTACATACTATACAGAAGGATTTCCAACTGTCTATAGCTCAAGTCTTATTGTATTACAACAAAAATATCAAAAATCTTCCCACTAAAGCAAAGAAAATGTACCCACGATAAATATTGAGTCCCAAAATATATTGTTCCAGCTTTCATTTATTGTTGATATAGTTGATATAGTAATTATCACAGCCTAAACATCATGGTTTTTGTTGTAAGACTACCAAAAGTCACTAGTTCACTTAACACACACGCCTTTGTACAGTGAGACAGACCTTGCAGATGAGCCTGGGGATAAGCAGTAGCACCAGTATACAATCATGGTCTCCTCCATGACGCAGGAAGGACTCAGGCATAAATGCTGTCAGTAAAGACACATGTCTGTTTGCCTGAGACACTTCCATCTGCCTCAGCTCCATCTCAATGGCCTGGACAAACAAAAGAAAAACAACATAACTACATTTTCATGACTGAAGATAAATTTCAGATACACTGCCTAACTTTTCTGGTGGAGGGTCTGTCGCCAAACCTAGCTCATGCCAGATTGATATGTGTATCACTCTGAATTGAGTTCTACACATTATCCATCTGGAACAGCTCTCGCTGAAAGTGTTTAGAAAACGGAGGAGCTCACAGCAGAATGCTTCGAGCTGATTGAGCGATCCACCCCAAAGTGCCGACCCACCAGTTTCTTTTTAGACTATCATGGAAAACCTGTCAAAATGATGTATCCAACTTCCGCCAGGTAAAACCAAAACAAGTGTCATACTGGAAAGGAAGATGTCGATAAATGAATTTAGCCGTTTTTACAATACAAATTTGTGCACTAAGGGCATTAAAAGCCACCATCTCCATCCACCAGCACTGTCATATTTGTTTTGCACCATGTAAGCCATAGTTCATATTATACCTCTATGGTGTAGGCTTAGCTCCTTGGGTTGTCGTCATGTTGCCTGAAACTCCTCACCGTGCGCATAGAAGGCCTGTGATTGGGCCGACCACTGCTCAGGTCAAATGAGTTTAGGAACTTACAAATATCGCGAGAACCCATTTTGCTGTGCAAGGTTATTTGTAACCTCCTTGTCTTATGAAAATGTTATTGCTTTGACTAGAATGTCCATGGTATTCAAATGTCAGCAAAGAGTATCCCGTATTTAGCTTTGTAAAATAGGTACAAGCCCGAGGCACGCTGGTTATATTAAAAATGGGATGCCAACTGAACTTATCCTTTGAAGCACTGTGTACTGTGTACTCTGTGCTGTGATTTTAATATATTTTATGATGCAGCAAATGGTTCTATCCCTCATCTTAATCTGTTAAGTATTTTCCATTTTACTCACTTTACTGTCTCCATGGAGATTCCAAAGTTTTTTGCAATTTTGTGGAATATTCCAGGTAAAACAACAGTTCCATAGAGACAAGAAGGTTTCTCTTGCTCCCACCTTTTAACTTCACTCTTACCTCCTTATGTCTAACCCTTTAATTCTAATTACCTATTATTCTAGCAAGCATTAAACATTTTAGAATTAAATGAAATTAAGAACCAAATGATGATTATCGGTATGATGTGTATACTTCATCCGCATATACTGCAGCCTAGGATCCGTTCAAGGCTGCTGTGTCTATAAATAACAACTGAAGGTCAGATAACGTTTATATGAGAAAAGATATGCCTATGGGGAGTAACTGCAGGGTTTGTCATTATTCACATACAGATTTAGTTTCTGACCTTGGCGTAGGCTTTTGTCTCTGCAAATTTAATCTTGAAATCGAACATCTCGGCTGGAGGCTGCTGCTGCTGCTCTGCGCTTGCTTCCTGTTGACTGGTCAGCTCACGGTTCACCTCCTGAAAAAGAAACATCAAAGTAAATACTGAATACAGTTAAATGTTGGTTTATTTTATTTCAATAGAAGATAATGTAATAAAAAATTAAAAACATGAGATGCTACATACCAAAAATGCATTAAATTTCCCATTAATTTCTCTCATAATTTTTCCATTAAAAATGTATATTAAAAGTTTGCAAGCTTGCTCAGGGCTAATCAGCTACATGGTAACTTATGATTGCAATACCTATAATTTGATCACACTACTTCTGTTGTTTCGGTGTAAAGTTCATCTTAAAACGCATTTGGCCCTGCCTAATTAAGTAAAATATAAGTATATATTGCTTTCTGTCTGTGGTCATGTCTAAGTTATGTTAACTCACTAAAGAATTATCATTAGTTGTCTTCAGTGCTTAAATCAAACCCATTTCCTCGACCACCATCTCCTCTCTGTACCTGCAGGTGTGCAGTGAGCTCTCTGTATTTCTGGATGGTTTGTTGATAGTCAGCCACAGTCTCCTGAGCTGCCTCCACTCGTTTCTCAGCCTCTCGGACTCTGGCTGCTCCAAGGTCCAGCATTTCCCTCAACTCCAGCTCTGTCTCTCTGGCATTCTCCTGCAGCTCATCATTCATCTCGTTTATGGCTTCCTGGAAAAGACAATTAATTAAATGAAAATAAAAGCAAGCATGTCTCAAAAGGTCCTTCACTTGACTTTGAAAAAAGCAGAGTAATCCAATATGAAAACAAACATCATAATAATAAATTCACAACAAAATGTAATTTGTATTTATATGGATGGATGATAACATGTTAACAGAATAAGGTCAAAAATAATGTTGAAATTTCAACACATCTTACATTTTTTTCCCTTAGCCTCCACAACTACCATTAGTCAACCACTGTTAGATCACAGTAGCACTAGGGGGTGAAATGTCTTGTCCAAAATCTAAGTTGGGATTAAACAATCGACCTTCTTTATATCTATATCTATCAAATAATGACCCAACAATAATCAAAATGGCAGCATGTTTTAACTCACCAGGTCAGTGACTGTCTCTCTGAGCTCTCTCACTTTCTCCTCCAAATCCAAATTCCTCTCGGTTAAAGTTTCCACCATTTCCTCTGCTCCCAAAGATGCATCGACCTGGTAAATAACAAAGATGTTTTACAGTAGTCTTTAAATACAGAAAGGCTGCAAATTTGTTTTGCAAATAAATTCTGTTTTCAGGCTGGTATCAGTTCATATTAGAAAACGGCAGACACTTAAAGGTGCACCACATAAAATTTTTAATGGAGGGTCCGCCACCCACTTGTCTCCATTGCTTTGTCTAGAATGTTCTACAGTATAGATTAAATCAATCTATCACAAGGAAGACAGCCAGGGTACAGCACTACATTACAATTCAGATCTGTGGAGAGTCGCCATTATTCATAAAAAGAATTACCTGAAGAAAGAATAATATTTTAACAACAGAAACACCTGTAATGAATAAATGCTAGATGGATATGATTAATGTCATACCATACCATGGAGCATTCAAGGAAAAGCAATAGCATCTCCACCACCTTTAAAGCCAACGTATCAACACTGGTATCGAAACATAAAAAGCTGGATAGGTGCATCCCAATGCTATAAGGGACAGGAACTGCAGGTCAACCAATAGAGGCATAATATAGGATTATTGTGTTTTAGAGGCGACCTTTACTGTCCATCCTCTGAGAAATAAGAGCTAATAATGAAGAAAAAACTGTCTTATATTGCACTTTATGAGTCAGAAAAGCTTTAAAACTCTCTTGTATCGTTTTGGGCACGACAAAAAACTCACTCAAACCTAAAATGTGTATTGATTGCAGTGGCCCACACAGTGATTTATGTCTCTGCAGTGGCTCTACCGCATCAGCTCCAACAGAGAAGTACTCAAGAGTGGATCATTGCAGTCAGTACATTTGCATGGCCAGAAATAAGCCATGTAACTAGAATACAGAGATAACAATATTATAGAGGAACGATATTTGCACTTTTTAGCATATCGGCTATCGGCCTTAAATCTCCAGCAGGGGGTGATATTTTGTTTGACTCAACCATTTGCTAAAATATGCATGAAAAACATATGCATAAAGCTTTATTTAACACTTAAGCGGAAAGAGGGTACAGCAAAAATGTAACTACACTGATCTCAACACACAGGGTGTGCAAACAAAGTTGCCGATGAGTTAGTACTGAATTTTAATTAAATGCATGATGTTGAATTTTAATTTGATGCATGATCCACCCTTTTCAATTCTGATACCGATTCCAATACTATAGCTTTAAGAATCTGCTGATTTTAACCAATACCAGGGCAGAGACTGAAAACAGCATTTATTTCATATTCATACAAAAATAAAATAAGACAGAAATGAAACCACAAATACACCTGTATCTGTGCCATATCAGATACCAGTATCAGGTCAGTGAATCTCTACATTTAACTACTCATCTTTTTCAATAAATGTCAATATTTTGTACAAGTTACTTCAATATAAATAAAATAAAATGACAAAGTTCGACCGTGCTATTGTCCACTCTAGGGCTCTCCCTTGTGCTCCACAGACCTGCTCCTTCAGCTCATTGATTTATGTATGTATTTATTTATTCATTAATTTAAAAAGGCCTGACATATTACACACTATATGCATGTGTAATATGTCTGGCCTTTTTCTATTTTTTTCCTGCATAATAGTCTTTTTCAGTTATTTCAGTATCATAAAATGATTAAGATAAAACATGTTTTGTCCACTCAGGACAGGACAGGTCGATATCTCCCATATGCTCAACAGACCTGCTCTTTAAGCTTGTCGATTGAATGATTTATGTATTTCTTTATGTATTTATGCATCTATGTATTTACTCATTAATTTATTTACACAGACCTGCTCCTTCAGCTCGTCGATGGTCTTCTCAGCTGCTGCCACCTCCTCCTGTAGTTTCTCCTTCTGTCCTCTCAGAGCATCCAACTCCACATTCTTCTTCTCCATCTGCTTCTGTAACTTCACATGCTCCTGTTTCTCTGATGCTGATAAGTCACGCATCCTAAAGACATGTTTGGTTTTTTTTGTTATTTAACCATTTTAATTTAATCTCAGTCTAACATTTAAAGTCTATTTTCACATATATAATAGTGGTAAGAGACCAACTCACCCAATGGAAATCACTTTATAATAACTATGCTCCTATATTACACAAAATGGATTTTTGTGAACTTTAAGCCATATTATAATGTTGTTACCTCATCAAAAATATACCTAGAGTACTGTTTTTTTTCCATTCACACACATTTACACCTGCATTATTAGGCTGTCTATATCTCCAAAGTTCAAAATGCTCTGTTCCACCTTGTGATGTTATGAAGCAGTAGTTTTTAAATTAACAGCTACTGTTTACCTTTTGTCAAAATTGGCAATACCAGGACTGAAACCATCCAAATGATTCCAGTGAAGGTGTATGGAGTTTAAAAACACAGTAGAGCACTTCCCATATTACCACATGACATCACAAGGTGGAACAGAATGTTTTCTGTTTGAGAGACAAACGCCATAATATGCAGGATTTGTGGGCCTTTTATTTGCATGAATAAAGACTTAATTAAAGTTTATTAAGAAAGATTCAAGCTTAGGAATAGTCTTGTTATATTTACACTCACCTGACTAGAGCCTCCTTGAGTCTCCCGTTCTGTTCTTCCAGCTGTTTGACGTGATAACTGGACGCAGCCCCATCTGAACCTGAAACAATCAATACATAACGTGTTTACGGGCACGTTTCCGGCTTCATCGACTTTACTTTAAAAAACTGTCACCCTTCTCTCAGTCATTTTGGTCTTTAAATGTTTGATCTATAAGATCCTTTCTATTTTGTCCCTAAATAAAATCCTATTCCCAATATGGAACTTGTCTCCAAATTCACCCCTATAACTGTTAGCATCATGAACTTCATTTGACTGGAGCTAAACGCTATGGGTGACGTTACACTTCCTTAGTCCACTTCTTTCTACAGCATATGGGAGCAACTAAAACATTTAAATCCCACATTTACCTCCACAGGAATAAGAAACCTTGACTTATCTGACCTCATGAGAGTTTGAGTGACTTCCTTCTGTTTTGCCCTCACCCTTCTCCTCGATCTCATGTTTGAGTATCTCCAGGTCCATGGTGAGTTCATCCACCCTCTCTTTGAGTGAGTCCACCTCCAATTGCAGAGACTCCGCCCTCTCCTCCGCCATCTCTTTGTCCAGAGTCGCCATTTCGATTGCGTCCGCTGTATCCGACATCTCCTCCATGTAACGCTCCTTAGCTTCCTGAGCTTCCTTTGCCTCCTACAAATACATACGGGCAAATATGACAAATATAATGTTTATTTTATCAGTGAGACGTTCCTAATTTTATCTGAAAGCCATAGCCTACATGGCTGCATGCACACACATTCTTGCTTTTAGCTGGTTCTTTGTTGTTGTCTTGTCTTCATCTTTTGTTATATAACATTTTTATTTAACTATGTCTAAAATGTCTAAAAATGTCATGAAGGGAAGTCACTGGAAATGTCTGAGCGACAAAAAGAAATAACAAGCTTTATCTTAACAATGGAGTTGCTATGTGGCCCTCTAGTGGTGAGATTAGATATGGTCCCTTCTGAATTTCTGCACTGAGGTTAATTATTTATCATGCCATGTTCAATGCTAAGTTTGGCACATTGAAACTGTTTGATATTAATTAAAGGTCCACTACATAACTTTTCTGGTGGTGGGTCCATCACACGCTTGTCTCCATAGAGATGTCATTGCTTTGCCTGGAACATTCCACGTTATGACATTAAACACATCTATAGAGCATTTATTCATTTCAGGTGTTTCTATTGCTCAAAAACACAATAATTCCTTGTGTAAATAGGGTTGCCTCTCTACAGATCTGACCTATAATGTAGCCTATAGTTGTCTCCCTTGAGGTAGAGAGGCTTAATCTATACCGTGGAACATTCTAGACAAAGCAATAACATCTTCATGAAGATAAGCAGGTGACGGACTTCCACCGGAAAAGTTATGCAATGAGCCTTTAATGTGCTTTTCAAATAAATAAATCAATAAATAAATAAAACTGACTTTCTTGGCCTCCTTGAGTTGCTTCTGTAGCTCAGCCTGTTGTTCCTGCATCTTGCTCCTCCATTCCTGCAGCTGCTCCAGTTGGATCTTGTGTTTTTCCAGCTCCTTCAGTTTGGCCTTATCTTCAGTCCGTTTCATTTTCAGAGTCTCCAGTTTCTCCTCAAGGTCCTTCACCTGAGCTCGTAAAGCCTCCTCCTCCTAAAATTCACAAAAAATGTTAAGATAAAACAGACAAATTAAAAGTATTAGATTATTGCAAACGTACTATCAGAGAACTGTTACTTCAAAATAGTAGTACTTCAGTAAAAACATGCAGCACTGAAATTTGTGTTAAGATTACGGTACACTTAAATGTCACCGAAGATAAATTTGTCCTCTGCATTTGACCCATATTAGCTTAGGGGTTGGGTCACATGCTAGGCTCTATTTGTATTCTCTAGGCAGCAGGTCAGTCAAAATAAAATATGGATTTATGCCGGAGATTTAAGATCGATAGCCAATATGCTAAAAAGGTGCAAATATCAGCCCGATCTTGTGGCCAACCGTTACATCAATTTATCGCTAATTGTAAGTAGTATTATTTTGAAGTAACAATACTCAATAATATTGTTCATGTCACAGTCCGGACTCCTAAACAAATGCTTGAGAACTTATTTAACGAAGCGCCCAGAAAATTCAAAACGAACAGGCCCATAGCATGTAAAAGTGTGTCCATTGCAAGACCAACTCACTTCAAGTTAATAGAAATGTTTTTTGTTTTTTTATTTCAAAGACCACATATTTTCCAGTAAACTCACTTCACTCTGTTGCATCCCCCTCCTTCATTATTCATGCTTTTAAACACAGAGCACTCTCAAACCAATTAAACCACAGCACACTGCACACCTCCCCAAGTGTTAATGTGAAAACAAGAGACATTTCAACACTTCTCTATCAAGAACTGCACCTGCGTTTCCATGACGACCTCCTCCTGATGGGAAAAATAAAACCACACAGCGGCCACTTTATTAAGGAGCTTTAATTTGAAACAATGCGATACAATACTAAAAAAGTCCACTTCCTGTTTTTAATTTGTTATTTAAAGGTCCTACATTACACAAAATTGACTCTTGTGAGCAAAAACATACCTTTTACTATTACTCTGAGTACATTTTCCAGTTACTGGTTACTTTTTACCTTTAGTTCAATTCAGAGATTTGCAATTCCAGAGCTGAAATGAAATGTTTTTGATGAGGAAACAGCATTATAACATAGATCAGAAAATAGTGTAATATGTCCTGTTTGGTGGGTTACACCTCAAGCCATTTCTGCTTAAATTCCTCCTGACAGCTTTGCATATTTCCAGAGCTTTTCACAGATGAGGTGTGAGACGTCAAATCAGATTTATTTATTCACATAAGCATTTTTTTTTTATTCTTCCTCCTTTCATTTTGGGATTGCCATGGTGAATCATTTGCCTCCATTCATCTCCATAAGTATAAACCAAATTATTATTTCACATGTTTAATTCACCATAAATGCTAGAGGCCCTTCCTGATTTAACCAGAACCTGTCCAACAATCTACCGTGAACAGATTGACTTATTATTATTTTATGTGGTCCAGAAGATCATTACATATCATCCTCTTTGCAGTACTGCTGTGTCATCAGACAAGACACTTCTGTATACATGTAGTTAATGTCACATGTTTGAATAATGGGCAAATCTCCAGTATTTTTAAAAGGTCTGGCTTGGAAATCCAACAGTCAAATCCATTATGTGATTATAATACAGTGAAGCTGTAGTGAAATGGAGGTATACCTCGACTCACTGCCAGGAATTTGCACCAATATGCAGAAGAAATTACAGTAAAATTAAAGAGGCACTATGGAACTTTTCTGGTGGATGGTTTGCTACCTGGTCCTCTCCATGACTGAAATGTTCTATATTACAGCAATAGACTCATTTATCTTCATTCCAGGTGGATAAATGTAAGTTAATTTTAATATACTATGGTACATTCTAGAAAAAGCGATATGTTTCCATGGCGGAGCGAACCCCCCACCAGAAAGGTTTCATATTGTAACTTAAGCACAGTATTTTTCCATTAGTATTCTAGCCCACCATCTCAGCATTGTTCATGATCTACCTTACAATAACACCTCTTTATTTCTTCTGTGTTGCTGTGATACTGACCTTGCTGGGCACAGGAGCTGGGGGGTTCCCGGGGGAGTGGAGGGTGGGGATGACAGGAGCAGCGAGGGGCGTTTGGGCAGGTGTACTGGCCTCACTGCTGCTCATCTCCCCGGCCGACGCAGAGGCCGAGCCTGACGCAGCGCCTTTACCCATGGAGCCAGCCGGACGACTGGGCTGCTGTGATAGAGCGAGGGGTACCAGATGAGTAATACAAGTTAATTCTGGCAATACAGTGAGTACATTTAAAATAATAATGATAAAAGAATTGTTATCCAATCATGAGCAAGGGTGCGTTCACAGCATTATTTGCCTGGAGCCAAACGCTATGGGTGACATCACAGTTGTCATTATTTGGTTCTGGCTTGAGCCCAGTTTAGTCCTGATGTAGACTTGGTTTGGTTCATGTCTAGTCTTGGATTAGTCCTGTTCTAGTCCAGGATTAGTTTCAGATTTAGTCCCAGTTTTCAGATGGTTTATGCGCCAGTATGAACGCACCCTAAATTACATACAATTGTTATTAGTGGAAAGTATTTATACAAAATCCTGTCTGAACTTTTATTTATTTTTACTGTAAATAAATACTGGTTAGTGACAAGGTTAGTTCCGTACATAAGGCTGAAGTCACACTGAATTGCAATCTGCTTCCCAGATAGATACTTCCCTATTAAAGCTAAGGTACCCACCTTTTTTGCAAATAAGTAAATTTAGTGTTTTCCTCCCAAAAAGTAAACTCAGAAATTTGAAACAAAATGAGATCATTGTGCCCTATTTATAGCTAATAATAAAGTTTTCATTTTTTTCATGTCAACTCATAGGTAAGCATTAAATACTAAAATGAATGTATTATGTGGATATTAATGATACTTAAAGGGTTTGTGAGAGCTACAGACGAGTTCCTCCTTCTATGCAATGAAAAATATGTACCCCAGCTTTAAAGATGCACTGTGTAATTCTTCTAGTGGAGGGTCTGCTACCTTCTTGTCTCCATGAAGATGTTATTTCTTTCCCTGGAATGTTCCATGGTATGACATTAAATACAATAATTCCTTCTTGTAATGTAGCATGTTACAAAGGTTTAATCTGTACTGCGGAACATTCTAGACAAAGCAATAACATTTCCATGGGCACAAGCAGGTAGCAGACCTTCCACTAGAAATGTTACACAGTGCACCTTTAAAGGCCACAATACTCAATACTCAGTGTATACCAATTAAATGTTATTTCACACAAAGTCACCACAGTTCCCAAAAGAGTATAACGAGATAAGATATATGTACTATTAATGTTAGCTAAAAATATCCCAAACCAAGATAATCCCATCACAAATGAGAAGTAATATTCTGTTGTTTAAGAGTAGAAAATAGGCAAAAACACAAATGCATGAAAAAGGGAAGAAGTTTGAAATGTCCTGGATGAGTTTTAGCGAGGCTCACCTTTGGCTTTCGGGTCGCAGTCTGAGCAGAAGGAAAGGTCAGAGGTCATCAGAATAAAAGAAGGAAGAGAAACAAACAAGCAAGATTAGAGAAAGTTTAAATAAAAACACAGTCAAGGAAAGAAAAAATGGCTCAAAGAGGTTGATTTAAGCTGTTATAACTGTAGTATTTGAGAATTTGTAGGTTGGAAAACATATTTAAGTCAGTAATAGGTCCTTTGTACAGTTGGTTCCATTTTCCATGTGACCCGCCCCTGAAAAACAATGTGGACTATGGAGCTGTCACTGAGAACTGTAGGAGTCCATTGTGTGGGCTGGCCTCATAGACTTAACATTGTTGTCAGAGGCTTACAGCTGAACAGGTGAAATTGCATTTGAATGTATTAAATACAATTGATATTAACTTTGACTTGACAACATGATATCAATTCAAAGCACTGGACATTTTTTTAATAAATAATACATTTATTAATAGGGATATAAATTGGGATATTGAGTTTTATACCTTAAAAGACCAAATTTGTCCAAAAGTACAAATTTCAGTTCTCAATTTTACTATTTTTTGTACTTTAGAATTAACTGATTTTGTATGAAAAATTGCATCTTTTTATGGGTTATACATGGGTATATTCTAAACACACACACAAATTAGTGATAAATAATATTAGCAAAAGCACAATTAACATGACTCTCTTCATAATACCTCTAGCATTTTTATCTACTCAAATCTGCAGCAATGATTGTATGAAATAGTGTGGGCAGGTTTTGGTAACAGAGCTGGTATGTGGGGTGAATATATTAATGTCAAATGTTATTACACCCATGCTTCCATACACTCTTCCCTGTCATTTCTGCTACATGTAACCCAAATGCCAGAAGAGTCAAAACACTGAGCATCTCACTATCGCTAACAGCTAGCATCCCTATAATTCAAGCAGAGAGCCCTGTACATTTCCTTATTAGATTACATTGAGCTGAAATTAGCTTGTTTGTAGCTTACAGTTCAACTAGCCAAGCCTCTTAAGCCATATTGAGATGCAGTTTAAATAGAACAGGCTGTACTATAATCACATTGTCAGGTAATTTTAATATAATACAACAATACAATAAAACAGTTATGAATACAAATGCATATACTTTTAGCAAACACCGGATTGCTTGATGATTGATGTAACATAAAGCAAATGGCAAAATATAAAACAACTTAAAGGTCCTATATTACCCAAAGTAGACTTTTGTGAGCTTTAAGCCATGTTAGAATGTTGTTACCTCATTAAAAACAGACCAGGAGTTGTGTTTTGTTTCATTCACACATGTTTGAGTAACGCTTTATTATTTATCAAAATGCTCTTTTGTTCCACCTGTTCCACCTTGTGATGTCATATAGTGGTAGTTATCATCCCTTTTAATTTTAGCACAGTGGAGACTGGCAATTCCAGAGCTGAAATTATCCAAATGATTCCTGTGAAAGTGTATGGAATAAAAACACAGTGGAGCACTTCCTGTATTACCACATGACATCACAAGGTGGAACAGAGTGTTTTCAGTTTAAGAGAAGAACTTAGCCTAATTATACAGGCTTTGTGTGTTAAACATGTGTGAATTTAAAAAAACACAACTCCAAGTCTGTTTTTGATGAAGAAACAACATGTTAACAGATCAGAAAGTAGCATAATATGGACCCTTTAAATAAAGTAACTTGGAGAAAGGATAAAACTAGACAAGCAGAAATTTTGGCTGTAATTCAGAAAAAATATATAGTATGAATAAAAAATCTGAGGCATTTTGGTTCAACAGAAAAAGACACTGCAAAATATAAAACAACTTCTGAGTTAAAAACAAGAAGTATGACAAAAACGCTCAACAGTTCGAGAGGCAACTCCCATCAAAATCACCAAAACAATAAATGAAGAATGGGGAATTGCAATGACCTCTGCCAGCCAAATTAAATGTACAACAGCAAATGCATACACTTATAATAGCAATGTTGTACCTTCCTGGGTGCAGCTGTCTGTCTCATCATATTTGCAAAGAGGAGAAGAGGACACACAAGAACAAGGTATGAAATTTGAAATAAAAGACGTGAATCAGGTACAGATCCACAGATGTCCCCAGCTCAAGCAGACATTATAAAATTCCTGCAAATAGTAAGAGATGTCTTCCTTCTTTCGCCCCTCTCCGAGTATTCCTTTATGAGATCCGTTCGTCACATAATATTCTTTCGTTTTGCTATGTGTCGCTGCTAAGAGCTTCTAGTCATCCTCCCTCCCTCCTCCCTTTCTCCTCTCTCCTGTGCTGTGCTCGTTTGTGATTTGTCAGACGAAGCTATGCCCTATGGAGGCTGCATTACATCACTGAGCGACCTCCTCCCGTAGACGGAGGCAGCAGACAGAGAGACGGAGAGAGAAAGGGAGGGAGGGATGGAACGGAGTGGAGAGAGAATGAGAAAGATGGATAGGGAGAGAGGAAGGAAGATAGATAGAGGGGAGGGGTGCAGAGAGAGAGAGGCAGAGGAGGGGGAAAAAGAAAATGGGGGGACCGAGATGGAGAGAGAAAGGAAAAATAGAGTAGAGACAGAGGAAGACTGACGAGCGAGGGTGAGGGGAGATAGAGGGAAGGTATGAGGGAAGAAAAAGAGGGGGAGAAAGTGAGGGAAGGGAGAGAGAAGGGAAGACTGAAGAGAGGAGTGGGGCAAGAGTGAGGGGAGACAGAGGGGAGGTAAGACAGAGAGAGGGAGAGAAGGGGGGATAGTGGAGAGGGAGGGGAAGAATGGAGAGAGAATGAGAAAAAATGAGAGAGAGACAGATGGGTAGGACTAGGGAGAGAGGGGAGGAGTGGCGAGAGACAGAGAGAGAGAAAGATGGGTGGGGATGTTGGGATGCTCTGAGGAAACAGAGGTGATGATGCAAGTCGCTGCTGTCTCCATAACAACGGCAGTCGCCGGGCCAGTGGGTAAATCTCAATGACAAAAACAAAAGAGCAGGGAGCTGGCATTCACCAAAGGAAAGTCTTTTTAACGCTCTTAAGAAAATCCTACAAAATACTAGATAGACAGGCCCACAATATCTTTAAAAGGTACAAATTCAACAATATTTCTCAAATTATTTTTAAGCTTCAGTTGAGTCTTCATTGTTCAATATCCAGGAGGTTTTGTGTGTTAAAAGTTAAAATATTGCTGATCAAATGAATTCAAATTAGACTGTATATATAAAAACAGGCCTAAAATAGCTACAAATATACACTTTTTCACAGGTTACAAAAACAAAAAAACATAGTGCATGTGGATGTGGTTCGATTTAGGCTTGATTATTAAACAATTATATATATTTTCCATTAAGACCACCCAATGTACCCATGCTACACTCCTATGTCTAATTAATGATCACATCAGGAGCTTTAAGGCAATTTCTAACTGAGCTAAATGTTACTTTAGTGATCATGCAGACTATAGTGATACACAGAGATTGGGGCATTGTGTGGAGATAGATCATATTGCAGTGTTCCAATCCCAGACACAGGAGGAGGTCAGGAGCCTGCAGCCACTCCCTCAGCACAAAGGGAAGTACAGTTACTGCCCTGGAACCATTCACTCAACTCAATCTCATTACTCTTACTGTAAAGCTTTCAGACAATCACACTTTTATCCACTCTATGGTTTTACAAATTACAATGTCCACTCACCATGAGCACTATTTTGCATGAGAAACAGCTATGTACTTCAATATTGTGTCATGATAGATTTGATTTGTCATAAAATGTACATAAGACATAAATTGTTTGCCCCAAAATATTATATGTTTGGGACAATAAAGTTCACAGTCTCCGAGTTCCTAGAATAGTCGCATAGTGATACAGACAACTTTGTGTTTTGATTTTGTGTTATTACTATTAATCCTTTTTTTATATAGGTAGGCATATTGTGATGTCTCATTTTCAACTATAACTATAGCAAGCCTGTAATGTTTTTGATGTTGCTGAAATTAAATTTTTTTATAACATTTGTTGTTTTTAGGTTTTCTGTTCTTTTTCTGGCAGTTTTTATTTCATTAACAATTTACAAAGATTTTATTTTTTTTGTACAACTACTAAAATTTAAATTTTTAGTAACAATTTTTGAAAGACCAAATTCACATTTTTAAAGAAATTCTAAACTACTATTTACTATGATTCAGTTTTATTTTAGTTTAGTTTTAAGGAAATAAATGTTGTTTCCATTCTCTGCACAGGTATCGACTGACATTGGGAATCGGCAGATACTTAAAGCTATAGTATCAGAATTGGTATAGGAACTAAAAAAGCTGGACTGATGCCTCCCTAGTGTAGTTAACCACTGGTTAAATCCAAAGCAGTCATTACAGGACATGCATCAGGAAAATGGAGGTGACAGGAAATCTATACAGTGCAGGTAGAGCACAGTTCACTTCAGTTCAACCACTCTCTGACATTTAGAAACAAGAAACTTCATCTCTGGATAATGACTCAGGCGAGGAGAGAGCTACAGACCACAAGATCAACATGAACTGAGGAGAAAGGCCAGAGGGAATGTAGTGCAAAATATCGCTGAAGTAAATATAGACAATAAATGATAATATTCAAACCAAAGTATAAAGCATAATTATCCCCTATAAAAAAGTACTTTATATCTACAATAATGTAAAATATTGTGAAGCTGCAACAAATAAACAGCAGATTGCAACACTTAAGTAGTTGGTTTATAGTTTTAGTTCATAATTAAACCTTTTACAGCTCAAATCTTATCATATTGCAGAAAAAATAATGTATAGTACACTACACAGTATAGTAACTATCGTGACATGCCTAACTGCCACCGTCTCATATTGGTGCTTCTGTAAATGTTGATATAAATAAACAACAACAGAAATATAATCTATTTATTATGTTCATAAAATCAATATGAACATAAACACATGACATTTTTTTGTTTTTAATAAAATTGTGATTGATCAGTGCAAGGAAGAAAACTGACCACCTCTCGAACTTACACAAAAAACACAAATTCATAAATGTCATGCCCTAAGACTGCAGAGTGATTTTTTGTTATAGTTATAGATACTATTGTGTTATAGTATCTACTCTTGAACACTTTCTATTGTCCAGTTCATTTAAAAGAAAATGCACTCACTGTTTTTGAACGAGGACAGGTCTTCAGGGATAAAACCGTCACTCTACACTCTCACTCTCTCTCTCTCTCTCTCTCTCTCTTCTCTTCAGACTCCTATATTGTTATTGTAATCAACATCCAGGGTCTAATCAGCAGAGGTCTGTACATAATTCATAAAATCTAACAGGCATGTAATTGCCATTATAAAATGTATTGAGATGCCAAATTCAAGTTTCACTGTAATAACGGTACTACTAGTCTTATTCTTCTCAGCTATAGAAACATTTGTAATAAAAATCAGAAGAGTATAAAGTTGTTAACTGTTACATTCTCTACAATTGCAGTTAACTTGTGCATTGTAATATAATGTAATAACAACATGTGGAAAGCAAAACAATTTCAAATACAAAACAGATCTGGGTTACTAAAATGGCTACCAAAATCAAGTAGACATTGACACTGACATGCTTCAACACATACAAAGACTGCGAGACAAAGCAGCAGTGAAGCAGCAGAGGTCATGTGACAGGAAGTGGCCAAATATAAACAAAAAACAATATCCCAACAACATTGGGATAAGGAACCCTTGCTATGGTTCACAATCTACCAGAACAGAAAATAATACAAACAGCAACAGATTTTACAAAAAAATATAGTTTTGCACTCTATAATAATGTCAGTGGCATATTTTCTTTACTGTATATCTACTTGCTCTTTGTTATAGCAAAAGAAGTACCAAAAGATGCGGCCCAATTGCCATGCAGCAGTGAGGCCATTCCTAGCAACAGTGACCACAGTTACCAGGGCATCGTTAGCGTCATTAGCGTCATTTGCGTCATTAGCGTCATTAGCATTAGCATTGTATCAAGGTGGGAGACATGCAGCACCTTTTTGGCTTTGAGTCCTCGCTGCGTGATCGGAGGAGACAGGAGGTGAAGACAAGTTGGAGGAAAAGGAGCGGTGGGGGGTTAACAGTTTGGCTATGAGCTCAAGGGGTTAAAGTTAATCTATCTAAGGGTTTAAGAGAAATTAATAATTATGACTGTTGCCAGAGTAATTAACAACAAACTATTATTTTAGTCACTAACACTTAACTGGCCCAAACTCCTCAAAATAGCATCAATAAGAGGAAGCCCACAAATACTGACAATACAGACAGACATTACAGCAAAGCAGCAAAGCATCTAAAATTGTACTTATTTCAACTAATAAAAAGTTGACCACCATAATTTCAATGAATTTGTATGTGGTCAAATGTATACGCTATTATAAAGGAAAGACTGCCCTCTAGTGGCCCAACGCATGTTGTCATCATAGAAGGTATTCATATGGAGCTTCATCTGGTTAAAACAACAATACCACTCACCACTTTGCTGGACTTGGATGGGTCCATGATTTCTGTAAAACAAATGAAAAATAAAAATAAAGCTTTATCTTCATCTTGTCTGGTTTGCTTAAAGAACTGCAAAGGAGGGACAATACATAAAAGCACTTTATTTTAAACTTTTGATTGTTAAAAAATGCTGTTTAACGTATTTACAAATTACTTTTTCTCTGGTATGAATATAGATTTTATTGTGATTGGTATAGAGAGACTAGGGATGTCACAATAGTGTTGTAAGTATTGAAATCACAATTTAACTACTTAACAATTATCAAATAACAGTATGTTATTCAGTATTTTCCAATAATACAACAGAGTATGGTAGCCCCCTATAAAGCAAAACGAAACTTTTTTGCTCATTATATAATCATAAACTTATCAAAGAAACTACACTGACCATAAATGAAAAACGAACATAGGCAGTAAAGTGACATTTATACTGTACATTTGAATGATATGAAATGATTCAAATAAAAATCATCTGCGCCACCACCATAGCCTTAAGGTGCACTTTGTAACTTTTCTGCTTAACTCCATGTTGTTTTTTTCTTGGAATGTTGTACAGTATGGCATTTAATTAAACTATATCCATGGAGACAAGCAGGCCAAATAACCAAGCCAAGTTTCAAGTCAGATCTGTGGAGAAGTGGATCCAGTCTCAGTAATACATGTTTTTGCAGTTGTTCTGAGAAGTAAAAACAATGGTGAATGAATAATAAATACAAGATATATTTGTTTAATGCCATACTGTTTAACATCGCAGGCAAAGCAATAACATCACCATGGAGAGAAGAAGATCTTCCACTAGAAAAGTTACACAGTGTACTTTTAACAAAACCAATAGGAAACACTGTAATTCACTTTTATTTACTTAGTCTAATAGATTCCGATTCTTCTAGTTTAAGATCAGCTTTATTATTTGTAACTGAAGACACAACTGACTGGCCATTACCTCGTTTGGGGACTTTTCCAACTCCAGGTTCCGGCGTTTCTGGAGAAGTGGTGTCAGCCCCATCGTCAACGAGCTGAATCTGAGAAACAAACAGAAAAGAAAAAATACCCAAGCTGAAAGGGAAAAATGATAAAGCTTTAAGAATAGATTCCCAGGATATTATTACCAGATGCCATTGTATTTCTACTTGTTATTTATAGAACATTCTGCATGGAAACAAAGGAAACTGTATGAAACTGCTCAATGTCATACTGTCTAGTGAATAATGATTTCTATTTTTGACTTATCTCTTATACACTACAAGGACAAAGAAAAAAAAAACAACACCAAAAATCAGAGAATGCAGTAGTTAGGGTGACAAAACAATTGAAGAGATCAAGAATAAAACACTAATGAAAATACTAAATACGTTATTGAAGGTGTTACCTGATTTTCAAACTACAGGACTAGTTCTTAGCTCTCACAAATCTCTCTCTCTCATATTCACGTGTGGTTTGAAAGAGGAGTTAAAGAGGCAATTTTTGTTAGGAAAGACAATCTATCTTTGAATGGGAATGGGGGCTTAGACATAATTTACAAGTCCATCCTCAGGCCTAAATCAAAATAAGCAAAACACTAGTGACAGTCAGTATGCTAATAGGTGTGAGAGCACCCATTAGGGGCCTGAAAGATTATGCTAATATGACTCAGGCACAGTTCATTGATGCTGTCATCAACATTGCCTGGGGATGTGATGCTAACTGTAGGTACTGCTCTGTCTGAAGCTTTGTTACTCAAGTTTTTTCAGTTAACAGTGAACATTCGTATTGATCACAAACTCCTGAAAATGCGTTAAAATCCATTTTTTGTTTTTTTAATTTTCAGACTGTCAAACTAAACCTTTTTGTCAGTATTTGCTAATGTGTGCATTGTGGCTCCATGGTAACTGCTGAATATTCCATCAGATACAGATACAGTATAAGCAAAACACCCCCAGCATGATGTTGCTGCAAACTATCAATAATTCAGCATAAAATAGCAGTTCCAGCATGTGTGAAAGTTTGAGTGAGTTTTTACCTGAGACTGCCTGACGAATATGCCCTGGTTCTCGTCACAGGTGAAGTACCTCTTGCCCTGCACAGTGCCATCATTCTTCCCTTTGGGCTCATCCAGAATCACCCCCACCCATTTCCCCGAAGCGAAGGAGGTGGTGCCGATGTAGGCCACTGTCCCACGCTGGCCCTTCCCAATCACCTCCACCACAGACCCCACCTTCACCGGACGCCCTCCTCCGTCTGAACTCATCCTGCTGCTGCCGCTGCTGGTGGTCTGTACAGATGAGAGGGTGAAAAAAAGTTAAAAAGACTTGCACTTTCAAGCTGAAAAAAATGCAAAACTGACTCCTACTTCCTTGTACTGACAGACAAAAAGGCAATATCAAAGTGTTCTAAAATTACAGCACAGCAACAAAAGGGACCTGACCTATTTTGAAAAGTGGGTGGAAGTACTGGTAACTCAAGAAAAGAAACTATAGGAGAAGAAACAACACAACAAAATGTATTATTAAAAGAACAGAAGGGAGATTTACAGGGAGAATGCAGATGTCCACATTAACATGACTAAGGATTTTCAATAGCACAAAAAAATATTCTAAATACTTTCTAACAAGCTTTAGGCCCATGTACTGAAATGGCAATCTTTTATTTCTACAAACTGTTGTCAGGTTAAGGTACACTTTATTGGCCGCATTAAAGTAAAGGTGCACTGTGTAACATTTCTGCCTGATAAACTGCTGCGTCACCATTGGTTTAAAGGTGCACTGGTGGAAGGTCTGTTACTGGCTTGTTTCTATGGACATGTCATTTCTCTGCCTGGAAGGTTCCACAGTATGAAATTAAACAGTTCTACCTGACATTTATTCAATTATAGGTGGTTTTATAGAAAAACAGGTATTCTGACTGTGAGCAGGGTTGCCCCTCCACAGATTTGACCTGTAACTTGGTCTGGTTTGGTTCCCATGAAGATAGAAAGGTTTAATACCATACCGTGAAACATTCCAGACAAACCAATAACATCCCTGGAGACAAGCATTTGATAGACCCTCCACCAGAAAAGTTACACAAAGCACCTTTAAGTACCCTTTAAGCTGTAACTTAACTGTAGTACACCTCAGAAAATACTGCATGGCTATTACCAGCAGTAAGAGACACTTTACTGCAGAATTTTATGGCTTCCATGTTAGCCTATTTTTCTTTGTTATGAAATATTGATAGAACCTTTAACAGCACTGCGACTTTACAATGGCACTAAATATGGGTATTGATTGTTGCTCCTGCAGGATTATACAAGGCCAAAAATCAAAATGAACCACTTTGAGTCACACTTCAGTTCACCAAGCAATAGACCTGTAACCAATAGCAACAATCAGTTGGTCTTTCATAATTTCAGTGTGTGCATATCTAGGATTAATTATAAGTGTTTGGTAAATGGTACTGAAATGTTATTAGATCTTTGTTCATAACCCAGATTAAAGAGGGCTGTCTTGAAGCAATGGTGACTCAGCACAACAGAGGAGCAGGTACAACAAATGAGCTCTACAAACTCAAGATTTTTCAAGATTGGTGATAACAATCATCAGATGCAAACTATTGACACTTTGCAGCTGATGTCATCAACATTCCCTGGGGGTGTGATGCTAACTGTAGGCTCTGCTCTGTCTGAAGCTGTGTCACTCAAGTTAGACTTTAATCTTATCTTTTTTTAACACACTCTGACCATAAAGAGCTGACCTAGTTGGAGCTACAACATGTGAGATGATTGGTTCTGTTAAACACACATAAAATTACAGTCACAAGATAGCTAGGTTTAGCCAACAGTTTTTCAGTCACACTCACATTTTTTGCCTAAACATTTTTAGCAGATATTTTTGCAGAGTTTTATTAGTTCTTTGATTAAAAATAAAACATTCTATATTTTTATCTAACATTTTGATATTATTTAACAACTATGTCATGACAGTTGATTATGTTTTATTTAATTTATTTATATATTTTATTACAAAGAACATGAAGAAAATATCTTAGCATGTAACACTATGTACACTGTAGCAATGTGACAAGATGTCTGATTATGTAACGCATTACAGATGGTCAAATAATAAAAACAGAAGCAAGAAAATAGAGTAAATACCAATGAAAAACCCCAGAGCTAACAAGCCCTTAACTTTCTACTGTCCCCATGGAAACTAGCACTAAAGCAACATTATGTCATATTTACTGATATGGTTGCTGCAGATGTCTTTATGCACTTTTCCTAATAAATAAATAACATATATATAATCTAATTGAGTCCTCATTATGACTACATTGGTTTCTATCATCAAATTCTCAACCGACATAAATTATACAAAGACTATAATCTGAATTTATAGCTGTAATCATGCAAACGCTTTGGTCTCATAAAACGTTTTACTTGCAAGATTTATGAACAAAAATCCATTCTTCATTTGAAATTCAATCTCCAGAGATCAACAGTTTTGTTTACTACGCTACAGGGAACTGCAGCAGACATTTTTCTGTAATTAAAACTAGTTTATTTGATACCAAAAAGCTTTTTACAAGAGAAGTTTAGACATTACTCTAAGCCTGATCTGGTCCCCATGTGCTGGAAAAGGCAAGATCAATTATTTAGTGCCACTCTACTCTTTATCACCACACAAAGAGCTCAAAAGAGAACCACACGACAATGATCTAATGTATTTTATATTATGTCAGTGACTAAAAACTAAAAATATTAAAAGTTTGATAAAAGACTGTAACCATATAGACTTATTGCAGTATTAACCAGTGCCAAATTCATATTCCCAAAATTATGGTCCAAGCTTCACAGTTTAAGTTAAAGATACACTGCGCAACTTTTCTGGTGGAGGGTCTGCTACCTACTTGTCTCCATGGAGATGTTATTGCTTTGCCTGGAATGTTCCATGGTATAACATTAAACATATCCATCTACCATTTATTCATTATGGATGTTTCTATTGCTCAAAAATACAATAATTCCTTTTGGGAATAAAGGCGAACGTCCATAAATCTGAATAGTAATGTAGTGTAATACTGTGACCTGCTTGTGTCCCTCGTGATAGATAGGTCTAGTCTATACTGTGGAACATTCGAGAAAAAGAAATAACATTTCCATGGAGATAAGCAGGTGGCGGACCCTCCACTAGAAATGTTATGCAGTGCACCTTTAAGCTTCTGTTTTTATAGTAAACTAGTAAACCTGGTTTAGTTCTCATGCAAGCTTGTTCTTGGTTTACGTGAGTTGAGGAGTTTTGACTATAGGTCTGGTTTAGTCCTATATAGACCTGGTTTAGTTCTGGTCTAGACTGAGGTGACCTATGAACTTGGTCAGTCAGACAGTTTCATGTTTATACTGAGACTATGTATGCACAAGTGATCCATATATTCATTTACTACAAGTCTGTAGAATAAATGAAATTACTGGCTCTTCTGATCAAAAATTTTAGTTACTTCTAAGTTATGATTATACTAAATGCATAATGTATCATTTCTATTACCAGTTTTTTGTTGTTGTTTTGTTTTAAGTCTCTGAGGGGCCACCATAGCCTCTTAATGACCAGTGTTACTTATATTTAGTGCTATATTTACCAAATCTCCATCAGTTTCTCCTCATAAAGCAAAGCAAATCATGCATTATCAAGCATCATATTAAACTATTGTATTCCATATTAGTAAATGTTCCTCAACCATAACCATAGCAACCAGTCACCCTGATGTCATCCTTTCCAGTAAAAAGCAGGACTAGATTCATTGACTGATTTGAAACAGGAAGTGCTTTGGGACACGCACTGTATTGAAGATAATAGACTATTTCAAGGCTGTCGCGAGTCACCTTTTAAACCTCTAGACATTTCAATATCACAACAATACTGACCACGCATCAGATCCAAACACAGCCAATTCAACATGCAAAATACAACACAAATATGAACTACAGAGCTTTAAAATGTACAAATATAATGAATAAAATGAGAAACTGTTTTAGCAAAGTAACTTACCCGACTAGAGGCAGTTCTTCTAGTCAAAGACATGTTGTTAGTGGTGTCTAGAGCAGTAGGTTACGGGGACAAGGTCTTGTAGTGATGCTCCTATTGAAATCCCAATTGAACCATGCCTATTTGTATCCTCGTTTAGTCGTAGATCTATAAATGCAGTCCATAAAGCAGCACTAAGTCTCTATAGGAGCAGGGGCTGAGTCCCAAGGATGTATGGAAATAGGTTTGGGAGCACTGAGCATCAGCTGAGTGACTGTGCCTGCGCTACAGTGTCTGGATTCTGCAAAAAGGGGAAGAGAGGGAGGCCAGGCTCATGCTGCAGGGTCCTAAAGCCCGCAGCCTGTCCAGTATAAAGTGTTGTAAATGTGACTGTTGGTGTACATTTCATTCACGGAAAGTATGAATGCATTCTCAGATTTCTGAAATGAGAATGCAAATATTCCATTCATACTCTCAGAAGATATAGACAATAAATGATGATACTGAATAGGGATGGGACAAGATCTCATGCTACAAGATCTCGTCAGATAAAACTGTCATAAGACTGTGTACACATGTGAATAATTATCTCTTGAGAGATTTTTTTCCATTTAGTTTACATCTAGATTGGACAAAAATAATGGAAATGGAATGGAATCGCACAATTATTTTATTTTAAATTACTTCAAAATCTTGTCTTGTCTTGTTCTCATGGACCTAATCTTGCATCTCATTTCATATTATGGAAATTGTGTCTCATCCCATCCCTAATACTGAAAGTCATTTATGCAACTGACACAATAAATTAAATAACAAAATTAACTAAATTGGAATTATCCCCCCCAAAACCACTGAAAATTTACAAAATTGTAAAAAAAAACAAAAAAACAAACTCAGAGGTATATAAATAGTTAGGCCTGTCACGATAATTATCATCAACTTATCGTTCAATATGTTAGATTGAACAATAATTTTTGGAGGTCAATACCTGGACTTTTTTTTTTTTTTTTTTTGTTCTCTGATTTGAATAAATAATTTCTATGACTCATTATAGACACAAACTAACTGCTTAAGGCTTGCCTTTTGTTTATTGTACAATATTGTACCTTTACAATATTTTTTGGGGACAATTCAAATTTTTTATGGTTTGGTTTCAATATTATCATTTATCATCAATACTTCTACAATATATCACACTTCAAAAGCAAAAATGTTGTATTCCTGGTATAAATAAAACAAATCAATAAATTAGGCCTGTCACGATAAAAAAATTTTGAACTATGATGTATTTCTGAGGTAAATATAGATGATAAACAATAATACTGAAACTAGTATACACATCCAACGCACGACAACCCAAGAGCAGATTTAAACCACAACACAAAAACACTATTCTAAATGTACAATAAATGCAATAAATAAATAACAGAATAAAACACTTAAGTTCTTAGTCTGTATCTGTAATGAGTCATAGAAGTTACTAAATCAACTTTCTATGGCTCAAATCTTATCATATGGTCAAAAAATAACTCAAAATTTCCCCAAAAAATAGTGTTCCAGGTTTCATATATTGAACCATAAGTTGATATACCGGTAGTAAATATGGTTATAGGCCTACAATATGTAACTGTTTTGATTTAGTTTCAATACAAAGTCATGTATAAAGCGATTTGTCAGACCAATGCAGAGCCAAATTACAGAGCAGGGATTAGCACTCTTTATCAGGCAGCTGGAGCTAACTGCACGGTCAGGTTTTTGTGCTACATTTCTGTGTTGTCATCTTTTTGTGATAGAGACAGATGCACTGGGGTTTAGATCATAAACTATAGAAGTATATAGTCTGTGATTTAAACAGGCAGAGCTCAGAGACTGGAGAGGGACAAAAGGGCTTCATTAGTTTTCAATGCACCAAAAAGGGCTGATGCAACTCACTCTGCAGACTTGAAATCATGAAGCATTTACAATATTATGTTAAAATGGAGGAAAAGGTGACAGCTAATATCTTGTAAATGTAACGGCCAATTCAAAGCTTCCCCAAAGTTCTTCAAAAACTACATTCAAACATTTTTAATAGCAATGTATTACAAGTACAACTTCAGATACCATAACTAATTAGCTCTACTATAACCAGAAAATCACAATGTTGTTTGGCCCACTTCAGATAAATAAATAAACAATGCAGATACTTCATAGGAGCATAATTGCACTTTTAGTGATAGAAACAACGAGTAAAGACTGTGTTTCATATTCTCCGTAAAGTACACTTAAACCACTTCCTGAAACAAATCAAAACCTCTGCAGTATTTTTGCTCTATTGATATGCTGTCCAAACAGTGGGCAGGTGTGAATCAATGAAAATAGGTGGAGGAGCAACAGCATTACCTAAATAAAAGATACAAAGAGACATTAAGAACAGTACAGGATAGTGTTGATTAGTGCCTTAAAACTGTGACATACAAATTAATGTCATTTACACAATCATCTAAAATGCACCATAAAACCATTAAAATTGTGTTGGAGTATATTTCTATATTACTTTAGCCTAGATGTTGCCAGAGCTTAGCCAAAGAGGACACTTAAACACTGGGTACATCGGGTCTATTCCTCACTCTCTGCTGCCACTGAGAGGCGAATGGAACAACAACGTGGTTTAAAGAACACATACTGTGCTTGTGTCTGCAATAAAGTTATAATGTACAAATTAAATATTGCACAAAAATGCACAAATCACTCCAAATACAACTTTGAGAGGATAAAAGAGAAGGGGAAACAATTATAACATGGTTAAAAGCACTGAAAAGTCAATTTTGCATAAGAGGTGTGCTTTAAACATGCACAAAAAACAGGTCCGGTAAGTCCTTAAACTTTTTAGGGCAACTGTAAGTAGTCAGTTGGTGAATTGATGACTGAAGCAAAATGACAAACTGCACTGTCAGTGAATATTGATGAAACTCTAACAGGAATTTGAATGTTTATATGATTTGACAGAATCTCAGAGAAATTTCCAACTACTCAGCAAGCTGCCACAATTTATTCATCATTTTTACTGTGATGGCCTGAGAGACAATATTTTGCATATCTGTATAGGCATTTGTACAAATTGACAAATTTCACATCACACTGCCAAATAAGGCACAGACACAAACTGTATTAAGGACAGTGGAATCAGTTACTAATGGATAAAAGCAGATCTACCTTATATTTCCGTGTTTTCCATAGCTTTTGCTAAGACACTGGCGACACTTTTTTTTTTATTTAAATAATTTTATCTCTTTCCATTTGTGGAACATAACTGTCTATATTTACTCTTTAACCCATCAGTTATAATCACTATAGTCTCTTTTATAAATCCACAATAATACAATGAGCAACAAATTCAAACTGTGATATGCCAATATATAGTCCAGTTTATTTTAGACAACGGGAGGCTACCATAGTCTCCTGTATTAATAGGAAACACTGTATTTGATAAACAAAACTATTTCACAGTTCTCCCTTCTATCGAACAGCCAGGTTACATTGCTGTTCTTCTATTGCTTTATGATCGTTATATTGTCTTTATTGGGAAAAAGTTGCACTTTTAAATCTAATGGCCATTTCAACTTGTTTTTGTGTGTTTTTGTTATCTGCGCCATGCAGAGAGGAGAAACAGGTCATCCATAGACAAATCATTGATTCTATTCATCGAGTCTTTCATCCATTAATTACTATGGAAATACAATAACTGAGAAATATGTGACTGAGGATGGAAGAATCTTTTCAATCTAACCCCATTATCATTCATTTTGTATTTGTTTTGACCGTTATGTTTACATTATGAGCCATGTCTAGTTTAGGTCATAACTTACCATAGGTTAATTGGCTAATTTCACATTAGCTTGCACAGGGGTCTATTATAATGAGTGCACCATACATGCCCTACACATAACACGTTTATTACGAATTTGGCTGTTATAATCAAGCTTATTTTTGCTACACAAAACAAAATTTGAAATGGTCCTCATTATTTGATGTCATATAGCTGGCATAGCGGGACACTCCCTGGAACAAGTGTAGCGTCGGGCTGTAGTAAAATGCATGAACACACATGGCAAACAGAGCCGTAACGTCCACGTATCGATACAAAACCGGGTTTATATCTATTACGAGCAGATTTAACTCGGTGTTAATCTTGTTAAATCTTACCAGATTTGTGGCTATTTCAGGCTAAACGCTTCGCCTCGTCCCAGTCTTCATTTACGGAGCGCTGCACATTCGCCGTTCAGCCAAGGTTGCCAGATCGGGGTCGCATTTTCCAGCCTAATAATACGCTGAAAACGTCTATGGCTAAAAACCACAAGCAGTAAATAAAACTAATTTAATTAACCTTATTGTTTCTGTTGTTCTCAATTGATTTAATCGAAAATTGGCCATTTGTATAGGTTACAACATGCAGGCTAAAAAGTAAAAAAATATATATATAAAACAACATGCTATTAATATAGTTTGGGTCACTTTTTTAGTATTTTTAACTTGATTTAATGTTTAATGATTAAGGTCATGGCTCATTTCTTCCTATACTTATGATTTTTATTATTTTTAGTTTACAAATACCTTTATAATGTGTTTTTATACTATGGTATTTATTATATGATATAATTAGTATATTTATTATTTTTACTAATCACTATTTTAAAATCATTATTGGTTATTTTAGAATGCACACAGTTCATTTATAATATCACTCTTAGCCTAACCTAGACTGCATATACATTTTCAAAACCGACACTCTGCCAAACACTGTAGGTTTTATTCAATGTTGCCAAATTCTCCTCCTCCATCATCCCTCGAGCCAGCAGCAGCAGTGGAGCCTGTTTCCATGGCAACCCGGTGCAGGCGGGGTGCACGAGGAGGAAGCAGTCGTCGCCAAAACTCCCGTCTCCCTCTGTACGTCTCTGCACAGCTCCGCATCACGCCCTGCACACTGATGGAGGAAAAGGACAGCAACGACAATGTATGCATCCGATTTTCATTCATAATCTTAGCAAATTACAACAATTTTAATCCGATCTTTTTGTTAGTTAGCTAGCTTCTTGCACGGAGACGCCACACCACTGCAGCTGAGTCATTGATTAAGCTACTTAGCATCCCGGATCAATACAGCTATTGTTCCCAGCGGTGACTTAACTTAAACTGCATATTTCAGACTGCATACGGATGAGTTGTCTATTATAAGCCATGATAATAAACTGTAGTACATTAGCTAGCGGTACATGAAACCGGTCACCTTACAAAGCGCTCACGTTTCTATTGTTTTGCAGGAGGGCTACACCGGGGAGATAAAGGGGGGACTGCGGCCTTCAATGAAACTGGTTGTGATGGGAATCGTCAACAAAAAACCTCAAAGGTAATGTTCTTTCATTTAGATTTTTTTTCCCTTTCCATAAATATCCCATTGTTCTCACAAATATATAATTTAAGATCACGTCTGTTTTAAACATTTTGTTTAAATATGCCATATCTATTAATTATTTGATGTCTGTGGTCCCATGTGTGTTGACGTTGTGCAGTTTGCCAAACGTCAAATGCTGCCTTATCTGGAAAAATTTGACACAGTAACTCACACATACAATATATTACAATAACAAAGAGCAAAAATATAAATGTTAATAAAGTCAAAAGAAGTAGCAAAATAGCATACAAAATACAATATAATAAAAATAATAATACAAAATGCATCTCAGCTATACAAGAGGTGGGTAAGGAAAAACAGTGCAAAGATGAAAACAGTGACATAGAGTTATCAGCCAGTATGTTATATAATGAGTTGTGTTATTTTTAGTGCTGTCATGCGATTAAAAAAATTGAGAGATTAATTAATTATGATCTGTAATTAATTAATCTAATTAATCTAATTTTAATCTCACCAAAAAATTGCTGAGAAAAGCCTTCAGTTTGAGGTATTTTCATTTAAATTAATTATTACATTATTGTGGCAGATCAAAAGACTGATATAGATTAAAAAAAAGTGACTTTATAAAGTCATTTATTGTTCAACAAATCTCTCTCCAATTTGGCTGTTGAGCCCAAGTCTCCATGAATAAGAAACTGTTTGCTGTAAAGTAGCAAAGACGAGGAAATCTGAACATAATAACTTTTGTCTACTTAAAGACAATAAAAAGTCCAGTCTTTCCTTAACCAATGTTAAAAATATTATTGATAGAGAAATGCTTTATATATGAAATCACTGGTTTTAGTCCTTGTTTTAGTCCTGGTTTAGACCTGGTTTAGACCTGCTTTAGTCCTACTTTAGTCCTAGTTTAGTCCTGGAAAGGGTTAGTCCTGGTTTTAGTCCTGGTGTTAGTTCTGGTTTAGTCCTGGTTTAGTCCTGGTTTAGACCTGGTTTAGTCCTGGTTTAGACCTGGTTTTAGTCCTGGTTTTAGTTCTGGTTTTAGTTCTGGTTTAGACCAGGTTTAGTCCTAGACTGGATTAGTCCTGGTTTTAGTCTTGGGTTCTGGATTAGAGCGCACTTGAGGAAGCGCGGAACAGCGGCGATTAGCGGCGAGAAAAGCGGTCCACACGCGGCTCACGGCAGCACGTCGGTGTCCACGCAGTGTCTACGGAAGGAAACGTGGTCCGCGCGTTCTCAGGTTAATGACGATGATGAAGGTGTGTGTTTGTGTGTTTGCGTGTGTTTGTGTGCGTGTCCCCTCATGTGGCAGGTCACTATAGGACAGTAGTGCAGACATCATGAGCCTATGCAGGTTGTTTTCACCAGTGACATTTAAGTTGTAGGCGTATATTTGTTATTTTCTTTTATATTTCACGTCGGGAGAATAATTTCCAAGACACGAATGTGTTTTTACCTGTGCACTGCTGACTCTGTTCTACTGGCTCTTCGACCTCGTCCATTGTGCGACTGACGCCGCCAACGTGACGTTTACATCGCTCTTACTGCGCGCGTTTTGTGTGGGTTTCCGACAATGAGTGGAATTACCGAAATAAAAAAATGTATAAATGTGTTTTTTGTGTGTGTCTGTGTGTATGCTGTTGTCCCAACAAAACATAAAAACAGGTTTTATAATAAAGAAACTCACATACAGAAACACTAAAGTTAGAGATTAAAAATGAGATTAACGCGATTAAAAAACATAACGCGCTAAATATGACTGTAATTAATTAATCGCAATTAACGCGATAATTTGACACCCCTAGTTATTTTATGTAAATAGTAAATTCCAATATTGCCTAATCTAGACTCAATATATTCTACTGAAAGTTACAACTGCCCAGTAGTTTTAATGACATCCCTTGGCAATGCTAGGCCTGTCATGATAATTACTTCATAGACTTACCATCATTCAATATTTGAAAGCTGGAACAATATTTTTTTAGGGCCAATATTTATCGTTTGTATTACTGGGGAATTTTTGGTTATACTTTGGCAATATGATGAGATTTGAGCCATAGAAGGTTGAATGAATAACTTCTATGTGTCATTATAGATGCAAACGAAGTACTAAAGTGTTTAACCTTCTATTTATTTATTGCAGCTTTTGTAGTTTAAATCTTCTTTTATTATTTGTTAAAATAATGTTGTTGTGTCAGTGGCATACATTCAGTTTCAGTATTATCATCTATTGTCTATAATTACTTCAGCAATTAGAACGTACTTAAAATGTATTAATGTGACAGACCCATCAAGGGCCAATGTTTTCATGAGCAGTTTAATATCTAGAAGCCTTCCAACGTAATAATGTTGCTGTCCAGAAGATGTCACTCTTCAGTAAAATGTATTTCCTGTCCTCTTATGTGCAGTATGGAGGTGCTGGTGTCCAGTCAGCCCCGGGAGGAGGAGGGGGCTGAGGGGGCCGAAGGAGACGTGGGGCTGCAGCTGAAGATCAGTTTTAAGGAGAAGGCGATCCAGAGAAATGCTCGACTCAATGGGAAGTGGGGTCCAGCCGAAAACACTTTGTCCTTCTTCCCCTTCGCCTCTGGAGAACCTTTCAAGGTACTTCATCTCTGACAGGCGATTCATAGACTGTATATATAAATCGACATGGCTAAATCGCAGGAAGGAAGTGATCATGGGGGCGTTTTCAGCTCCAACGACTCTGGTTCCGATTGACTTTGCATTGAAAATTTGTCAACCCTCTATCTGTAACTGCTGCAGTGAGCCTTATCATTTTGGTATTAAAATGTATGTATTAATTCACGCTGTAATTCTGGTGTTCTTACTTCTCTATTTTGTCTGTAAATAAATTTCTATTCTTAATATGGAATTGGTTCCGAATTTGCCCCTGTAACTACTAGCATCAATCTTAATTTTACTGGAGCCAAATGCTATAGGTAATGCCACACTCCCTCAGTCAGCTTCTTTATACAGTCTACAGTCAAGTCTGAGAAGTCGAGGGCAAATTGTTGTGCCATGTCAATCATTCAACTATCTCTTATTACTACGCTCAGTCAGAAGGTAAAGGTTGAGTAATCTTGGCCAATTAGTCACAGCATCAACAGTGACTACTTCAGAGGTGACTTACTTTGACCAGTTTGTTAGACACACTCTTCCAATTCCAAGTATCGTTATTGTTCTAAAATTCCTTGAAAAAATACCTGACCTATGATGGCGGCGTTCTGCTTGTTTTAGCTGAGTTCTTCTCTCAAATAGAAAACACTCTGTTTCACCTTGTGATGTCATGTGGTAATACAGGATGTGCTCCACTATGTTATGAATGATTTGGATCATTTCAGCCCTGAAATTGCCAATACCTACTGAACAAAAAGTAAAAGGTAGCAAAACAAAACACAACTCAGGTTTGTTTTTGATGAGGTAACAACAATCTAACTTGGCTTAAAGCTCACATGAGTAAATTTTGTGTAATATAGGACCATTAAACTAAACCCACTAAACCCATATTATCTTTCAGATGGAGATTGTATGCGAGCACCAGCAGTTCCGTATCCTGGTGGACGGACAGCCTCTGTGCGGTTTCTCCCATCGCTTCACCCCTTTGGCCTCTCTCACCTCTTTACGAGTATGTGGAGACCTGCAGCTCACAAAGGTGGCCTAACCAAGGGGACGATTAGCTGTGTGTTTATTTAGAAAAGTGCTACGAACAAATCAACCCACGAGAAAACTGCATGGGTTTACTTGTTCCAAACAGAATTACACCTGACTCAAAATAATGTTGAAACCAAGTGCCTTCACTAGGTTCACTGCAGAGGAGCTGGGAATTATTGGTTGAATGTACAACTGGCAATGATGGTTTGTGTTCAACCACTAATCTGATCCAAATTTATGACTTTGCAATTATTGATACTTTGCAGTGACATCATGCTGGGGGTGTATTTGTATGTATTTCTATGGTGGAATGTTCATCAGCTATCATAGTGACACTATTTAAAGACAAAAACAGAAGATAGAAAATTTATTTAAACAACACATTTTAAGGAATTTGTGATCTTTGATCTGGTTAAAAAAGGTGACTAATTGAAAATGCTAGCAAGCTTGTGACTGTAATTTAATGTTTAAGAGACTTGTTTAACAGCAGAAATCAGCTCACTTGTTGTAGTTCCATCTAAGTCAGCTCTTTCTGGTCAGATTGTGTTCAAACAAAGCTCACTTTACACACCCACAGTGAACGTTGATGACATCAGCTGCAAAGTATCAATAGAAACAGTTATTGAATTTCTTATTTAGGATGGTTAATTAGACAGAGAGAGAAGTACAAAGATGGATTGATTTAAATATATAATGAAAGGTGTCGTAACATATTTTCAGATCCCAGAAGGACATTTGAGTTAGCGAACAGTTAATTAGTTAAAGGTGCACTATGTAACTTTTCTGGTGCCTTCTTTTTCTCCATGAAAAATATGTTATTGCTTTGCCTATAATGTTGCACACTATGACAATGAACTTGTCTGTCTTGCATTTATTCAATTAAAGGTGTTTTTTAAACCTACAACTTTTGCACCCCTGCTTGTCTCCATGAAGATAGACAAGTTTAATGTGATATTGTGGAACATTCTAGACAAAGCAATGCAAAGAATGTCTATTTAGATTGTATACACTTCTTTATACAGTCACAGCAGGCATAGCCAACTTCCACTGTTGGAAATAAAATTATTATTAACAGAAATCTTAATTTATAAATGGTGGTACCACAATAAATATTTTAATTTTCATCAATTGCTACTTCATTAAAAGTCTTTCTTAATTCAGCAAACAAAGTGTAGAAGCTTGAAGGTGCATTGTATAACTTTTCTGGTGGAGGTGTCATCAGATGCTTTTCTTCATGGAGTCATGTTATTGCTTTGTCTGGAAAAGAAACACCTGTAATTAAATAAATGTTAGGTAGAGCTGTTTAATGTTATACTGTGGAACATTTCAGGCAGACCGATGACACATCCATAAAAACAAACAGATGGACCCCCAACCAAAAATTTACACAGTGCACCTTTAATTGTTTAGTCTAAAACACTGAATCCTCAGAATTAAAATGAATGTGTCTGAACAGTGTGAGAGCCCAGTGCAGTACTGTAACAGGTGTAATCATGTAATGTAGCCTATAATAGTGCATGCCATTTACACACAGTGACTTTGAGTTCCCTTAAAACTAATATTTTCAATCATAAAATAAATACACTTTTGTTTGGTATCATAATAAGTTTTGTACAATTTTAAGCTCTAGACAATTACTTGATTTTCCTTCTAAGCACTTTGTACGGTAATGTTTCATGTTGCAATAAATGACTTAGTTGTTATATTTGTGGTTTCTTTAAATTATTACCGAACTCATTGTATCATATCTTGGACTGTTGACATGTTTTTTCAACTTAAGTGGTTGAGACAGGCTTGAGTCAGCACTGGGAGCGCCGCTTACAACATTAAAAAAAAAAAAAAAAAACACAGTAAAAATTTGACGTTAGAAAAAATACCTTCCTTTAGGCTCCACAGGTCTGAACCCGAACAAAAATTTACTGGTGTTTTAGCCATTTGACGAATAAGCAAAAAGTACTAATGCTGTTATTATAGTAAAGGTCTTTGTTATACTTTCTATAAAAATAATAAATTTAAGTCTTTTAGGCATTATTAATCCCTCTACTGAGAATCAGGAACAGTTTTATTGCCATCAGTGATGAGAAAAGTAATCACTTTTGTTATATAAGTAAAAGTACAGATACAGGGGCAAAAGATTACTCAAGCAAAAGTATCACATGGAAAAATCCAATTAACTAAAAACATTAAAATGCCTCTTTAAAAATGTACTTAAAGAGTGAAAACTAAAAGTATTTCGTGCATATTCTTAGATGTAATGAAGCGTCAAATGTACTGATTTTGATAAAGATTTGGGTTGAATTTTACTCAGTAGAAAGCAATTAAATGGCACTGCCACACTGGGGCTGTAAGGGGTCAATAGCTGTTAAAAACAGACTATAGCATTGTCCTACACACTTTTGAACTCTGAAACCTTTTAGAATTACTTTTTAATGTGTATAGTAAAAAAAAAAGATATTTTATGGAAAGCAAACACAGTTAAAATGAAAAAGGTGTTTACAAAGATAGTAAAAAATAATACCCTATACGTTTGTGTATCTTGTTTTTTTTGAAAGAGAAAAAAAAAACATGCATTGATTACTATTGCATTTTATTTCTTTTAAAAAATATTATACCTACAAAATGTGATTTTATGATTCAAAGAATTCCTATAAAATTGTGTTAGTGTAAAAATCTAGGTGGTATTCATTCATAAAAGTATTAATTAAAATATAAAAATAATCTAATGGCATCTACCTCCTGTATGTGTATGGAGTTAATATATTATTATTATTTCTATTATATAACATAAGAAAGATATATGTATAAAAAAAATAACTGATTAAATGAATAGTTAAATACAAAGAAATCAAAGTTTCTATTTTTGTTCAAATTTACTAGTGTCAATCAGGCTGGTTGATAGTTTTCTAGACGCTCCAGTAATGCCTCTGAGTATCCAGGAGAGTAGTATCTGCAAACAGAAAAAACAAGCCTTCATATAAAAACACAACTAAATTCCATATATTATTTTATATTTTGAAGTAATGTCATTTTAAAACAGTAACATGTGCACACACCTGACTATCTCTTCTGGGAAGCAGCTGTTAATGGCGTTGATGTGGTCCTGTAGAACTGACCCGGGCTCTGCATCAATCTCCTGCACTTTCTTCAGTCCTCCACTGGTGACAAAGAGCCGCCGCGCTTTACTGTCATGAGGCAGGATCTGAGAGACCACAGGAGAAGAGAAGGGTAAGAAAACTGAAAAAATATATATTATTTTTAAATTTATTTGTACACTATTTACTTGTATAGATTTTATACTATAATATACTTTATGATGGTTATTCTCATGTTATGGTTATTCATTTTAACTGATGTTGTCATTTTAATCTGATTTGGGATTAGAAAGATAAAATGGCTATAGTTCTAGTGAAAAAATTTGACATTTTATTTTATTTACCATTTAATAATTTGCAAGGAGGCTAATGAAAAATGTATGGCATAAAACAGGCTTCATAATTCAGAAAATATAACTAAATTCAGAAAAGGGTGAGTTTATTCTATACTGTACCTTGCTGAATTGGCCAACCACATGTTTGAGAATATTGGAGGGGGCATCATAGAGTAGGGGCTCTAGACCAGGAAGATAGGTGCATTTTTGGAGGATGCTCTTCAGTGCTTTCTTACTCTGATGCACATAAGTGAATCAAATATCAGTAATTTGTCATTTTTATCTTGTAACATCATAACCACTCAGCCTTACCTTGGTCTGCAGGTCCTCAGAGCTGTTGGGGTCCATGTAGAGCTTCAATAGTTTTGGGAGCAGGCTGCACATAGCTACTGCTTTGGCATGCTCTGGAGTGTGCTGTCCAATCTGGTTTATGGACCACACTGTTGCAGCTTTGATGTGATGCTCAGGCTCCTCCGATAGGCATAAGGCAAGCTGAGGCACCCCCTAGAGGAGAGGGCAGGTACGCACTTAAGTTTCAATCCGTTTATATGACCTACATACCAAACCCCGAAGAATGCCTCCACTTTTAGATGCCGCTAGTCTTATGGTGATTAGGAGATTTTACACACACGCACCTTAGAAAGAATGACAGCCATAGCTAGATTCTCATTGTGTGCTGCTATGTATCCCAGCATCATGATCCCAGGCAGACGCATCTGTCCACTGCATTCGCCCAAGTAGTCTATAACAGTTGCCAGACTTCCATAGTTCACTATTAACTGAGCCAGCTGGAAAGTTACATAAACACTGCACATTACCTTTTCAGGTCTATGTATGCATCCAGTAATATAGTGTGTGTCATGTGCTGTACCTCTGGTGTATGCTTGACTACCTCTCTCATAAGCGTAGTGACGTTTTTCCTCACATACTCGTCTGGGTCTTTAAGGCAGGCAATTGCTGCAGGGAAAATCTCCGCCTCGATCACCATCTCAGCCAGACTGTGGGAGTGCTTACTGATCTGACTCAACGCTGAGAACACCTGTCTCTGGATTCATAAACAGAATAAACTCAGGTGGAAAGATTTTTAAACATTTTTCACATTGTAGTTGTATTTTTTATGGTTGAAAATTATGTCAAATCCAATACAGCACATGTTAAATGTGTCCACCTTTAAGGCAAATTCAATGGTAAACTGAGCTGGTAGTAAATAAAATCAGTGTATATAAAATACATCAACAATGTGTTTGCCCTGACCTCTACCTTGAGTTTGGCGTCTGGATTTAGAATCATTTGTGCCAAATGTGCAATAGCCCCAGTGTCCACCACTGTATGGGCCAGTTGTGGTGTGTGTTTGCAGATGTCACTCAGTGTAGAGGCAGCGATACGTTTCAGGGCTATTTCAGGCTCCTGGAGAGACAAGACCAGCAGAGGAGCTGCACCTGCATCCACGACGGCTTGAGATAGAGCTGCACAGGATACACGTGTTACTTAAATCATACTACATACACTTCATTAGTTGTTCATCACAATGTCTTACATGCATTGTGCCGTGCGATGCAGCCCAGAGCCCAGGCAGCTGCCTCCTTCACCCCGGGGTCAAAGTCCTCGAGGCAGAGCACCAGAGCTTTGGCTCCTCCAGACAACACCACAGCCTCAGCCAGCTCAGGAGAGTGTTTGGCTACAGCCCGCAGCACAAACGCTGCTGCCTTTTTGTAAAACCGCTGTAGAAAACCAAGACACCGTTGAGTTTTCTAATTTAAAAGCAATGTAGTCTAAATGCACCAGGGCCCTAGATTTCTCTCTTTTTTTTTTTTTAATCATTGATTGGTTGGTCTTATACCCATGACATGCAAAAAAAAGTGCATACTAACATTCTGTGAATCAAGAGAGTTGACAAGTTGGGGGAGGATGTCTGCTTTCACCACAGCTTCAGCCAGGTCATTATTGTGGTCTGCCAGGCGGCCGAGAGCCAAGGCTGCAGTCTGCTGGATACTAGGTACTACATCCAGCATAAGTGGGCGTAGCAAGGACATCACACCTGTTGGGAAATAAGATCCTAAAATAAATTATTTAAATAATACCTATGTTTATATTTAAGCTTTGTTTGAATGTTCCTTACCCATATTTTGCAGAATTTCTATGTTTTGTGGCCGGTTTGCAAGATCAGCCACAGTCTGAACAAATTGCATTCGGGATCTCTGGTACTGTTCGAAAACTACAACACAAGAAAGCAATGAATAAATTAATTGGTCAAAAATGTATAATATGATGTACTGCCAGTAAAACTAGGTACTACCTCATGAAAGTAGTTTACATTACATATTATTATCTAAGTATTTTATGCATTACATAAATGCTGTCATAACCTATTAAAGACACTGAAAGAGGTAAACAACAAATGAGCTGTTCAAATGGTATAACCTCAAAAACAGGACTGGCTAACTACACAATAGGTAACATCTGCACTATGTTGCGATAATCTGCGTATGACTTGGAGGCAGCACCACGACAGCATAAATAATGTCTAGGGGTTTTCCTCCTTTTTAGCGCATTCTGTGAGCTCCTTGTTTAAGCTTAACGCTATATTTGCAGAGGAATGTTACGCTCTCTTCCCAGGCATTGTTGCTGCTGTCACAAGTATCCACGTATTTGACAGTAACTAATTTTATTAGCCTACAGTTTTCACTGTAATGCATTACACTACTACATTCCTGCAATTTTGTGTATTAATTATCTAATCTATGAATATATTACTGAAACAGCTAACGTGAAGTAAATTATACCCAACATTTATGCCAGTTGCTAGCCTTTTTGTTAGTTAGCCTACTGGACCAATAGTTAACTTTGGGGTGCCAATCAAACGCAGTGTTTCTTACCTTGAATTATTTGTCGTTGACTCATTGTTTATTACTTATTTTGGACTAATTTCCCCACGCAGTCTGAAGCGGTTGACAGATCCAGATGAAGCCGTGCAGCTCGGTTTGCGTCGGTTTGAGTCGGCTTGTGTTGTTAAGCCAATGATGTTCATTATGTCTTCTTATATACATTGTCTTTAAAAAGAACCTAAGAAGTTAAAGGCTAAAGCCTTGTGTTGTTGTTACTTGTTGCCATGGTAATCTCCTGGCAACGGCAGTCTCCCCAAAGATTGTGTTTTGTGAGGATGAGAGTCTGAGGGCAGATCAGCGGTCATCATGTGATGCTGACGCCGATATCAGGTGCTATGGCCATCTATTTTGCCTTTCATTCTTGCTCTGTTCATGTAACTGTTGATTAACATTACAAGTATCATGCTAAGATTTGTGTTGTATTTAACGTGTGTGTGTGTTTGCCATTACATTGCCACTGGTCGAGAGACGCTTAGACCAAAAGCCGACACATAACCACGTTATTAACATTATAGCTGTTAAACAAATGTCAGCTAATTTCCCGTTTCGCGCGCATCTTACTTCGTTGATTTTTTTTTTTTTTTTTTTTTTTTTTTGCCATTTCAAATTTGTGGAAACTTTACCTTGCTACAAAGGTTTGTCTGATTTTAATTTATTTTTATTTATTCTTCAAAATCAGTCTAAAGTCTGGGGAAAGCTGGTATACTTTGGTCAATTGCCGGTTTAGGCTAAATTGCATAATTTGGTCAGTTTGAGTATCGCTTGGGTTTCCAATGTTAGCCAACATAAACATGCTGTCTAGCTATTTGCTTTCCACGTAGATAGTCAAGTACAACTAACAAACATTTGGACTGACCAACATGTAAAATTTTATTGTATCGTTAAAACAGTTTTTGTTGCTATATTATGGGGCTAGCTTGTTGAGTGTGTTATTATTTTGCAGTTGACTAAATCAGTAATGCTATGAAAAGCCTTGCCTTGCTAAAGCTGCCTTTTGCCCAACGCCCGTCTTTCTCAGGTAATGCAAAGTTACACAATTTTAAAAAGATTTAACGTCATATTAGTTGAACTCTTTTTTTTTTTTTTTTTTTCTTCAATTAAATTCTTTAGCGGGAGAAAAGAAATCTAACGTTAAATGTTAGGACGCCATCATGGCGTTGGCTCTCCGCGTTTGACTTTTGCATGCAAGTCATTGGTTTTAATATTTTTTCCATATTCAGGAAAGAATACGTGTAAAATGTTTATTTAGATGTTTTTATACTGTGCAACAGTAACAATACAACAGGTTGTCCATACAATCGAGCGAATAAACACGAGAGACATTAAAACATCATAATGAATATGAAACTGAGCAGCCCCAGTCTTTGAGAACAGAAGAAAAGAATAACATGATTAAATAATAGTTGTTGTTTTTGTTTTGTTTTGTGTGTGTGTTTTGTTTTTTGTTTTTTTTTTTAACAGCTGGTTTTTGAAAATCAGCTAAAACAACATGGATAAAAATCAAATTTTACAAAGCACTGCTGATGTGAAGGCAAACTTTTCTCGCATAAAAGCCTCATTTTTAACCGTCTTGACGCAAACCTCCCTGTACAAGTTCTCTCATAATACAAATTCCTTAATGGCTTTCCTCTACGTTTAAGATTTCTAAAGATTACGTAAATGCATATTAAAAGAGTAGGCTATAAAAGCTTTAAAAACCAAGAGATAACAAAAGCATGCACGTATCATCTTAAGCTTGTTAAGCACATGGATGAATTTGCAATGACATACGTTTAATTTGAACAAAACAAATAGAACTTCAGTCACTGTAAAATAACAGCTTTGCTCATCCTTTTTTCCCATGTTTTTTTTCAGTTTTTACAGTCTTTGATTTTGAATTTCCAACAGTAAAAAACGTCCTTAAATAGTTTATTTTGAAATGTATCCGATCCCTCCAGTATAAACTTAAGATGTGATAATATATTAACAACAAATTGAGGGGGGAAAAAAGAACATCGTTGTCTACACCGCTATATAGGTTGGCATAAAATTATAAACTGGATCAGGCGACGACTCTTCGGGGAGCCATCCAGAAGACGATCCGTTCAGTGCAACCTTCCTCGGTTTGTTGGCGCCGCTGTTCCCGCTGGGAAACTGTGTAAAAGAGCGGCTGGGGGCGGGTGGTGCAGTTATTGACGTCCCGTTCACGTTGTTATTGCCGTGCGTGGTCTGCAGGGGACGCGGAGACTGCGTCGCTGTAGCGGGACTCGGCAGAGAAGAGGACGTGGACGGAGCCCCGGTGGGACTACGCGCTTTGTCGCTGGCAGAGTCACTGTCTGGCCCCGATCTGCCGGTGCTGTTCTGCCCGTCCTGCTCCGAGTGACTCACCTTCATCTTCTTACAGCTGGGTCTGACCCGATACTTGAGGGGAAGCGGACCATTCTGTGGAGGCGAGTTAAAACTTTTAAAAACTGCTTAACAATTTGGTCTAGCTTCATTGACAATGACAATAAAAATAAAAATAAAAGACTTAGGAACTAGTGGAAATTTTAAAAAGTTATTTCTCACTGAGAGCTTTGACTGCATTATGACACTGATACCTATTTGAACACATTTAGAATTTATTCAATTATTCAATACATCAGGAACAGCACAAATAATAACACCATTGGTTGGAATACCATAGCACTTAAAAAGGTTTAATTATTAAATAAAGCAATATTTGATTACATAGCACAATATTTTGGATATCATAAAATAGTGATTCTTACCCTTCTCCATGTGTATATATAGGCTATGTCCATTAATGTGTAGTAATCTTTCAGAGGTTCATCTTCATACATAACATCCACCTGTTAAAAATGTGCCATTATAATAATTGCCGACAATTAAACTGAAAAATATAAACACATTGATATTTTTCGATACAGAGAAAGGACTTGAAAGTAAGCATATTGTCTCTGACCTGATAGGAGTTTGGGATGTCCATTTTACTGCGGAGAAACTTTCTAAGATGCATCACTGTCATTGCTGCTGGACACTGCAGGTACCTTTTATTTGCTAGCTGCAATTACATATAGAACAGTTAAATACCACCCTAAATCAATTAAATATATTGAAAAAAAATACAATAAAACACAAATTCCTCCTCAATGAAAATTTAATGGAAGTAATGTACCTGTTCTTTAACCTGCTTTCCTTCTGGTCCCATTCCCATTCTGTGCAGACAAATTAAAGGTTGTATGGAGGATTTTTTGTTTTGTTTTTTTTGTTTCAAGTTGTCAATGATAGCATTATAGAGGTGCAGTAGCCTTGTAATTATGATGACCAAAAAAAAGAGAATAAAAATTCATCAACTCTGGACGTGGTGGGGCCAGCTAAACATTTGCCAATAGATAACGACATTGCCTCGTTATCTGTTAGCTGACAGGCTGTCAATCAATCTCCCTACGTTTCTAGCGTAACTGACTTGCCTGCGCGCCAGCCGGTACGTGGTTTACGTACGCCTGTCACGCAGTCCACAGACGCAAGACGCACAGACGCTGTTTACTCCACCAACGCAACAGTTCTTAGCGGCTTTTTTTGACCTATATCTTCCTCGCAGTTAGCACAAAGTTTGTTGCAATGGCAGACAAGAATCCAGGAGCAGTTAGCCGCAAAAGAAAGTCCGTTTTTGAGGTCGCTGAAAGAAGAAGACAAGGGGAAAAGCAGCGAAGCCAAACTAAGGTGATTCTTGAAGATTCATTCCAGCGATGGCGCAACTGAAGCAGACGCAGGGTCTAAAGACTGACGCACTGGTCGCCAAATTACTCCTGGACAGGTAACTTCTGCTTATTATGAAAACGTACTTTATTTCCAAGAGCTAGTCAAACGTTTTTCAGGACACGAAAGCGATATCCTATGTCTGAAAACGTAATTTTCAAGGCAAAGAAAGAGTCCGCTTGCTGCTGCGTGTTGTAGCTAGTTCATTCGCACTGAATCTCCGCGCACTCTTCTCTGCTCCCCTTTCCTGCTCCTGTTCCCGCTGCCCGTTCCGCTCTTCCCCCTGCTCCTCACTTCTCCGGGCACGGAATCTCCGCGCACCGCTCCCCTCTCCTCTCTCCTCTCCCTGCTCCCCTCTTCTCCCTGCTCCTCACTTCTCGTCCGCGAACGAAATGTCCGCACACCCGCTCACCCCGCTCCTCACTTCTCCGCCTTGCCTAACCAACACTGTAGTTAGTTGTTTACAAGTCATGTGCAGCTCACCGGCTGTAAACAAACCTGTTTCTGGCGTAAAGAGGAGGCGGGAGAAGGCGTTTCTACGTAGGGAGCTGTAGGGGAGGGGGGGTGGTTTCACGCATGCGCAACATTTGAAAAAGGACAAACAGTCGCTGGATTTCTCGTTCCTTGGAAAATCCTCTATACAACCTTTAACTGATAGCTGTTTTTCTATGTATATTTTTGTTTGCTCAAATTATGAACTTGATTAAAAAAAATAAACCCTCAGCCTCTCAAATGTAGTGAAGTAAAAGTAAAAAGTATCCATTTATAAATATATGAATATCTAAAATATGTACTTAATTACAATACTTTACTACTTTTACTTCGTTATGTTCCACCATGGATTGCCATTGTCAGTGACTTTGACTAAAATTGGTGGCGATAGAGACAATATTGTAGCCACTGCTGCCCTAGAATAGACTGAGTACATACCAGTGTCTTGCCCAAGGACACAACAGCACTGGTCTGAGTGGGATTTGAACCACTGATTTTTGGGTTGGTGGACAAGCTACTGCTGATACTGTTATATATCTGCGATATAACTAGGTTACCTAAATACAATTACTGTAGCAGCTACTAACACTAATACTATATCTTATACATGTCAACAAGATGATGCAATTATATTTGAAAAAAAAAACATTTATTTAAACAAACAGAAGAGATGCTACACTTATTATATTACATAGACATCATCAAAAAGTGCTCAAGATCATCTAAGAATCTATAAATAATCTATAAAGCAGTGCTACATTGGGTAAACTTGCTGAACCCTGTGCATCCATGGGTTTCAGGATGTTGAAAAATAAGGACCGCTGCCATAGCAGTTAAAATATTTCAACAAAATACTATTTCTTTTGAATGAGCTTTCTTCATGGCCTGGTCCTCAGTTAAAGTAAAGGTTTAATGGCAGTGTTATAAATAATGTTACAGTATATTATTGTTTTGTTGTTTTGTTTTGTTTATGTGTGTTCTCTGATGGCGTCGATCCAGTCCATCTTCTCCTGATGTGATGGGGCCTGGATGAAGTAATGAGTGTCCGACTGAGTAATGATTTTAAACAGGTTTCCTTGAATGTTGCCTTTTACACCTAAAATAGAAAGAATGAAAAAACAATATAACAACAATGTAATGTAGTTTTAAAGATTTATCAGCTAAAAAAACAGTGAATATGCTATGGGGATTATAATTTCTAGCAGGTTTCATTTAATAGGTGGACAGGAGCGCAGAAAATACAAAGGTAATGTGAATTTGTTATAAGGTAGTAACTGATTATTTTAAAGGTTTTATTTAACATTTATTTTGTATTGTATTTACATCGAATTGTAAAGCAACTTGGCAAAACATCTATCATCTATCCATCTAACCATATATCCATATATCTATATATTTCCACGTATTTATAATTATTATATCAGACATTTTCTAACCTGATGGCACTCCATTGTCTTCCAGTGCAGACACCAAACAGCTTCTGAGTGAGAATCCTCCGACCGGGTTGATGTCATCCTAACGACAGGAAGTGGATCAGACTCACAAACACAACACTTACCAGCAATTATTATGAGCACATTCAACACCACAGAATTAGTCATGGTGCCTGTGACAGTCAAAATATACACTATATATATAATTCCCATGGCAACAGACAGGCTGGCCGTTTTGTGGCTACCTGTCTCACATACTGAGCAGTTTTTGAAACTTTTTGTTTTTTGAGCTTAGTTTTTAACATCATATCATGGGATTTTAAGTGTAGCATATCCAAGTAAAGGACTGTTGGATTTTGTGAAATGAGCTGTTTGTCTGTCCCATATCCATGGAGACCATGCAGGAGGTTTGGACATTTCAGATGCTACAGGCTTTTTACACCTTCCAGATGAAATACTCCGAGACCTTTCATATGAAATAACACGAAGGCAACTGAGAAGCACAGTGTAAAAGTATTAGTAATGTACTTATGAGGCTTACCCTGGTGGGGTCATAGTAATGGAGGAAGGCTGGCTCTGAACGTAGCACGAACAGTCGAACTTTCCAGTTTTTCCTTCTGTGGCCCTGATATTACAAAAAAGTACAAACATTTGATTATAAGGTAATTCGATTATGAGGATTTGAGATTCATGTATACAAATAATATGAACTAAGTAAAATAAGAACTTTGCTTTCCAATTTACCTTTTTAATTGATTATTGAGTAACATTTAACATTTGTAAAATATAACTCATATGCATTGGAGATCTGGGGTGATACTGGGACAGTAGTAGTTGTAGCAGGAGTAGTAGTAGTAGTTTAGCAGGTGTACTATTAGTGGTAGTAGTAATAGTAGTAGCAGTAGCAGCAGTAGAAGTAGTAGTAGTAGCATTAGTCTTTTTAGTTCATTGACTGCATGTACCTGTTTGAGCAGATATCCTCTCTTCACCACTTTCCCGCTGAGCTCCACTGCAGACAGGGAGGGCTGAGCCTTCACACTGCCACGCTTCTTCAGGCTGTCACTCTGAAAGAACAGTACATTATAATCTTACATTATAATCTTATAAATCATATATCACTGACAGTCTGACACATATAAGTTCAAACTTTAGTAGCTTAGTAGCATCTTTCTACTTATAATACTGTAAAATGTTAGTTGTAAAATAACTTGAATTTACCAGGACTGTACAGCTAGTGTACAAATATCTGAGCGTAACATTGTGCTAGTATTAACTGCAATTTGACGCTTAGCTTTGTGCATGCTTTACTGAGTTAAAAAGTTATCAAATGGGGGGGGGGGTATTTAATGAAGAAAGAGTTACTATTGAATAGTGTAACATGAATAACACTCTACACTATTTCTACTTCATAAAGTGTTAAAACATAGCAATATAGAGTTGTTAGTTTTTCACTATACACTAGTGTAAAAAAATCTAATCTTAATTAATATCAAATTCAACTATGAGGAGTGTGGTTACATCACTTTACCAGTGTTGAGCCTTCTACACTTTGGAAAGTGTAGTTTTAACTCATTTTATTGTGGACCTCATATGACATGGTAAAAGTGTTAAAATTAACAGTATACAAGTTGAATTAAAACTCTTGAATTTGCTTTGAAGAATATTCTCCTCTCCTCAAAAACATACCTGGAGTTGTTTTGTTTTTTGGCACATGCTTGAGTAATCCTTTAGTTCATTATGAAGGTGTATTATTGAGGTTAAAAACACAATGGCACACTTCCTATAGTACCACGTGACATCACAAGGTGGCAGAGTGTTTTCTATTGAGAGAAGAACACAGCCTAAATATGTGGGATTTGTGTGTTCAGTATGTGTGAATTAGAAAAAAAACATGACAAGGAAACAGCAGTAAAACATAGACCAGAAAAGCTTAAAAGTTAGTATTATACTCACAAAGCTGTAGAGGGCGGTAGAGTCATCGATGAGCTGTTGACTCGGTCCGGCTGTTCTGAGAGCCTCAGTGCTCCTCAGACCCACTGTGCGTAGGAAGCCCTCCTCCAGTAGAGCAGAAGCCAGAGTCACCGCCTCCACCCGTGACAGGGAGAACTGCATGAACACCAGCCAGTCCACCACTGCAGAGCCTACACATTCAGAGTTTAGAGTGATGGCAAAATTAAGATAGTTGCCGTAGCGATTGACAATTTAAAAGAATGAGCTTAAACTTACCAGAGAAGCAGTTCTTGTAAGTGTTTCCCTGCTCCATGTGACAGTTCATATTTATCCCACTGTGGACATCGTACATGGAGTCCAGCACTTTACTACAGGAATAACACAAATATTAGTATCACAAAGTCTACTTAAAGGTGTACTGTGTAACTTTTCCAGTGGGAGTGTATGCAACTTGTCTTAATGAAGTTATTGCTTTGATTAGAATGTTCCACTGTATGCATTAAATATCTCAAAAAAACTTTAAAAGGCCCATATTACGCTATTTTATGATCTCTGTTATAATGTTGTTTCCTGATCAAAAACATACCTGAAGCTTGTTTCATTCACACATGTTTAACTCACAAACCATGCATATTTAGGCTGAGTTCTTCTCTCAAAATGGGAAAAAAACACTCTTGTGATATCATGAGGTGATGTAAAATGTGCCCCACTGTGTTTTTAAATTCCATACTCCTTTACTATAACCATTTGATGATTTCAGCCCTGGAATCACCAATTACTACTGAACTAAAGAAGACTGAATGTAAGGTCAAAGGTAACTGTTAACTTGAAAACTACCACTACATGACATCACAAGGTGGAGCAGAGTTTTTTGAGCTATTGGAGATGTAGATGGGCTTTTCAAACATGGCTAAAAGCTCACAAGAGTAAATTTTGTTTAATATAGGACCTTTAATATAAAATCTCTGTTTTACCTCAGATCAAAATGGTGCAGCTCAGTCTCTTCTGAATCAGGAACAGTGGACACATTCCCAGTGTCCTTTGAGTTCAGCCTCTCCACAGCAGACAAAATGTCCGCCGCCCAAACATCTCTCTCCTCACGCGAACACGCCTCCAGAAAATGCTCCACTCCGGTCTTTGCCACAATTTTCAAAACCAACTGGAGATGACACACATAAACATAACAGTTTAGCAATTGAATTTATATTTAATTATAGCTATCACAATTGAAGAATTAGAGTGTTTTAAAGGGGCAGTAGGTAATTTTTCTGATGAAGGATCTTCCACATGATGGAGATGTTGTTGCTTTGCCTGGAATTAAAATGCCTGCATGATAAATAAGTTTAATGCCATTTGGTGGAACATTCCAGAAAAAAAGCAACATCTCCATGGAGACAAGTATGTGACCCCACCAGAAAGGTTACAGTGAATATCTATAGAAAAAAACATGGTCTGCTTTACTTATAAAATGTAACCTTTCCTCACAATCCTCTCCATGCCATATTGACACTGACATGCCTTTATTAGCCTACAGACAGGTTTTAACAACATCATGGAAAAACATGTTGTGCTTTGGAGATAAAAATCAAGTCTTGACAAAACAGTGACCTGAGGCGAAAAATGGTTGCATCACGTTTATAGAATGAGCGGTGAAAGAAGCGCCACACCCGGGTGCACTGTTAAAATAAAAGTGTGGTTTGCAGCTATGAAAACTTGTATTTTTATCTGTAGTTGTATATGACAGTAAACCCCACAACATAAAAAATATAACCTCAACAAGCTTTTATGATACAGTTCATACAAGTTCTTAAAGGGCCCATATTACATTATTTGTGATTTATCTTTTAATGTTGTTTCCTCATTACAAATATACCTGGAGTTGTGTTTTGTTTCATTCACACGTTTAACACACAAATCCTGCATATTTAGGCTGAGCCCTTCTCTCAAACAGAAAACATTCTGTTCTAGCGTGTGATGTCAATATTGGAAATAGCTCCACCGTGTTTAGACTCCATACATCTTTGTTAGAATCATTTGGATGATTTCAACTTTGGAATTGGCAATCTCTATTGAACAAAAGGTAAAAGGAGCTGTTAACTTGAAAACTACCACTTCATGACATCACAAGGTGGAACAGAGCATTTTGAGCTTTGGAGCTGTAGACAGATTTATAAGGATTACTTGTCTGAATGATTACTACTCAAACATGTGTGAATTAAACAAAAAAACTCCAGATGTTTTTGATGACATGTAACAATATGGCTTAAAGCTCTTAAAAGTTAATTTTGTGTAATAAAGGACGTTTAATAGTTGTAATGTTTTGCTAGAACAACCACATGAACTCTATAAATCAAAACATTTTTAAATTATTGCGAAAAAAAAAAGAATAAGAACTGTCCATTTACACCATGCACACTTATATGAGATAGTTTCAAATGTGTAAAGCAAGTTTCAAGACAATGTGGATTTGCCTGACTATAAGATTAGAAAATAGATATACTGTACTTCTAGACTATAGATTTGGAAAGACTCAAATTTGTCTCAATAAAACAAATAAATTCAACTCACCGGTCGATTTTCATATTCCAGAAAAGGGCATGTGATCTGACATCCTTTTAACAGTATTTTCCCTCTTTGATTGGAGTCCCTTCTTCCTCCTTCATATTTATAATACAGCAGTTTATCAGGCATCAAAATGAACCAGCGCGCCTTCCAGTTGGGAACAAGATGGCCCTAGATATACATACAAAATATTAGCATTTAAAATATCAAATAATGTTAGAAATTAGAAAAGAAAGGGAATGAATATCATAAATTAGCTTACCCGTTTGACCAAAAATCCTTCGCGTAGTACATTAGACTTCTCCATGCTGTTGTTCTGTGACTGAGTTCTCTTCTTTTCACAGTTTTTATAGTGGATTTCAGACACATTCATATTGAGTCATTGTACACGCCTACACACGCCAACACACGCCTTCAACGTCAGATTTACAATTTTATATGACGATCCCAAAACACTACCGCCACATGTTTAGCTATTGCATAAAAGAAAAAGAAAATATGTTTTACATAGATAAAAACTAGCATTTGTTTTTAACTTTGCACTTTTTGAGTAGACCTACAGCTACTACAACAAGTAAATCTATCATCATATTAGTAGTGAAGAATGAGTTGAGGGGATTGGGTAAGACACATCACCCACATCAGCCTCAGGGCAACTATGGCTTGAATTTACTTCAAGCCACTGAAAGCTCTTTATATGAATGAACCACTCACCCATTCACACACACACACTCATACATCAGTGTACACAAACACTGGGGGCGAGCGGGGTTTAAGTGTCTTGCACAACGACAATATTCATCTGTGAGAATCGTACTGCCAACCTGTGGGTCAGAGGACAAAGAGTCTACCAATTGTCTGTAGCCCCAGTTTAGATTACTGATCTGGTGACCAGATTAAAAAAAACAAAACAAAAAAAACAAACTGGGACAAAGTCTAGGATGGATAAATAAAATTGTAAAAAGAGCACATAACACAGTCCATTAATGACTCACTTGTGAGTCAGTATAAAACCTAAGGGACTTTTGTCAGTGCATTATACTCATTTTCAAACATGTTTTTCTGTATTTTAGCTAAATATATCACTCAATATATCGCTCATTGGAGACAGTTGCTCCCCTCATCGGCCCATCATTTTTCATTAATATATTCATGTGTCCATTTCTTTGTAATAATGTCATTTTGGTTTATTAATTCTTGTCAAATTCTTGCAATTCTTTGTCAAATTACAGTCATCACTTACTTATTAAGTGATGAGAGGGACCATGATCAGAAATTATTTAGATTTTGGTGTCTACATGTCATTTTAATAATCTTATAATAACATCAAAAATCTCTTCATAATCAAATTGTGGCTGCTCATGTAACCGCAGCCAGTATAGTTTGGATTTTTCTTGTGCTGCATTTACTCTCCACACGAGGGCACCATTATTTCTTTAAAGTTTAAGCAGAAATTTGGACAAAGTTAAAAATAGGCTACAAAACAAAGAGTGGCTGCGTCATTTAATTAAACGGAGAGTTCAAATCCCAGACTAAACAAACACGAGATGATCTGATCCGGTTGAAGTGAAAGAGCCGTCTCCGGGACAGCTGCAGCCAATAGGACAACAGCTGGGGCCTTGTGTTTGGAGCCGCGCGCACCTCAGACTAAACGGACCCGGGTTAATAAAGGCAAAAGGAACTGTTACCCAGAAACGTTTACTCAGCTATTACACAAGAGCTGCTTTGAACCTCTGGGGCCCTCTCCGCTTAGGGGCCCAAGTCCGCGAGATTAATGTGTTGATGTCAGTATAGAAGATTGGATATTTTAAAGATGTATTATGCAACTTTTCTGGTAGAGGGACCACATATTCATCTTCTGTTGCTCTACCTGAAATGTTCCAAAGTATAGCATAAAACTTTTCTGTCCATATAGAGACAAGCAGGTCAGATCTGTGAAGATCAGATCTGTGAAGAGGCATTCCTGCTCACAGTTAGCCTACGTGTAATGCTACACTGTGGACCTTTCTAAGTAAAACAATAACATCTCCATGGAGACAAGCAAATGGCAGACACTTACACCTTTCAAGTTGCACAGTGCATGGGATTCAAACAAATAATTATTTTCTGATTAGAAGGCCTTTAGAGAGGAACAAAAGAGGACTTTTCCCCATTCAAAAAGTATAATATTTTGATTTGAATTGCTTAATTGCTATGACGAACCCATGAATTAGCCTATTATAAGTTTGTATTTCTTCCTGCTACTTTTTATTCACACATCTAATTTAAAGGTGCACTATATAACTTTTCTGGTGGAGGGCCTGCCACCTGGTTGTCTTCAGAGAGGTTGCTTTGCAGGTGACACCACAGGCCAAGGTACAAGTTACATCTGCAGAGTGGCGGGAATTTTTGATCTGTAATTGAATAAATAAAAGATACTATGGAACATTTTAGGCAAAGCAATAACATGGAGACAAGCAGGTGGCATACCCTTTCTGGTAAAGTTACATAATGTACCTTTGAAGTTCCCATACTATGCTATTTTCTGATATTTTGTAATGTTATTTCCTCATCAAAAGCATACCTGGAGTTGTGTTTTGTTTCATTCACACATGTTTAACACATAAATCCTGCAGATCTGAAAACCACATGACACTTTACCACCTTATGACACCTTCCTGTTTTACCACAACACCTTATGATGTCATGTGATAAAACAGGAAGTGCTAAAATGTGTTTTTAAACTCCATACACGTTCACTAGTATCATTTGGATAATTTCAGTCCTGGCATTCCCAATCTCTACTGAACTCAAGGAAAAAGGTAGTGGTTAATTTGAATGCTACCACTTCATGACATCACAAGGTGGAACAGAACATTTTGAGCTTTGGAGATGTAGACAGAATAAAATAAAGGCTTACTCATACATGTGAATCAAGCAAAACACAACTCCAGGTATGGTTTGATTGTAGTAACAACATTATAACATCACTTAAAGCTCACAAGAGTCAATTTAACATAGTAGTATTAGATCTTTAATGTAAAATGAATATTATTCTTGTTATGCATGTGATAATTTAAGGCTTTATTTTTGCATGGACCACTGCACCTGCTTGATAAAGACAACATCTTCTGTGTAATCTACATTTACAAGACAGAAGGAATGCACCCTAGCCCCTGACTGGCAACCGTCCAAAACAATGCCGGGACAAGAATCTCTTAAACATACAAAAGGAGAATTAGGCGTTTTCTTTTTTTATCTGGAGTAGATTGTGAAGTCACGTCTCCAGGTCAAAGGAGTGCCTGGAATGCTCAGTGTTTAACATTAGCCACAAACCAAACAGTTGCTGCGCTAAAATAAAATAAGAGGTGAGCTGGCGAGCCCGGCTGTGACGCAAATCGTCCAACTCCAGATCCTGGTTTGAGTTCTGCAAATAAAAATACTTTCTCTAGTTTCACTTCCATGGCCACTGTGCATAGACTGGTGGGGTTATATATCGGTTCTCAAATTATTTATTTATTATTACCATTTATATTTTTGCTCTTTGTTATTATAACATATTGCGATGTGTGAGCTACTGTGTCCAAATAACTTCCCTTGTGGATCAATAAAGTCTCAGTCTAAATTAACTCCAGCTCTTATACTGATTTAGGATCATTAAAATATATTGTTTTGTATTAAAAGGTCCATATTATGCTATGTTCTGGTCTATTTTATAATGTTGTTTCCTCATCAAAAATATACCTGGAGTTATATTTTGTTTAATTTGCACTTGCTTAACATACACCTACATAATTAAAGTAGTGCCGTTTTTGTACATACACTTAAATCTTAATAAGCATTAATAAGTGTTCAATAAATAGCTAAGTAACAGCTAATTGCCATACCAATTCCCACTTAGTTAGCACTTAATATGATATGTGATCCATAAATTAAACCATTCATCTTTTTTTACTAAATTATTTTACTATAAGCTTTTATACATCTGCCTAAAAGATTCATAGTATAAGACTGATAAAACACTATCTCCTGTGATTCAATCTTGCCCAAACCCACACTTTTGGATCCATTTTCAGATTAATGGTGCACTATGTAAGTTTTTGTTTGGGGGTCCGTCACCTGCTTATTTATGTGGACATGGGCAGTGCCTGGAATGTTCCAGTATGACATTGAACAGCTCTACTTTACATTTATTCAATCACAGGTGGTTTTATAGCTCAAAGATACCAAGAAAAACAGGCATTCTGACTGTGAGCGGAGTCGCCTCTCCACAGATCTGACCTGTAACTTTGTCTGGTTTGGTTTCCATGAAGATAGAAAGGTTTAATACCATTTGAACTCAATCATAAAAACAAGACATATTTTAAACAACAGGAAAGAAAATGCCTCTTGTATTTTTCTACCTACTTTTTCAAATAGGAAAGTTAACTTTTCATAGCCTCACTGTAAATGACTGCTTATGTCCTTGTCCTTTCCAGACCAATTTATCCCCTATAAACACAGTCATGAATTGTCAATTGGAGAAAAAAAAATCAATGTTTTTGCTTTGAGATTTCACTTTGAGCTGCTTCTACAGTTAGTCATTTTGAAATAGCAAATAGCAGTAGAAAAACGTGGTGACCTATTTTTATAATGGCAGTTACTGTAGCCACATGTTGAAAATCCCACGCTATTTTTTTTTTTCAAGGACTATTACACACACACACACATGCGCGCACGCGCACATACACACACAGAGATGACATAGGAGGCGATACAGTAGATAAAGCTGAAAAGAACATACAACCTGCTAATTATTTTCATCTATTACATTTAATCATACTAACAGTTAGAATACACAGTAATAAAATAAAGTGCACATCAAATACAGTAATATTTTGTAGGCCTACCAAAGTTAACAGCAACTAATGACAATACAAGCCATGTATAAAAAAAAATAATAGTTGGTTTCTAATATAAAGGAAACATAATCTTGTAAACAAAACAAGTTTTACAGTAAGTAGCAATAAAACAGGTCACTTAGTTTAATGGTTAAACACTAATCTAAAGTATACACGGATGACGTTAGCAAATCTTAGCAAATATAAAATTATATAAACAACTGTAAGCACTTTTATTTCTTTTATCAAATGCAGGGTTCGGGGAATTCAAATGTCTATAAAAATCTATTGTGCGTTACTTTATAAAGTCCTTAAAGGGCCTATATTACGTAATACAACATGACTAAAAGCTCACAAGAGTCAATTTTGCGTAATATAGGAGCTTTAAATGAGGTCTATGTAATATTTTTGTTGTGCAGTTAGAAGGTGGAGTCTCAGGGGGGGCTCAGTTGATGCCAGGCAGTCACCACTTTCTCAGGATGAGCCATCGTGTCCTTCCATTGTTCTACTGCCTCTGGGACAGGGCTGTCGAATCCTAAAACGATCTGAGTAATGATAATATCAATACATTAATCTTACATAGCTTTTTTTGTTTCCTGACATAAAACATTCACTGTGTATATAATTGATACTTTGCAGCTGGTGTCATGAACATTCCTTGGGGATGTGACGATAACTATAGGCACTGCTCTGTCTGAGGCTTTTTAGACTTTAATTTGATCTTTTTGATACAATCTGACCAGAAAGAGCTAACCTGGTTGGAACTACAACAGGTGAGATGATTTGTGCTGTTAAACAATTCTCACACATAAAATTACAGTCACAAACTCGCTAGCAATAGCCAACAGATTTTTAGTTAGTCACTCACCGTTTTTTGGACCATGAACGCTCATATTGATCACAGGCTCCTGAAAATGTGCTGTTCAAATCCAGTTTGTATTTTTTCAGACTATTTAAAACTTTTTTGTCAGTATTTACTAATGTGTGCATTGTGTCACCATGGTAACTCTTAAACATTCCACTATTAGAGATACATGTAGAACATGGCCAGCATGATGTCACTGCAAAGTATCAATACAAGTATCAGTACAAGTATAATTCAATGGCTGCATACCTGTCCCAAACACTGTTTCCGGCGCACAGAGGAGCGGCTGTACAGTCTGATGGTGAGAGAACATGCCTGATCCAGAGACTCTAAAAGGAAGTGACTCGTGTCCTTCCACTCACAAACGCCGCCGGACGCCTTCACTGCTTTGGTCTTCCTCTTCATCACCACATGACCACACTGATGCAGCTCAGTCTTCACAAAAAACACTACAGGGAAAGAAGACATACAATTTAAGGCTTTAGGGTAACAAATCCATATTAGATTTTTTTTTACTATAAGTGATCAAATAAAAATATTAAAATTATGTTGTGGCAAACTTAAACTTGTCCCCTTGTCAACTTGCTTTGGTTTAATCCAGATTTAGGCTTTGTTAAGTTTGAGTCCATATAGGCTTTTTCCTTGCTTTTTGTCCTGTTTAAATTCTGGTTACATTTTGGTTTCTTTAGTTTAGTATTTGACTATTTTTGTTTTCTCTTATGAATACAATACTGTAATATAATCCTGTATATAAATGGCTAATCTGAATTAAAATCACCATATTAAAGTAGCATCAGTTATATAAAGTCCACAAATTCATCTTATTTTGCTCATAGTGTGTAACCCTAAATTGAATGGTTAACTCTTAAATATGCACAACAAGTGAAAAGTTTGGACACACCCTCTCATTCAATGTTTTTTACATTTTAGACACTTACAGAAGCAAGATATTTGTAGCAAGTATTTGAAGCAAGATATATGGAATTATGTAGCAAATAAAAAAAGTTAAATATTTTAAAAGATATGAAAAGATAAATACATGCTGTTATTGCACATTTTCAATAAATGTACTGTTGTTTCACTTTTTTATTTGCTACAAAATTCTATACAGGTTACTTTGTTTATTTGAAGTTTTCATTTTCTCTGTTTCTTTCAAATATAGAAAGTAAAAAAAATAAAATAAAATAAAATGGATCAGATGGTGTGTTCAAACATTTGACTGATTATGTAAATATTGGTGATACATACTCTGAGTGAGCGGTGAGGATGATGGGGGAAGGTTTTGTGCTGTGAGGATCTGGAGTTGGATTCTACTGTTGACCGGCTGGAAACAAGTGGAGAGGTGCAGTTCTGAGTGATATATCTGAGGAAGAGGAAGACAGAAGAACAATGCTGAGTAAATACTTCAAGTAACTGGAGCTGCACTGTTCAAATAAAAAAATCAAACACTGTAAGACTTGCTGAGCCAACATCAACTAGTAAATAGACATAACTATAGGTCCAACAAGGATATTGCTCATCTATAATGTTCCATAGTATGGCATTAATCACTGTCACTATGGAGACACCAAGCCAAGCCAAGTTACAGGTCAGTTTTCTGTAAGGAAATCTCACTTACAGTAAGAAAGAGTGAAAGCAAGTATATTTATTTTTGCCATGAAAATAATTAGTTTAATGCCATACTATGGAACATTACTTATAACGCAATAACTTCTATGGATACAAGCAGGTGGCACGCCCCATTAGTTGCATAGTGCCACACAGCTCCAAGTATATTTTTGCTAAACAACATTGTAAGAAATCAGACAATAGTGTAATATGGGCTTTTAAAATGGTGCTATACTGAGTGTTAATCACAGCAATAGATATAAAGAAAGATGCAGGTCTATATAAGTTATACAGACTAAAAGCCCCAATTTATGTTTCCCAAATGGTTCACTTTGGGGTCATATCTTTTGACTGACAGAGATTTGAAAATGTGCGTATTTCATTTCATAAATCACAAATCCAAAGAGTTTCTTGAAGCAGTATTTCCTGTCTGATTGAAGCTGTAAGTACAAAAACAGCCCAGATATTACGACTTTGGCCAGACACCGGTCCATTTACCATAACCACTAAGACCTGATGAAATGATTTGAGGTTTTAGAGATGACCTACTTTCCATGTCGAACATTCAGCAAAACCACATATTTTCTGTAATCAAATAATCGTTCCAAATGGCCCCAAATGACTTTCTCTGTATTCTTTTCTTTCTTAGGATTATGCAATGGTGAGGACAGTCTTTAATTTGTTAATGCTACCGAACCACAGTACATCACAGAGGCAGTTTTATAAGGCAAAGACAATGTAATTTGTCTCCTTACTGTCCTGAATAGATACTATACTTTGGCAAAAAAAAAAGTAAATATATCAAGATTTAAATGTTTATGAGAACAAGACAGATACTTTATTAAACAGGAAAGTGAGCACCATGAAATGGGGGTGACGATTAGCGGGAGACATTCAGAAAATAGCATTAACCACATTTTTTGTTGTTTTTTATTTGCATACTTTGGATTTTTTACAGTTCTTTTAAATAGAAAAATTAGTGCTGTCATGCGATTAAAAAAATTGAGAGATTAATTAATTATGATCTGTAATTAATTAATCTAATTAATCTCATTTTAATCTCACCTAAAAATTGCTGAGAAAAGCCTTCAATTTGAGGTATTTTCATTTAAATTCATTATTACATTATTGTGGCAGATCAAAAGACTGATATAGATTTTAAAAAAGTTACTTTATAAAGTCATTTATTGTTCAACAAATCTCACCAATTTGGCTGTTGAGCCCAAGTCTCCATGAATAAGAAACTGTTTGCTGTAAAGTAGCAAAGATGAGGAAATCTGAACATAATAACTTTTGTCTACTTAAAGACAATAAAAAGTCCAGTCTTTCCTTAACCATGTTAAAAATAGTATTGATAGAGAAATGCTTTATATATGAAATCACTGGTTTTAGTCCTTGTTTTAGTCCTGGTTTAGACCTGGTTTAGACCTGCTTTAGTCCTACTTTAGTCCTGGAAAGGGTTAGTCCTGGTTTTAGTCCTGGTGTTAGTTCTGGTTTAGTCCTGGTTTAGACCTGGTTTAGTCCTGGTTTAGTCCTGGTTTAGACCTGGTTTAGACCTGGTTTTAGTTCTGGTTTTAGTTCTGGTTTAGACCAGGTTTAGTCCTAGACTGGATTAGTCCTGGTTTTAGTCTTGGTGTTGGTTCTGGATTAGAGGCGCACAGGAGGAAGCGCGGTTTACGCAGCGTAGCGAGAAAACACAATCCACACGCGGCTCACAGCAGCACGTCGGTGTCCACGCAGTGTCTACGGAAGGAAACGTGGTCCGCGCGTTCTCAGGTTAATGACGAAGATGAAGGTGTGTGTTTGTGTGTTTGCGTGTGTTTGTGTGCGTGTCCCCTCATGTGGCAGGTCACTATAGGACAGTAGTGCAGACATCATGAGCCTATGCAGGTTGTTGTCACCAGTGACATTTAAGTTGTAGGCGATATTATATTTGTTATTTTCTTTTATATTTCACGTCGGGAGAATAATTTCCAAGACACGAATGCGTTTTTACCTGTGCGCTGCTGACTCTGTTCTACTGGCTCTTCAACCTCGTCCATTGTGCGACTGACGCCGCCAACATGACGTTTACATCGCTCTTACTGCGCGCGTTTTGTGTGGGTTTCCGACAATGAGTAGAATTACCGAAATAAAAAAATGTATAAATGTGTTTTTTGTGTGAGTCTGTGTGTATGCTGTTGTCCCAACAACACATAAAAACTGGTTTAATAATAAAGCAACTCGCATACAGAAACAGTAAAGTTAGAGATTAAAAATGAGATTAACGCGATTAAAAAACATAACGCGCTAAATATGACTGTAATTAATTAATCGCAATTAACGCGATAATTTGACACCCCTAAGAAAAATACTAGTATGTTTAATTACTAGGATTAAAAGAGAAGGACACATTTATAAGGGAAGATGATCAGAGGTTAGAGGTTCAATTCCAGTCTAATCCCAAACTATGGAATACGGTTATTGTGTTCTTGTTTTGAAAAAGAGTAGAGCTTGATGATTTTCTTTAGATCTAGTTCTGAGAAAAAGTTTGATTTTTCTGCTTGCTTCACCTCATCCAATTATTCACATGAATGTTGTACCTTTCCCAGATAGCTACTAATGCGTAATCTCACAGTTATTGGAGTGAATTTGGAGCTGAGTTCCATATTAGGAATAGGAATGTATTTACATATAAAAGAACACAATAAAACACCAGGAAAATTTTAAGTAAAATGACAAGACTCACTACAACAGTTGCAGAGAGAGGGCCGACAATTTTTCAATATAAAGTTGGTGGAGCCAGAAGTGTCCCCATGCTCACTTCCTATTTGGAATGCAGCTAGCAGGTTAGCTATGTATGTATGTATATATAATATTATGTATTATATATACCATCTCTGGTTATGACGGAGGTTTTTCACACTCTTTGGTTCAATTCTTTTGCATTTGAACAGAATTTAAAGGGATTGGTTATCAGGAAACTGTATTTATAAAGCACATTTTACAAACAAAAAGCTTTAAAGCACTACACTAAACAAAAGAAAAAAACAGTGGGGGCCAGTACTTACGGAGGATTTTGAGGGTGTGCTGAGTTCGATCCAGTGCTCGGTCTCTGTGGGTCCAAGTGTACGGAGAGACAGGACCCCCTCGCCCACTGTCCTCCTGCGAGAAGAGTGAGACTGGAGCCTGAGCACCAGAGCACTGCACCGCAACTGCTGCAACCGCAATGAAAACACAAAGGTCTCCATGAAAGGGATGTCCTAAAGAGGGACAGAGACAGAGACAAGGGTTAAAATGTCTATGAGCACAGTGTTGGCAATAATAATCAAGGCACAAAATGCTATACTGTATTTGATATGTTGCAGCTGATTTGATCAACATTTCCTGGGAGTGTGAAGCTAATTGAAAGCACTACTCTGTCTGGAGCTCTGTTACTCAAATAAAATTTTTATCTGAGTTTTATTTTATACAATCTGATCAGAAAGAACTGACTTAGTTGGAACTACAACAGGTGAGCAGGTTTGTGCTGTTAAAAAGTAACTCTCATAATCTATTTAATCAGGTTTTGAATGTTAAATGCAGTTGAATTTTTCACTTTGAATTTTTTTACTTTGAAAAAGCATGTTTGAATTGTTTTTATTCTGAATTTCAGTTGCTGAATTGTTAATTGAAGATTTTCAATGCGTTTTAAAATTCCAAATAAAATAAAAGAATGAGAATTTCGTACATCAATTACTTGAGATGGGTGCACTGGAGGAGAGGGAGCAGCCCAAGAACATAGAGAATAATCCTGCACACCGTCTTACATGCAAAATGTGAAATTTATTAGGGCAAACAGTTCTGTTTATTAGAACAAACAGTTCTGTTTGTCCTAATAAATCTCACATTTTGCAAGTAAGATGGTGTGCAGGATTTTTCTCTAAAATTCAAAATGAAAAATTCACTTTTTAAATATTTAACAGATATTTTCAGGCCTGTTGAATTTGAGGTCTTGAAAATATATGTGCCAAAAATTTAAAAGGTGAATTTTTCATTTCAAATTTTTAAACACATAAAATATATACTCAGAAATTCAGAATAAAGAATGATTTAGATATGTTTTTCCAGAATTAAAAAATTCACAGTGAAAAGTTCTACTTCATTTAAAATTAAAAATCTGATGAAACAAATGATCTTCCATAGTCACTCTCACCATTTTTGCTGAAAATCAAACTTCTGAACAGGACCATGAATACTTGTTTTGTTCACAGGGTCCATGGTTTCAATCCATTTTGTATTTTCTCTTCAGTTTTCTTAAAACATTTTTGATAGTGTTTGCTAATGTCTGCATTGTGTCTCCATGGTAACTGGTGAACATTCCACCAATACACATACATTTAGAACACCCCCCAGCATGATATCACTGAAAAGTATCAATAAACTGTTTATGAATGTATAGCCAGTCTGAGGAGCAGACCTTGTGTATTTTGTGTGTATATGTTGTAGACATGTTTTACCTGCTGACACGGCTTCACAGAACTCTTGAATTGAATTGGTTTAGGGACAGTTATGATGCCTTTAAATCCGATCTTCTGTTGTTCTCCTCCGTCCAGAGTCAAGCACAAATCTGAGCACTGATAAAAGACAAAAGCACAGATGATTATAGAGGGGTCATTCAGGCGCCATTTAAGAGGTCCTATGCAAATACCACTGAACAACCTGTTCCCCTTTAGAAGAACAGAGACTCCCTGCTTAAATGTTAAACTGGGATGAATCACCACCAAGCATTAACTACAATATGAACTGCTCTCTTTGATTGAAAGTCAAGTATATACTTTATTTGTATTGATTTTAATAGTTTAAAAAATTTGACAAGAATAAATAAATAAATAAAATAAAACAGATATGTCTAAATTTTAAATCAAAATGATTCTTATCAAATGTATTACATCATATGTATTCCCCTTTGTTATGAAACTGAACTACTGAAATATTTTGTAACTGGATCAACAACAAAAAAGTGAACTCTAAAAGATTTTAAAAATTCTACTTATTCAAAGCCAAAATTTCTTCTTCTTTTTTCTTTCTTTTTTTTTCTTTTTTCTTTTTTTTCCCCCGAGACATTTCGTAATCCAAATGTGATTCTTTCTTTGACATCTTATTTGAGGTTAAATGTATGCATATGTTCTGTATTTTAGCGCAGTAAAATTGAAGGGTACACTTAAGTATACACACATTTCTATGGTGGTACAGAGAGTAAAAAGTTTAAGAACCTCTCTGCATTATAAGACTTTGATAGCTCAGGCGTATCTCTGGCTTTCTAAAATGCATTTGCCCATTACATCCACTCATAGGTGTTGCTTTTCTCACATTTTAGACTCAAATAAGCCCCACTTTGCCTTTTGAAAGAGCAAAGCTTTCTCCCCCACAGTCTGAGCCAAAGTTAGCAGAGCATTGAGGCTTGAACAGTGGTCCGTACAGGGGGGACAGAGGGGTCTTTGAAGGGGACAGAGGCACTTTTTGTTCCAGTGAAATCTTACCTGCACCAGAGTGATCCACACCTGCTCCAGAGCCTCCTGATAACTCACACGGACACACACTTTACCCAGCTCTCTCTCGTCGCCTGATAATGTGATGGAATCTGAAATATATGGAAACAGAAAATACAATATAAATGTATTCAGGCACACAAAAATTATATCTTTAGGGCTGTATTTGTAAAATTTAAGACAAGACAATGCAAAAGAAAAAAAAACATGTACTTGTAAATATGCAGGACTGTAACCAAAGCTAATTTCCATCCTTAGTCCCCTGCTTGGCCAAGACTTTCACAATAATTATTACCTCAACTTATTGTTCAATACATGATAGCTGGAACTATAAGTATTAAGTTAAAGTTAAATTATATTAAGTTTAAGTTATTTATTTATGCATTGCAGTTTCTTACATATTTATAAAAGGTTTTATGGGGATTATCAGGTTCTAGGATCATTATATCAGTAGTTTCAATATTATCGTGTATCGTGATATTGTTTTGTGGCAACATATATCGCACTGCAAAATTTGTTATAGTTACAGGCCTAGTTGTCTTTATATTCTGCCATCTTTTCCATATTTTTGTTTGTTTAATCCAAAACTTGTTAATCTGATTTAAAAGTACAATCACGTATTTACTATGGGGAATTTTGTGTCATCAACTTTGTGTCCACCACATGTTTGTTTTCATAAATGTAAAGTCATATCGTGGGACATTTGAGGCCAAGCATTAACATGGAGACAGGTTCTGACCCTCCACCAGTAAAGTTACACAGTGCACCTTGTTAAAAAAAAAAAAAAAAAAAAAGATGATGTTACCTAGGCTGCTTTCTATGGAGTCCCTCATGGATGATTCGCTGCTGAAGACACTGGAGGCAGAGTCAAAGCCGCTGCAAATGAACAAAAGCAAAGAGTTAAACCAGGACTGCAGTATTACAAAATAAAGTGTAATAGTTATTTAAAATGAAAAAAAAAAAAAAAAAACACGAGTGAGATCTTTAGGGATGTGACGAAATAATGCAAAAATAATACATAATGTAGGACATTAGGACATTTAATTTAGTAATATATGGACATTTGTGATATACTGCATACCGGTACATAAAAATTGTCCCATAAATTGATTCTATATTGTACTATGATTGAAGTTTTCATTTCAGTTTAATCACTATTACTATAGTATAGCTACAAAAAAAAAAAAAAAAAAAAACTGAATAAAAATTTGAAAAAATCTTACAAGATCAGTTTTCTCATGTATGCACAATCTCGTGACAATTTTGTCTCATGAGATCTTGTCCCATTCATCCCTTCTGATTCACATGTGTGTTCTCGTTTATTTGTTTACTTCTATTTCTATGGAGCTGTTCCTGTCATCCCTTTATTACACACAACTGTTTGCTTAAAGTGTTGCCAGACTAAACATTTGAGCTAATTAAACAGCAGCCACACAACAGAGCTGCTCACGGTGCAGAGGAAATAAAGAGTGATTAGATGTGACACTGTAAAGGGAAATTACTACTGGAAAAGTGATACTGTCATGTGTGTTGAACGGATACTACACTAACATATAAAATACCTTTCAGCTAAAGGCGCACTATGTTACTTTTCTGGTATGCAACCTGCTATTAATACTTAGAGTATATTTCTCCATGGAAACAAGCAGGTGGCACAACCAGATCAAACTACTAGTCAGATCAGTGGAGAGGTGACCCCTGCTCGGTAAGAATGCATGTATTTTTAAGGTATAATATTCATTAATGCCATACTGTGGAAAACAACCAGGCAAAGCAGTAGCAGCTCCATAGAGACAAGCAGGTGTCATCCCTTTCATCACAAAAGTTACTCAGTAGACCTTTCATTACAAATGTAATAACTGTATTCAGCTTACAGTAATTTAGTTCAAAATATTATCTGATATAGAGATAATTAATTAAATGAAATAGACCACAAACACCCCTTGATAACAATTCCCAGCCCATAGCCTTTGTGGGGAAATTCTATTTATTTTTAAGTAGTAATTTTTGTTTTCCTATGCCAAACCTTGTCATTTAGTCAGTACTTAAAGTAGTAGTAGCTAATTCTTAATTATTTTGAGCACCCACACAGAGAGGACAATGTAATAATATGAGGCACAAATAAACACAGTAAACGTGTTTTGTGAGGCTCTTATCACAACAATAGTATCTCGTGGGTCTGAGTTTAACTGTGTCCAGCTGTTCACATCCTGGACTCTGCTGTGTCACTGCTCATGTTACTATGGCAACACCACAATACACAAACTCCACAGATAGACAACCTCATCCAGTCCCATCCCCAGAAATGTGAAGGCCCAGGGCAACTAGTCTCAAATGAGCCCCCTTTAATATTGATTAACAGGAAGAGGGTTCAGTTCTGAGCCCCTAAGACCCTTTTTGTTAAATAGATAAATGGAGCTTCTGGCTCCATCGACTCAGGCTCCATTTCACTTTGTATTGAAAAATTGTTGCCCCTCTATCTGTATTAATCCAATTATTGTAAGTCTATTTTCTCATATTTTTTCTATATTTTTTAGTCCCAATTTCCATTCTTTTGCTAAACCTTGCATTTCAACACTGCAATTGCCCCATTGTGGAACAAATAAAGGTTGTCTTATCTTAAAACTGGCAGTAAATAGTTTGAATTCCCTTAGTAGCTCACAACGTTTTGGAGAGTTTGTTTGAACAGTTCTAGTGTTTGTGGAAACTCTTGCGCAGTGACACCTGTGTAGCTCAGATAAGGCCTTCTCACCCGTAGACTATATATATATATATATATATATATATATATATATATATATATATATATATATATATATATATATATATATATATATATATATATACACTCACTTAGTCCACTTTTTTATACAGTCTATGTTCTCACCTGGATGCGACCCTGAGGAGACGACAGGTCATACATGGAGCTGCTCAACTTCTGCTCACTGAGTCTCAACGCACGATCTGAAACACAACATAGAAATTAATACAAAATAATAGCTTATTTAACACTGCATTGTGTAACTTCTCTGCTGGAGGGTCCATTAAATGCTTTTCTCCATGGAGATGTCTTTGTCTGGAATGTTTTACAGTATGGCATTAAACCTTTCTTCATGGAGACCAAACCAGACCAAGTTACAGGTCAGATCTCCATAGAGGCGACCTCGTCGTAATGACTGTTTTTCTAGGGATTTTTGAGCTATAAAACCACCTGTAATTTAATAACTGTAAGGTAGAGCTGTTTAACGTCATATTGTGGAACATTCTAGGCAGAGCAATTAAATATCCATAGAAACAAACAGGTAAAGGACCTCCAACCAAAAAGTTACATAATGCAACTTTAACAAGAACAAGATTCTTCTGGCAAAAATATGATTATAAGATGCTATAGCTAATTCCCTGTTATTGCAGTGCAACACTGTATGTGAACAGCAAGTCTGTGGGATTCGTCAGTAGGATAAATCATAGTATTTGCAAGAAGTTAATTCATAGACTGTATATGTAAATAGATATAGCTAACCCTCTAGCCACCATGTTCCAAATAGGAAATGTTAGGGGGGGTGGGCGCATCCAGCTCCATCGACTGTAACTGTATCTGCAGCAGTGAGCCTCGTCATTTTCATCTTAAAATGTGATATTAAATGTTATGTTATTAAAATAAATTCCTATTTCTAATATGGCTCCAAATTCACTCCTATAACTGCTAGCCTTGTGAGCTTCACTTGATACAGAATGCTAAAGGTGACGTCACAGTCTCTTTGTCCACTTCTTTTTACAGTCTATGAGTTAATTGTAATTAGTATACCATAGTAGTAAAGTAGTATAGTAGTAATACTTTTGAAAAGATTTTGAAACTATATCCATTGACATTTTGGAGCTATAAATTTGCCATTGCCAGATAGGGCCAGAGATTGACTCACTTTTGGGGCTTGATGGGTGTCTGTTCTTGACAGAAGTGCGGCGAGATGAACCAGGCGAGTTGTATTCAGCGGTTTGTATCTGGTGCAGACTGGACTCAGGGCTGAAGGTGGACCCTAGTAACACTGCTTTTCTCTCTGCATAAGTGCACCTCGCTGAACCTAAAAGAAGAAACACACAAACAAATACATGAAAAAAGTAAATATTGTCATAAATCAAATGTAAAAGAAAGAAAGAAAGAATCAAAAAGAAATCAACATGAAAAACAATATTTTTTAAAAACTGCATTTTTGCAGAGTTCTAAGTTATTGCAACTTTTCATATTGCAATCTTTGCAATTTAAAATTTAGTTAACACATTGCAATGATTTATAAATACTTTAATTCAATGTATTCATATTTATTTATTCTATTATTCTGAACACTATTTGAAAAATGGCTATGGGAGTGCACTGGTTATCCACCCCTAAACCCACATGATTACTTGGAAATATTAAGGGCCAAAATTTGCTTCTGTTATAAATATATATCACTATATGTTGAAATCGCTACTATCTACTGCCCCGGACAAATCTGTGAAAAAGTTGAATAAAATGAACATAAAAACAGTAACATACTCTGTGGTCCAGGCTGTAGATTTGGGAACATCTGACCCTTGGGTTGGACATAGGAGGGCTTAAAAGAGGGCAGGACAAAGGGCACCACACGGCCGTCCGGGGGCATTTTGGACAGGAGATAGTCCTCTGATAACCCCCTCCGCTCCACAGGCTGCTGCTGCACTGGGTCCTGGGGTGGCATCTTCATAGTGATCACTGTAAAGGGGGGTTGAACGGTGGTATAGGAGAACAAATTAGGGCTGAATATGCAGTGTTAGGAAGTAACTGAATACATGTACTAAGAATACATATTCTGAATGAATTTTGAGTAACTCTATTCCGGTACTGTTACTTTTTCATTTGGTAGACTTCCAAATACAGTAACCTCTCTAAAATCAAAGGAATACATTACAGTATTTGATCATGTAATTTAGGCTTGAAACTGCACAGACTCAATAAGAAAAATAGACAACACTGCTCTTGAGTGCATGTGTGATTTTTCCATCTCCAATGAGTGATGAAAGTGCTTTAAAAACAGTGAAACAAGTATAGTGGTTATTACTACTATGTTGCATCTTTACACTATAATTTAAATGCAACTCAATAATGGATGTAAAAGTATTCAGTGTATTCAAAATATAATATTCTAATAGAACCATGTATCGAAATATGTTACAAAATATATTTTAATGCTACCTGCAGTAAAATGTATTTTGTAACATACATATTCAGTAGTCTGTAGTAGTAGTAGTTTCAAAGTATGCTAAAAAATGTATTACATAAATAGGATATAATTTGCATTATATAGTTTAGAATGATCCATAACAGAAATAGTAAGAAGACCACTCTCAAACATTAAGTATCAAGACTTTCTATTCTAGTCTTTCTATTGACTCATAACTGGACAGTTAATTGACAGCTTGAATGTAGTTCACAATAAAAACAGCACTAAGGTGAACAAAGAAATGATGCCATTTGAACTACCAGAAGAAACTTAACTGTGTACCCCCCACTGGGACCTGAATTGTGGTTTGAGAATCAGTCCTAGCATTAGTTCAAATTACCTTGAGTTTCCAGCTCCTTCTTCTTCGTGAAGGTCCTGCAACAGTTTTTGATGCATTCCATGGTCCAGTCTAGATATAAATTAGAAGTTTAATAGTTAATGAAGAGTAGACAATGTGACAAAAACTACAATTAATCATTACTGTATATTACAGAAGACATACACACAATTCTTTATAATAGTTAATCACATTGGAGAGAGATACTACACTTGGTTCATATATATACTGACCACAAAGCTGAGAAAAATTAATTATTAACCTATAATTTTGTTGAGCCAGTGAATTCTGTTTTTATCCAGTCTGGTATGGACTTTTTATAGCCCTCATATTGAATCTAATATATGCACTAGTATACTGCTATGAGTTATTCATTGAACAAAACTGAACACAAAATATAAAAATGAAATGAAATGAACTACAAGCCAAGTTATCTAAATCATCTGTCCAATATTAAAACTACACAATTTTAGCAAAACAAAAGAGGCCACTTAATTTTGTACTCTTGTATGTTCAAATATTAGCCAGAGTTACTGTTGGATTTTATATACCACTTATAGTCTGGCCTGGATGATGAGATGTTTCTTTTCTTTAAATTTTGCCAACTAAATACTCATAAAATAAGTAGCTAAACAGTAAGAAAGCAATCACTCTGACTAAGGTATAACAAAATAAGTAGCAGTAGTAGTAGCAGTAGCAGCTCTGTTAGTATACGTAGTAGATTAGTCTTCAGCAACAATAAAACTTACTTTCTGGATTAATAAAACTGTATAGTGTAACCATTTTAAAGTATATTAAAGGTTTACTCACCCATCCAGTGCTTTGAATACAGGAGAGGTAAGTTTGCTTGTGCTTTGTCCACACTGGCTGTTATAATGCAGAGTCTCAGGTTTGCTTTATCTCCTCCTCCTCTCTCTCTTTTTCTGTCACTCTCTCTCCTCCTCCTTCCCTCTAAAAGGCTGTCTCATTCCCGGACACTATTTAAGCTTCCCTGAAGACATGCTGCTTTCTGATTGGCTGCTTTCTTCCTATAGATATCCAATTACAAAGAAAAACCCTTAAACTTGCTGATTTGATATATAATGTTATGTATAGCTAGGTCAGAATAAACAATATAAGTGGTGAAGACATTTATTTTGTGTGATCAAATACTCAGAAAATCTTTGGTTGTGTTACATGTTTTTTTTTTTTTTTTTTACAAATCTGACTGAATTTCAAAATAAACTGGCAACATTTCAAAACCATAAGTGCAATTTGAGTAAAGCTGGTTATGTTTCACAAATAGTATTATAATTTGTATATAAATATTCCTGTGTAAAAACAGTCCATATTTTCAACAATAAGAAAAGTGTCCACATAAAAAGGGTGTTTTTTGTGTCATCACCTGTTCCTGTACTGGACCAATGACATAATTTGAAAACATAGAAGTGATGTTACCGAAACCAATACTTCAGGCGAATCGTGACGAAGAGTTTGCAAAAGGGGCGAGTGACGTGGTCCATTAGCGTAACCTGACCTCACAGTGGGTGCTCTGATTGGGTGCTGCTTAGAAAGGGTGCTCGGACACGTATATGGTCAGACGGATGATGGAGCTGCCTCTGAAGTTTATCACGTTGTTGACGGTGACCATCTCCAAATCCAAAACCAAGACTTTAGGGCCTTTGAGCGGTCGTGTCAGAACCAGCGTCGCACTCACGTTACTGGTTTGCTGAAAAAAAGAAAAAAAAAAGAAAAAAAGATCATTTAAAGGTGCACTATGTAACTTTTTGGTTGAGGGTCTGTCAATTGCTTGTTTCTATGGATGTGTCTCTGCCTGGAATGTTCCACATTACGATAAACAGGCCTACCTTATATTTATTAAATTACACGTGGTTTTATAGCTCAAAAATAACGTGGAGTGAGGTTTGCCTCTCCACAGATCTGACCTGTAACTTGGTCTGGTTTGGTCTCCATGAAGATATAAAAAGTTTAATACCACACTGTGAAACATTCCAGACAAAGCAATAACATCGACATGGAGAAAAGCATTTGTTGGACCCTCCACTAGAAAAGTCTATACATTATACGTTTCACAGGGCTATAAAATCCTAATACAATATAATATGTTTACAGATATTTGCTCTGCTGTATGGCTGTACACAACAGGATAGTGAACTGCACCATCTGCTGGTTAAAAATCACACGCACTCTACAGGCCAGGATTAATCTTTATTTTAATTCCCCAGTCTAAAACAACCAGCTCTAGCACACTGCTAATATTTGTTAAAGGTGCACTGCATAACATTTCTAGTGGAGGGTCTGCCACCTGTTTGTCTCCATTGAAATTCCATTGCTTTGTCTAGAATGTTCCATAGTATAGATTTAACCTATCCATCACCAGGGAGACAAGTTACAGAACGGCAGTGCATTACAATTCACCCCTATTCACAGAAGGAATTGTTGTATTTTTGAGCAATAGAAACAATAAATGTAATAAATGAATAATGAATAAATGCTAGATGGATATGTTTAATGTCATTCCAAGAACACGGAACATGGCAAAGCAATATCATCTCCACAGAGACAGGTAGGTAGCGGACCCTCTGCCAGAAAAATTATGCAAGGCACCTGATGATGAAGTTGGAATTGAAAGAGTTATATCTTTAGGCCTATGCCATGATCCATTTGTGACCAATTATACAGCAATAAACTGAAATACACTGAATACACTGTATTCATTCTTCTTGAAAGTAAAAAGACTCAGGGAAGTGAATGCTGTTGAATTAGTATTTCTCCTTTGAACTTGTTGTTAAATTCAATCCAGTAGGTGGCACTGCTATCTTTCTTTATTGTTATACAATCTGAGACTAACAGAAATCATTGAAACTGGAGAAGTTTTCAACAACGGAAGTATTTTAACGATAAATGGACATCTATGACAAATTTAAAATCATTAGGTCAATTGAAAGAACTTGTTACCAACAATAAATTGATAGCCTTAATTTATGAGTGTTTCTTATACTTCTACAGTTTGAATATTTGTTTTAGAGATGTTTTTTTCCTCATTGGATTAATCATTATTTTAATCATTATCATTTCCTTATCCATGGTTTAGTCTAATTTTATACCATGTCTAGCCTTAATATGGGTCTGACATAGTCCAGGTTCAGATCTGGTGGTACTCAGAAATCCAAATATTATCTTAGGTGGTACTTGGTGAGAAACTTTGAGAGCCACTAATGAGAGAATGCACATACATTCAGATGGCATTTTTGTGCTTTCATGTTGTTCTTAGTATTAAACACAACAGCAATGTCTGGTTCCATGAGAAAACCCAACTTCTGTCCATTAAACAGCTCATATTACTCTATTTTCTGATCCATGTTAGAATATTTCCTTGTTAAAAAAGACCTGGAGATGTGTTTTGTTTCATTCACCCATGTTTAACACACAAACCCTACATATTTAGTACTTCACTCAAACAGAAGACACATCAAGTGTAGTCCTGGAGTTGCTCATCTCTAAAAAAAAGTAGTTAACATGAACATTATCTCTACATTACAAGGTGGAATAGAGCATTTGGAGCTTTGGAGATGTAGACAGACAAATAATAAAGTATTACTCAAACATGTGAATGAAACAAAATACAACTCCTGTTTTTGAGGAGGTAACAACATTACATTTCTTAGAGATCACAAGAATCCATTTTGTGTAGTATAAGACCTTTAAGCACTCACCCTCATGTAAAACTCCCGTCCCTCATTGCCAGATTTGATCTGGAAGATGTAGAAGGCCCCTGGATACCGCGTGGTGGCCTGCATCTGGAATATGTCTGCTGGGACGGAGCGGCCGGAGGACAGGTCCATGTGGCGGTACAGGATGGTGAAGGGCTTGTCTCGGCACTGGGGGTTCTCAGCAGAGCACATGCACTGACTAAACAGGGACAAAAACAACACAAAAGCTGAGTTTCACATGACATCACAGCGTCTTATTGGTACTTCGCAACTGATGTCAGCAATATCCCTGGGAGTGTGATGCTAATGAGAGGCACTACTCCGTCTGAACCTCTGTTGCTCAAGTTAGACTTTAATCTGAACTTTGTGTTAACACAATTTGACTATGAAGAACTACAACAGGTGATAATTTGTGGTGTCCCTCTCAAATAGTATTACAGTCACAAGATAGCAAGCATTTTCATATGATGGACTACATGGTAACTGCTGGAAGAAAGGTAAGAGGGAGGTGTTAACTTGAAAACTACCACTTCATGACATCACAAGGTGGAATAGAGCATTTCGAACTTTGAACATGTAGACAGACTAATAAAAGATTACTCAAACATGTGTAAAAACCAGGTATGTTTTTGATGAACAACATTATAACATGGCTTGAAGCTCACTCAAATTTGCATAAAATAGGATGCAATATAGCAATTCTTACTTGTCGCTAACTTCGACATAAGGTGTTGGACATTGTAGTGGGTTCAGACAAGTGTAGCCTCCCTGGTAGTTGAAACACACTTGTTCCAATGTACATGTGTTGTTTCCAGTTTCACATTCATTGTAATCTGCCAAACCAGAAACACTGAAATCAGGTCAAATTTTACAGAAAATAAAGTATTTAAGATTATACTTTTTGCTTTGTACCTTCACAGCTCCGCCCATCCTCGTAAACGTAGTACCCGGGGGGACAGATACAGGTGAAGGAGCCTGGAATATTCACACATCTGTTCTGACATAGAAACTCGGAGAAACTGCATTCATCCAGATCTGAGGAGAGAGAGGAGAGTCAGGGCTTTCTATGAATTTCTGCTAATTGCACAATTTCAAAACACAATCTATTCTCCAACCACTACTTTAGAGGAAAACATATTTAATTTAGTAGTTGTATTTAGTATTAAAGGTCTTGACTGTTATGAGCTTTATCCATATAACAATGTTGTTTTCTCATCAAAAAAGATACCTGGTGTTGTGTTTTGTTTCATTCACAGATGTTTGAATAACCCTACATCTACGTCTACATCTCCAAAACTCAAAATGCTCTATTCCACCTTGTGATGTCATAAAGTGGTAGCTTTCAAGTTAATAGCTACCTTTAATCTTTTGTTTAGTAGAAATTGGCAATTCCAGGGCTGAAATCCAAATAATTCTTGTGAAGGTGTATGGAGTTTAAAAACACAGTGGCACACATTCTGTATTATCAGATGATATCACAAGGTGGAACAGAGCTTTCAGAGAAGAACTCAGCCTAAATATACAGGGTCTGTGTGCTAAATGTGTGTAAAACAAAAAAGAAACAAAACAAAACTTCAGGTGTGTTTTTGATGAGGAAACAACATTATAACATAGATCAGAAAATGAAATGATAACATGATGTACATCATGATTTTACATTTGGTTCAGTGTAAACAGTAGTATCCAACTAAAACGGCTTAAAATAGTAAAAAGAGGTTCACTGATTTCCTGTTGAAAACTGCAGAATTGACAGCTTCATAGCAGTATCTGGCCTCAACAAGGAGCAGCTTTTCATTTACTTGTTACTTGTTTTATTGTTGAAAAAAGACCATGAGATTTTTTGGAGATTTTTTACCCAAAATAGTAGATAACATGGAGTACAGAACAGTGGGTGGGGAAAGGGGCTAGGAATTTTCTGAGCCCTGAAGCCAAGAATGGAGGACAATCAGGATTACTCAAACATGTATTAAACAATCAAAATACAACTCTGAGTTATGTATTTGAGTGGAGTATGTAAGTGCAGTCTGCACTTGCCCATGCAGGTGGTCCCATCGGCGGCCAGCTCAAAGCCTTCGTCACAGTTGCACATAAATGAACCGTAAGTGTTAAAGCAGCCGTGACTACAGGGCTCATCTTCACATTCGTCCACATCTACAGGGAAAGAGACAGATTCATTTAAATTAAAGATTACGATTTGCATAAGAATTTATATAAGACCTAAATCATGATATTGAAACTATGATGTATATGCATGTTTTATTATGGTAGGATTGCCTATCAAAAATCAAAAAACTAAAATTTTGTTTGATATTAGATGCTATTGCTTTGCCTCAGAAGTTCCCTGGTATGACATTAAACATACCCAGCTAGCATATGCTTCTATTGCTCAAAAATACAATCATTCCTTCAGCCAATAGGGGCAACTCTCCATAGATCTATGGAGAGTAATACAGCATAGTGCTATAACCTGCTTGTCTCCTTTGTGATAGACATGTTTAATCTATACTATGAAACATTCTAGACAAAACAATAATACTTCCATGGAGACAAGCAGGTAGCGGACCCCCCGACTAGAAATGTTACGCTGTGCACCTTTAAATTCAAAGAGGAAAAAAATGCCAAAGGACCAAAAGGAAAATTCAAAATGAAAAATTTACTATGTAATAAATAGTTATAAATAAATAGCAATTAAATAATATTATAATTTAATTACAGTTATTAACCACAGTCATATTTGTGTTTACCTTGACAGGTGCGTCCGTCTGGGTTGAGCACAAAGCCGGGGTTACAGGAGCAGGAGTAGGACCCTGCCACATTGGCACACAGCTGCTGGCAGTAACCATAGCGACATTCATCAATATCTGATGGACAAGGGAAGATGTGGTAATGCAAAACAATATGGGAAGAGAAGTGCAGTACCATTACTAACTCAATCATTAATGATAAATAATTAAAGGGCCCATATTATGCTATTTTCTCATCTATGTTATAATGTTGTTCTCTCATCCCACCTAAAGCATGTTCTAATTTGTGGTGTCGTGTGGTAATACTGGAAGTGCTCCACTGTGTTTTTAAACTCCATACACCTTCATTAGAATCATTTGGATCAACCCTGGAATTTCCAATCTCTACTAAACAAAAGATGAAAGGTAGCTGTTAACTTGAAAACTACCACTTCATCACATCACAAGGTGGAACAGAGCATTTTGAACTAGGAGATGGAAGATTACACAAACATGTGTGAATGAAACAAAAACACAAATCGGGGTATGTTTTTGATGAGGTAACAATCTTTTTTAAAGCTCACAAGAATCAATATTGTGTAATATAGGACCTTTACTCATTAATAAGTTTTAAACAGTAAGCACTAATGCTATTTCTGTAGTGCCACTGTCCTCATCTGACCTGAATGCTCACTTGGCTATAGCTAACATTTGTAACTGCTTTGGTGCATATTTTACATTCCTTTACCTTCCTCCTCCTGTCATCCAAACTTTTCTTCCTCTCACTGAATCTTATTAAAAATCACTTATATTCAATTACAAATAATCACATAAGCAACTAACCATTGCCAGATTTCCAAAGTAAAGTATCCTAAGAAACTTAAAAATACCATAAACTGAAAAGTAATTTATTAATAAGAAGAAATCTAAAAATTAAAGGTCCTATATTACATAACATTGACTCTTGTGAGCTGTAAACCATGTTCAAACCTGTGTTAGTTGTCTTTTGTTCACACATGTTCTTCGCACATGTTCAGTAACCCTTTATTACTAGTCTGTCTAAATCTCCCACACTCAAAATGCTCTGTTCCACCTTGTGATGTCATGAAGTTGTAGTTTAAAAGTTAACAGCTACCTTTTACCTTTTGTTCAGTAGAGACAGGCAATTTCAGGGCTGAAATGATCCAATGATTCTGGTATAAGTGTCTGAAGTTTAAAAACACAGTGGAGCGCTTCCTGTATTACAACATGACATCACAAGGTGAAACTGAGTGTTTTCTGTTTGAGAGAAGAACTCAGCCTAAACTGCAGGGTTTGTGTGTTAAACGTGTGAATGAAACAAAACACAACTCCAGATATGTTTGTGATGAGAAAACAAAATTATAACACAGATCAGAAAATAGTTTAATCTGGGCCCTTTAATAAACCTTGGCCACAAAGTTTAGATTCTCACCATGACACTGCCCCCCGATGAGCCAGTAGCCCTCGATGCAGGAGCAGGTGTACCCTCCAGCCTGGTTGATGCACACCTGAGTTGGATTACAGTGGTGGGAGTTGGTTTCACACTCGTCTATATCTGCACACACAAAGAGAGGAGCGGTCAGAACACATTATTATGCAATTGATACTTTGCAGCCGATGTCATCACCTTTCCCTGGGGGTGTGAAGCTAACTGAAAGCACTACTCTATCTGAAGCTCTGTTACTCAAGTTAGACTTAATCTGAGCTTTATTTTAATACAATCCATTTTGTATTTTTTCTTTCTTTTTTCACTATGTTAACTTCTGAACATTCCATTAATAGATATACATATTATATAGTAGATTTTTGATGAAGAAACATACTGAGCATAGACCAGAAAATAGCATGATATGGGCCCTTTACGTTCAAACATTTCACATTTATCTCTTCATCAATTACTTTTTGAGAATAGGAAGAAAAAAATCTAATGAAAAGTTTCCATCATGCCATGGAGATGTCCCACTAAATACATTGCTTGACTCATTAATCACTCATCTGGCTCACATTAAGGCTGGTCACATACACCAAAGACCATTGTTCCATTTTAATAAACCACCTCTTACAGCTTGTTTGCCCAACACTTTGGTTTCATCACATGCCCACTCCAAAAACACATGCCTTAAGAGTTCAGATTTCAAGACAAGATTTCAAACTTCAATTGTTTTTGAGCAGGATCAGATTACAACTGAATTCCTGCAGTGGTTAATTCTCTCCATCACAACATACACATTTCCTTTTGAGGACACGAAGCACCAGGACCTCCACCTCTGTGCGGTTCTCAGACCATGAAGTCACCACTCTCCGTAGCTCACAGGGGGGAAGTGGGTGGGAAATGGACACTTTGTTTTCTCAGGCAGCTCCAGCGGGCGATAACGTCTGTCAGTGCAGGGCAGACAAACCGTGGCGATGGTGCCAACTTGGACCAGAGGCGCTGGACCGGGACAAGTGGGCTCTGACCTGGGACTGGAGCCAAGAGCTACAAGGCTGTGGCACCTGTTTAGTTGTCCCCAAAACCTCTGAAAGCCTGTCTTATCCACATGTGGCATAGCAAACTTTCACTTCACTTTAGGTAGGCTGTTGATCTAAAACATACTTAAGCCTAAGGATGGCCTTCTCCAGGTCCCCATAGCACTGACACTGTTCACACACACACACACACACACACACACACACACAAGACTTAAACTGAGAACTAGAGCTGAACAGTTTATCACAGTCAAATCAAAATCGGAGTTGGCGCAAATATGAAATTGCAAAGACTGCAATTATTGACATAAAGGAATGTTCTAAAATCTTTTATGGAAACAATAATTATATATAATATATAATTATAGATGTTTTGTATAAAAAAATCTTGTACCTGTAATTTAGATCTCTACAAACATATTCCGAAATGCATGGGGTTATTCTATTTGTTTATCAGTTGCTGTATTCTTGGTTCTTTCAAATGCTCCTTTGAATAACAACTCTTTTTTCTTTCTTTCTTTCTTTTTTTTTTTCTTAAAAAAATCACTATACCAGAACTTGAACAGGACTAAAACATGACATGAAGACTAAACTGGGTTCAAACCAGGACCAAACCAGGTGTGAAGGCTCCCTCAGAGCATTTAAACCAATAAGGAAGGCCTTCTCCAGGTCACTGTGACAAAGTCTCATAACTAGACTGTAGCTGAAGTTTTTCAGGAAAAACAAAATCTAAATTCTGTGGAAGACTGACTGGGACACTATGGGATTACACCCGGGCTACAGTCCAAACTGAGTTACTCCACATCTGTCTCCAATCTCTGTTCCTGTTGTGGGTGAATTGGAACTATTAACCTCGTCAAGTCTCACATCTAATGAAAGCAGCAGTAATAACAGGTATATTTAAAATGAAATTGTCTTTCAAAGTGTTTAATACTAGAACTGCCAACACAAGCTAGCGGTGCGTGCCCACATAAGATGAAGCCTCTTACCTGCATTCATTAAGGGCTGTGGTGGAGTGTGAAATACAAAGTGAGGCTTGTTACAGATTGAGACAGGAAGTCACAGTCTGTGGCTCAAGCTAACAGTGTCCATCAGCAGTAATTACATCACAGGTCCTGTGTTTATGCATATATATAAGTCTACAGGCCCAGGCAATAGGCTGCACTGGTGTCCTTCACCGACCCCGAGCTTCATGAAGAAACCTACAGTTTTTAATAAACTGTGTAATGTTATTTTAAGTCAAAACTGTCACACGGAAAGACTGATGGAGAAACAGAGGTTAGAATATTAAATATTTACAACGTTTATAATGTTGTTCCTTTAATCTGTATCTGTCAACTAAGCAGTTTGGAGGACTCCAGACTGGCTTTGCCCATAAAACTTGAGTTCACTGCCATGAATGCCAACAGCAAAACAATAAAGCTGTTGCTCAAATTAGAGCTGCATGATGTAGGAAAAAAATAAAACAATATGACAAGTATTGCAATTGTAATTAGATTTCGCATTATATGTTTTAAAAGTGGGATTCTGTTCAGATGAATAAACTGATAAACAATAGAAACCCACCCAATCTCAGAGGTTATTTAGCTTAGTTTTATTATATAACTAATTACAGCCTTTGCCATTTAATACTTGTTCAACTCAAACTGCAATTTCAGTTCGATTGTGATTGTGATATATTGTGCTGCATTTCTATTACTAATCAATACATAAAAGACCATTCATCTAATTGATCCCAGCTTTAGCAATGGTAAAAATAAACATTCATTCATTCCTTTTTCTTTAGTTTTTTCCTCATTAAGGAGAATGGAAACTAGAGACCCGAGGTGTGTTACTGCTTTAGATAAAGACCATTATATTGTGCATAGTTGAAATGTCCTCTCATAATCCCAGGTTTGTGTCCTAACTCGATTCATAAAGAGCCCTGTGCGCTCCCGCTAACAGCCTGCAGACATTGTTACAGCCGCTCCCACAGAGGCTGTTCTAATGCACCTCAGACACAGAATGACTTCATCTTTGGCATCTGAAGGTGTAGTTTACCCAAACAAGAGTGCACTTCTGCTCTGCCCAACAAAAGCATACACACTGTAAGAACTGCTTTGTGCTCCTGTAGAATGCTGTAATGGACATGAATATTTTCCTCCCATTAATCAACCAAATGTCCATCAGGAGGTCAAGCATTTTGACTTTATGTCCTGAGGTAATGGGGAGTGTTATAACAGCTGGAGGGTACAGCTGTCACTCAGTCAAACAGCTGGGATTGTGAAACAGAGGTAGTATTTCCTGTTGACGAGGAAAGAAAAACCAAAGGCTCTGGATAGGAGGCAGGACTACACTCACAGCTACCCTGAGCTCAAACATGTGGAGCACCAGCAGCAGAAGTCATGGTCTCCACCACGGTCGTGGCCACTCATGTCAAAGTATACACCAGGGAAGTATAGGGTTTGTGTATTTCAAATTCCAAGTATTTGTCTTTCAAACACAACCTCAGACAATGGGCTGAACATTACTCAGCTCTGAGGACCTATCATCACATGGACAAGCTGTTTGGGGCCAAACGAACCTCCTGCAGAGGTATGCATGTCCTCATTCAGTTGACAAGAGTTGACCAACTTTCATTGGGGCCACATGACGTGATGACTACAACAGGACTGTGGCGCCCCCTTGAAGTAAGAGTAATCCAGTATTTCTTAACATGGGGACAGTCCTCCTGCCAATGAACAATGACGGTGCAAACTGACAAAGCGATAGTAAATGCGCAGGTCCAAGTGTTCAGTAATCTCAACAGTAAGCCTGTATAAAAGGCACAGACTTTCGTTTGTGAACTGTGTATTTAAAACTCACCGTTACAGGTGCCGTCCTCTGCCAGCGCGTATCCTAAAGTGCAGGGAGCGGTGCCCCTGACTCGGGGATAGCTGGGCTCCACAGATCGAGGAGGACCAGGCAGGAACGTGTCGGTGTAACCCCCGACCCCCGTGGAGGGATTTTGGTACCCCCCTGCCCCCCCTGAGGTGTCGGGGTACACCGGCTCGGGCAGGGCCGGGACCTCGGGTCTGTAGGACTGGCTGTAGAGTCCCCGCGGGATGCACAAATACCCTCCGTTCTGGTTGACGCAGCGCATGTCTCCTCTGCAGGCATCTGGTATAGAGCGGCACTCATCCACATCTGGAGAACAGCATAGATAAGGACATTCCTGCTCCAAACATCTGAGAGCTGTGTGCCCTTTAGAATTACAAGAGATATCTCCCATTACGCAGATCAGCAGTCACTTACCTATGCACTGTCGAGCCCTTCTGTCATAGGCAAACCCCTCCGAACAAGTCTGAAGAGACAGAACTAAGTGAGTAATGTATTTAGTGTGCGGCAAAAAGCAGCAGTGCTGTGCACTTGTCTTCAATTGTGCAAATGAATGAAACTTCACGGTGCGTCTTACCTGTCCGTGCCCGGGGTGAATAAACAGTAGAATAAATACCAAAGCTGCCAACATCCTGAAAAGAGCCACATTTAGTTTTAAGAAATCTCATAGAAACCATCCTCCGCATTTTGTTCAGACAAAATTGCAGGAGGTAAAATACAAACCTCTTGGAGGAGCATAATCTGAAGCCACGCATTTCAAAGGTTTGTTTTGGCTTCTATAAAGTTTCCTTTAAACACGAGACGACCCGTCCGCTCTCCCCGAGTTCCCTTCGCCACTCGCCAGCAGGGCACACACCGCCCCCCACCACTACGCGCCTTTACGCGAGCACCAGGTTTTCATTAGCTGTCCGCGCGCACCAACTGTTCAACTGTTCAGGGGAAGTGATCCCAAAGCGGCCTGTTCCGTCTCTGTCGCTGCAGAATATTTAGCAATGCAAATGAGCGCCCCCAACTCTCTACAGTTCTCCCCACAGCTGGACTCGATCAGCGGCACCTCCTCTGTGTCCCGGCGCTTCTGAGCCGCAGGAGGCCGCAGGCACGAAGCACACAGAGCGCGTCTGTTCAGATACACAGCCCCTCCTCTGCTCCAGCGGCGTGACATCTGGCAGCGCGTGCGGTAGTATCCACATCTGGAACACACGACGCACCAAAAATGACAACTGCTTTACGGACAGCATGATGCACCCCTGGCGCACAAACCTGTTTTCACCTTTCACCGTTTTTATAATGTTAACAGTCTGTCATTGGGAGCCGTTATTGCACATTTTGAATACAATTATTAACAGATGACACTGGAAGAAATATGTTCAGTAGTACCTTTATTTGTTTTGAAAATGCAAATTCAATGGCAACTACCTTAAAGCTTATACAAATGTGATTCTTTCCTGATTTTTATTTATCTATAAAACCCAATGGCTCCAATTTACATTTGTACAGGTTCATTGAAACATCTGAAACTCTGTAGCATTCTTCTTCTAGATTTAAGTCTATACAAAAATGTAGCTTCAGTGGACATGGACTGACAGCTGTCTCAGGTAAAACCATACTTTACATTATCTGTTTTTATATTAACCATTTACAATCTGGATTCACACAGACATCTAACAAAAGTGCAGGCACTTTATTCCATTATTTCCACTGTGCCGATAAATACAACAGCCCCCCCATATTTTATATATAAAACTATATAATAGTTGTGTACTTCAACAGATCCACCGCAGATGCAGCCATAATTGCAAAGCTTATTGCACACTGCAGTCTGGCCAAAGGGAAAAGACAGAAAAGCAAAAAAATGTCTGTATGGTTTTAACAGATGTAGAGGAACCACATAAATCCCAGCACAGATGATGCTGCCAGGTTTAAGCCTGAATCAGAAATAGTTTTCTGCTGAAATGGAAGTTTCTCCTTAAGTATAATGATAAAGATAATTATTCAAACCGTTATCAGATGTCTGCAATGCAATCCTTCCCAAAAGTCCTTTGTTAAATGCACTTATAAAAGATGAGAAATAAATCTTTCATTGCATAGAGAGCAGTTCTCAACAACATAGTGTTTCAGTTTCTCCCAGCAGAGATGATCTTTATTCAGTTGCAGCTCAGTTTGTCTTGTCACTGGTTTGGCGCTGGTCACTGCTTGAGTAAGTCTTTGAGAACAGCAGCGCCTCCACTAGCCTCTCCAGACACAGGCACAGGGGTGAAGGTGGGCAGGGCATCTGAGATGGGCTTCATGAGCAGGTGTCCTGTGGAGGATGAGGGTCCTGGGGCCCCAAGCAGAGGCACAGCAGCAGAGCGAGGGGCTAAGAAAGGGTTCAACTCCCCGGGGCGCTTACCAGGAACCGATCCTAAAGCAAAGGGAGAAAGTTTACATATTTGTAAAAGAATAAGGACACTACACAATGAGCTTGTGCCAAATGATTTAGTCTTTAGAGGATTTAATTTAGAGAGAGGCTGAAGTGCTTGACATGGAGATGCTGCTTCTCCACATTGAGAGACGCTAGTTGAGGTGGTTCTATACCAGCTGAGAAGGGCTAATGGAAAAGCTCTAAAAGGTATAGAGTAGAATAAAACAGAATTAGACTTAGACAAACTTTATTGATCCACAAAGGAAATTATTTGAAGTCAGAATGGTGATTTTCTGTAGCCTGGGAAAGCCTCGGGATGCAGCCAGAGGAGCTGAAGGAAGATTGCTCAGACTGTGATTTCCACTAACTGTAACTAACTGCTTTTTTCCCACCGTTTACCTGTGGTTGAAGAAGAGGTGGCTCCACTGCCTTTTCTCTGTGGAGGAGCATTCAGAGGTTTGATGTCCAGGAGTTTTGGAGCTGGAAGACTCGGAGTTGACTCCATCTCCAGGAACTTCACAAACATCTCAGAGAAGGACTGAAGCAGAGGAGAAAAACATTTAAGGTGCATTGTGAAAGTGATTTATGTGAATTTATATTGTTGTCACTGATTTATATGACCTAAAGGCCACAGAGAAGTGCAGTGGAAATGTTGCTGCAGCAACACTTGAATTTTGTTCGGGATCAATAAAGATCAATAAAGGGATCTCTGTCTGTCTCTGTCCATGTCTCTCTCTCCCCCTCTGTCTCTTTTTCACTCTCTGTCTATATCTTTCTCTCAGTGTCTCTCTTTCCATCTCTCTGTCTCCATTTTTGAGAGACATATTGACATATGTTTAATATAATATCCTGGGGGGTCTTACAGAGTTGAGGGACTGTGTGCTGGTGGGTCTCTGGGGCGTGTTTGGGACACTCTGAGCTCCTCTTCCTCCCAACCAACTCGACACCCAGCCGGTCACTCCATGTCTGCCATCCTCCTCCAGCATCTGCAAAAACACAATAGAAAAGGATAGTTTGCAAAACATTTGCAAAACATGGAATAAATTCAACTTCTAGGTCTACTAGAATACTAACTATTCCTATATTTAAGAGGTCTAAAAATGATGGATAGTAGCCATTTTGTTTAAAGAAACTAAAGCTGAGCAAATAATAATATAATACAAATCTTAACTATATTTCAACTTCCAGGTTATAGGTGACATATTGAGGACTTAGGGAAAAAAAAAAAAAAAAAAAAAAAAAAAAAAAAATATATATATATATATATATATATATATATATATATATATATATATATATATATATATATATATATTATATATATATTTATTATTTATTTATTTATTTTTTAACTGTGTAGATGATGCTTCTTCACTTTTAGGTATTGTTATTTGTAAAGAATCATGAAAAAAGTACATTATTTTTTCACCTAAATCTGTATTTCTCAATATCAACCCCCAAATAACGTCTGTTTTGGCAGTAAAGGGAGATCGCTACTCTACTGGGATGAGTTCTAAATATTTTCTGGATTTGTACTAAAACTTGGAAAATAGTGAAAGGAAAATATAAATGGAATTATCAGTGTCTCATTGTGTGTGTTTTGCTTCAAAACAGAATTGGGCAACACTTTGGACATGGTTTTGAAAACTTCTGCCAGACGACAGAATAAACCGCATTTTGTGTTAATGACCTGCATCAAACTAGAGCCGAGAATTTTACATTGCACAATCTTTCCGGACACAAACTTTCTGATACAACAACTGCAGTGTCATAAGCACACAGGGGCTGTTACGCCATAGCCACCTCCATTTGGTTTGTTTGTAACTAAAAAGTAAACATGGCCTAGTGGTTTGGTGGACCACATGTGACTAGACTGGTCATGATAACAAATTTTCAAGTTTGATATATAGACCCTTTAAAAATGTGTAAACAAAAACATCCTAAATTCTGGAATGGAGGCAACTGGAGGCAAAAGTGAAATGGAACATATGATATTCTGTGATTAATCCTGAGTTCCCCTTTAAAATCACAACATATGAAAATACGTAGAAGATTTTGCAAATGAAAACGCTGACGTTAGAAAATTGTATTGTATTGTATTTTTCCCATCCTCCTTACTAATCTGTGTACTTTGAAAATTCTAAATTATTTATTTTTTGTTATAATGTTGTAAAACATTATTGCACACTTACATCTGCTAATCAGTTAATAATTGGAGGTCTTGCGACGTAGCTTTGGATCTTATCATTATTATTATTATTATATTTCTGTCTGGTTGAAAATATATCTGCTTCACTTTGCCTTCAGTTGCCTCCATTCCCTTATTTTTAACATTCTGATTACAGAGGATTTTAAATGGTCTATTGCTGAAGTAAATATAGACAACAATAATACTGAAACTAATTTATTCCACTGACATAATAACCCAAAAGCAGATTTAAATTATTAGTAATATTGTACAAAAATATGGAATAAACAGTGTATTTCGCTTTTATTTATGTATTCTTTGGTGAGAAACAAAAGTTCAAAAGACAGAATCTGGGTTTGTTTTGGCTTTTCCTGCCTTTGAGCTGATCTGAAAATTAATTTAGCTTTAAAGGTGCACTGTGCACCTTTTCTGATGGAGGGTTTGCAGATTTTATTGGTTTGTCTGGAATGTTCCATAGTATCTCATCAAAAATATATAGCTTTTGTGTTTATTTCGTTTTGGGTTAGGGTTCACTTCACACTACTCCAAAATACCTTGAAAACATGCGTTCTTATGCCCAATTTATGGTCATGCATCAAATTGCCTGTGATGCAGGGAGTCTGCCTTGCTGTGAACTCCCTCCGCAGAGCATCTGTGTCGATCAACATGCACCTCCAAAATTTTGTAACTATGTGCTGAAACAATGCAGACAATAAGGGCTGTGATTGGTCCTCTCTACATCCGCTCTACATACATTTCTGGTACTCCGCTTTCCCGCTTCATTTTGTATACACATAACGGCAGTTTTAAATCCTAGCCTCCTAGAACTGTGGCAGTGAATTACTTTGCGGCGCTTAGACTTCAATGCATATCCATAAATCAAAAATGACAAGGCAACGGCTGCAATGTGCGTTGAGTTGATGCAGAACTATAATTCGGCCTTTACTGTGCTTGGGCTTGCCTTCCCATAGAGCTGACTTGTAACTTGGCCTGATTGTGCCATCTTCTCAAACAGTTTGCTCAAGTTTAATATACTGTGGAATATTCTAGGCAAAGTAATGCTATCTCTATGGGTACAAGCAGGTGAAAATTACACAGTGCATCTTTAATTCAATGCCAGATGTCCTAAATATAACAAAACCATCTCCACTTATCTGGGCTGAACTAGCACAAAGATAACTAGCTTGTGCCTTCAAGCTGGATTTCAAACACTAGTTTACTGTATAATGGAAAAGACTTCTATCTCACTCTAAAGCCATTTAAGGGTTTCCGTGATCGTAATCCAATAAGAAAACATAGAAGAAAAACAATGAGTTTTATCATAATAAAGTAGCGGTCACTTTCACAAAGCCTGACTCTGCACTGGCTCTGAACTAAAGGCTGTTGGCCCTGTTTCATGTCAAGTAGCTGCACTGATTTGGAGGTGATATTTTAAGATTAAACATTGTGATGTTGATTTAAGGAGCAGTGGAGGAAGAAATAGGTCAGATTTTCCAACTGCCCAAAGGTGTCTTGGACTTTTTTGTGTATTAAAAATATATGAGGATTTTAAAAATCTTTTTCAGTCATGACTTTCATAATAACAGTGGTTTGAATTACAACCTCTAACCCTAAACCCCACAAAATTATAAATACTTTTCAGGACATAGGCTTACATACTGTAGGCCAACTAATATGAATCTACTTTTACCACTGAATTTAAATGGTGTTAAGCCTTGTTTAAGACTACAACACCGAAGTCTGTGATCAATACAACTGCTAATGGTCCTGTTCAGGAGTTTGATTTTCTACAAAAAGGTAAGTGTTACTAAAGGAATAACTAATGCTACCTAGCTTGTAACTGTAATGTTTATTGAGAGGAACTCGTTTAACACCCCAAATCAGCCCATATATGGTAGTTCCAGCTAGTTCTAGGTCAGACTGTGTTAAAGTAAAGTTCAGATTAAAGTCAAACTTGAGCAACAGGGCTTCAGACAGTTAGCATCACACCCCCAGAAAATGTTGACCACGTCAGCTGCAAAGTATCAATAAATGAACTCTCCCTCATAGTAATTCTAGTTAATTCAACAACACACATTTTTGGGCGTAGATCAGTCCTTTGAAAGAGTGTTACATTTATACACTTGAAAGTTCTTTCGACAACCAAAAAGATGAAAAAACAAAAGACATCCAAAGAAAATAACAATTTCTCATCAGTATTTCCAGTGATCTTACCTTATCCACATCTTCTCTGCTCAGACCCAGCACACTCCCCATGAGCCTCAGGACATCAGCACGTTTGGATTTCGGAGTATGGAAGTATCCCATGAACAGATTCCTCATCAGGACTCTGGAAAAAAACATCATAAATCAATGTAGGTTACAGAAATATTGAAATATCGATATATCCCAATAGATTTTGGTAATTCATCGTCATGGGTTGCTGTATCAATATACTGGTAATTGTCATTTTTTTGTGAACACACTAAATTTGACTAGGCCTGGTTGTATCATCTTCTCATGCAGTTAAATATACTGTGAAATATTCTAGACCAAGTAATGCTATCTCTATGAAGACAAGCAGGCGACATATCCTTTACCGGAAAAGTTACATAGTGCACTTTTAATTTAATGCCAGATGTCCTTCATATACGAATACTAAATGTACATGTACAAATGTAATACATTTTTAAGCACTCCATTGTAATAGTGTAGTTACTTTTTCTGTGAATTAATGGACTTAATCTCGTGTTTTGTCTAGTGGGAATAGTGCTTTGTCCCATCCTGATCAACTACCACTACCAGTTCCACACTTGTAATAAGAGTTTTGTGATCTTACTTGTCTATTTTTCCTTCAGTGCTGTTCAGGAGATTCATTAATTTCCTCTGGGCTTCCTCCAACATCTCCTGTCTGATGTCCACTGTAAAACAAATAATAATAAGATCTATCTATCCATTTTTATAAGAACCACAAACCCCCTGTTGTACATAATCATTAATAATAAATGCAAACAAAATTATAATCTAAACTAATTATATGCTTGTTTTATTGCTTCTCATTGCAGTAGGCACCCAATTGTGACACTGTTTTCTTAGCAAATTTAGAAAATTTTGGCAATTCCACAATGTCTTTGTTAACTGATGACAGAGGACAGCAAAAATACAGCTTTTGGGGAAATTGAACCAGCAATGCGCCATTTAATTCACAGCTGTTTCCAAATAAACTCAAAACTGTTCTGAGTGACTACTTAAGCTCATATGATGACAATATGGAAAATGTCAAAAACTGAAGAAGATTTAAACTCAGAGAGAAGAAAAGAATCTGAGAGATTGATGTAGAGATTGGCACAGACGCAGATCTAATGCAGGTGTTTTCCATAAGAAACTTCAACTCTGAACCAAGAATCAAATAAAAACACCCTATAGACCATTTCTCCAAAAAACATATTTTTGTTTCAACAACAAAGATTTTTAATAAGGCTGATTTTAAAAGACAACACTAGACTGTATTGTGCCTGTGAGCTAATAAACTTGGCTTGTAAAAGTGAGGCATATGCTTGCCAGCTAAGATCACTATATATGAAAGTGTATAGTTTAGTTAACACATCAGACAAGAAATTCTAGATAGAGAGGTACTATAAATTATTTTATATTTATGAAACTGCACTTAAAATGACAGGCTTACCATACAAAATGTCTGGATATTTATGGATAAAAGCAAAGGTTCACGTCACACAGTTACATTTTGCAATATAACACAAAGAGAGAAATTGTATTCATTGTAATTTCGTGCTGTCTGAACTGTTTTAACAAAATAAATTGTTATAATACTCTTACCTTGTTTTTTCATTTCCTCCAGTTGCTCCTCCTTCAGGTCGAGCTGATCAGTGAGACGAGATGCAGACTCCAAAGCAGCATTGGCTTCATCAAGATTCAACTAGAAAAACAACATACAGTTGAGAGCATTTACTGTATTTGATTTAAACAGAAAACTCTAAAATGAGACAAAAATAATGCTGTATTCACCTGTAGAGCAGATGCTTGCCCTTCTAACCTCTCAGCTTTCTTTCTCCAGTCTTCCTTCTCCCTCTTGTGCTTCTCCAGTTCAGCTGAGTACATGGCTTTCTCTTCTAAAATACAACATAAAGATCCCATTTAAATCCAACAGGCTTTGTAGCTGAATCATGCTCAAATTCAATTAAATACAGTCAAAACAATGACATTTTGCAATATATAAAACAGAACATGCCTTGTTGAAACTGCTCTAGCACCATCTGCAGGTTGGAAAGTGACACTGCGTACTGTTGCACTTGGTCTTGAGCTGTCCGGAGTTGAGCGTAAGCTTCGTCTCTTTGCCTCACAACTCCACTGAGCTGCTCCTGTAGGGACTCCACCTGCATACTGGCCTGTTGACTGGAGTAAAGGAGACATTTGTTTGGATATCTGAAAAGGTTTTGTTTTGGTCAATTAAAGTGTTTATTTGAATTAGGGATGCAATGATATTCAATATAATATCGAATCGTTTGATACTGGTCTCACGATTCCATATACATGCACACGCGTTGTGTTGTCATTTATTTTGGTCGCAAAGGAAAACAGTTATCACAGTGTCCTTCTCAGATGCTGGAAGAACACCACTCCATAATGACTTACAGCTGAAATATTCTAACAGAGGTGAGCTTTATCTTTGTCACTTTTTATCTCATGTTGACCCAGGAATGACAAAGATATTAATTTTTAAATACTTTAGAATCATTTTTGGTTTTACATTTGCCTTCATTAAATGTGTTTATATCATACACTGTATAAAAGAAGTGGACTAAGCGAGTGTGACGCCACCCATAGTTTTCAGCGTCACTCAAATAAGGCTCACAATGCTAACGGTTACAGGAGTGAATCTGGAGCCAGGCTCTGTGTTATGAATAAGATTTTTTGAAAGCCCACTGCAGCAGTTACAGAGAGAGGGGTGACAAGATCCCAGTGTAAGCCAATTGAAGCCAGGGGCAGAAGGAGCCGGAAGAGCTGCCCGAAGCACTTCCTATTCAGCACGAGGCGGCTAGTGCATTAGCTATATCCACTCATATATACGGTCTATGGCTCGTATATGCTCACACAGCGCAGTCCGCAATATAGCAATCTTTTTCTCAAACTTTATCTCATAAGTTTTAGTCAGAAAACAGTCTGTTGATACATTTCTATGTAATATGACATAGTTTTAGTGTCCATAAAGAGGGTGGGAGAATGCAGTGTCTCACAGACTGTAGCAGGGCAGTGTGCACACAGTGAGAGTGTGCTGTACAGTGCAGTGCGGACACAGGCATGAGGCATGTGCACACAGTGAGAGGACTAAAGAGAAGGACTAAAAGTGTGATAGCGTAACTCCCCTACCACTCTATATTAAGAGTAGGCTGGCTATATTATAAAATATAAAATAGCCTGAGAAAGTACTGTTCTTATTTTCACTGAATAAAAATTCAGAGCTGTAAATTACTTAACCAAATGAACTAAAACACTTCACTGATAAACTACAACTTTACAGTAGTTCTACTGTAATTGTATGTAATATAATGTTTCATTAACATCATAGTGTTATTATATTGTACTCATTAGCAGAAAAAAATTACATGAGATTTTTTTGCATCTTAAAAAGTATCAAAATCAAATCAATCATATATCAAGATATGTAACGAATTGTGGGAAAATAATATCGTTGCATTCCTAACTTGAATACAGTATAATCTTGCTTTTCTCCAGGAAAAACTGAAATGTCAAAAGAGACATTCATGAATTAGCTTATCGTGGTTCTAATTGCATTCAGACCACCAGAGGGCAGTGTTGAATGTATTGAATGGTCCCTTTGCACAAGTGCAATGAATATTCAGTGGTTTGTTTTATGTCAGCACGTACCAGTTAAAATGAACTGTACGGTTTTAATAATAAATTTACATACAGTTTATGTGATATATAGTTACATTGCTATAAAATGCAACTATTAATAGTCCTCTTAATCAGTTCAATAATTAGTTTCTTACCTAGCGTTCTCCACTGCGCTGGAGGACGTGGCCAGTCTCTCCTCCAGCAGCACCACCCTCCTCCTCAGCTCTGTCTCTCTGTCCTCTGCTGCCAGCGCCTCTCTTGTGTATGAATCCTCAATCTCCAAAAGGTGATTACGAAGTCTCTCCAACTCCAGGTTCAGACGCTGCTCTTTGTCCTTCACATGCTGAAGCTAAAACAGTTTAAAAATGCTTTTGAAAATATTACACTTAGCAGACATTACAAGAGTTTTAGTTTTGTCAAGTCATCATCACAACATAATCTTTGATGAGATCTTTCACCTTTCTGCCCTATTATATAAACTTTAACAAAATTTTCCCTTGCTATCTAATATATTCCACAATAATAAACACAACAACAATAATAATAAACTAATTACTTTAATTTACTAATTTTCAAACATGATTTGTACAATTATATTTCCTGATAGTAAATTGCCATTACCTCAGTCTGCACAGCTGTGGTCTCCATTTGTTTTTGCTTAAGAGCCATCATCACTTGGTCCCTCTCGTGTTGAAACGCCACTGCTTTGTCTTGCATAGACTTCAACTCATTCAGGAGCTGGTTCAACTCTCCAGACTTGCCCTGCAGAAAAAAATATATATAAAATGAAAATGTTCTTTTCATTTCTGATTGAATCATATTTTTTAAATATGTTTTTGCTCAAATTTCTTTTGTGCATGTCAGCTAGGGCTGCACAACAGATTATGATATTAATCATTGTGTCAGCCAATATCACTATATTTGCAAGAAAATAAGTATATTGTAACAACATAAACTTCTCCATTTTACAGTGATATGTATTCATGAATCCCACAATTTCTTTTTATTACCCAGTTAGACTAGTAAATGAAGGCATTTTTGGTTTAAATTAACCAAACTTATTGTGCCAAAATGTATATAAAAAAAATAATGCAATAATATTGTTATTGCAATAAAAAACACTTATTGAATATTGCATCTTTTTCATAAAAAATCTGAGCTAATTATTTGGGTCATCTGTTTGTGCTAGTTATTGGATTACTAACCATGTAAATGTACCTAATGTGCATACATTTTTTATTTTATTTATTCATTTGTTCTAATTTGACATTATGCAACAAAAACAAAAATGGACAAAAACACAAACCCCACTCGTCTCCACACTCAACACATACACAGAACTACACAAAAACCACTGGGTACACAAATATCAAATGTCAGTCAAGTCCAGTCCTGTCGTACCCAGATATTTGAATAAAATAGACTGACCTGCTCCTTGTCCTTGAGCATCCTCTCCACTGTGGCAGACTTCTCACTCATGGCGCTCAGTTCAAACTCTTTCTCTCGTAGCAGCAGTGAGACTTGCATATTCGTCTCCTGTAATGCTCTAAACTCAGACTCTTTCTCTCTCGACTTTGCTGCCACTGCTTCGTTCTCCTCCTTCAGCTTCTTCACATCCATCTCCAAAATCAGCGCACGCTCCTTCAAATTGGTCACGGCTTGCTTCAAAACTTCATTGTCATTTTCTTTGTTTCTCAAAGCCTCGCTAACGTTACTCAACTGATCACCTTTGGTTTTTATAAGCAAATCTTTCTCACGAACTGTTCTTTGCAATGCGTCTAGTCGATCTTTAACTTGTCTCACCTCTTCTACGTGACTTCTCTGCTCCATTTCTGAAGCAGATGCAGAATTTGCAAGTCTATGATTGTTTTCTTGCAATGTTTTTATGATGTTGTCTTTCTCAGCTAGCTGGCTACGCAACAATGCTACCTCTTGCGTATCATCCTTTACTACTGAAGATGTTTGCTGGATTTTTACCTCCAATGGTGCACTTGCTTGACCAAGTTCAGCAGTAGGAGCTACACTGTCCAGTTTCCCCAATAAGACATCCTTTGTAGAGCTCAGTTGTGTGATTGTCTGTTGAACCTGAGCTAACTCTTGACTCAAACTTCCCAGTCTTCTTTCCTTTTGTTCATAGTTTTGAATGAGGCGTGCGTAATCAACCGACAATTTAGAACTACAATCACTATCAGCCGAAATCTGGTTTTGCAATTTGAGAAGTTCTTCTTGAAGTTGTGCCGATTCGTGTTGCATGTTTTTAACTGTTGTGATCACCTGCATTTTCCACTCCTCCATTTTCTTAACCTGTTGTTTTAAAGTATCTCTTTCTTGTAGTAACTCTTCAAATTGATTACTACTGACCCCACCAGATCCTCCACCTGAATCGCCTCCCGAAGTTTGCAAGACTGTGACAAGCGTCTGGCATTTTTGCGTTAGGGCATCAATTTCGATATCTTTCTCTCTGATAATTCTGGATAAATTTTGAATAGTCTCTTTGAACATTTCTTGACTACCAGTTGGATCGCTCATATTTGAAAGCCGTACGTTTTCTTGTTGTAGTTTTACCAACGCAGCCTCCTTCCCAGCCATAATATCCATAAGGCGATGATAGTCAGACCTTAACTGGCTATTTTCTCTAGTTTTCTCATTCAAAACTGCTAGAACTTGCTCCCTTTCCACTGCGTAAGCTTGGATCTGTTGTTGAAGGTATAAGATGTCCTGGTTATGACCTCCTCCACCCAGAGACACCCTTGCGTGAAGCGCTTGAATCTCCAAATCTTTCTGTAAAATCATTTGCGAAAGTTTACCAACCTCATCGCGAGACACAACCAGCTGATCCAACTGCTTTGTAAGGGACATATTCTTCTCATTCAACTGACTAATTTCTGTCTCTTTTTCCTTTATACCTTTGACCAGTTTGTCGATCTCAACTTTAGACAGATCATGTTTTTCGTTGCCATTTTCTTGGTTTAGTGTTTGCGTCTTATCTTCTTGCAAAATGATTTCACCAGGGGTAGACTCAAGCCTTCTTTCTCCTAATCTTTCAATATTTTCTTTCAATCTTACAATTTCTTCATCTTTGGCGTGAATCAGCCGATCATAATTAAGTGTTGATTGTTGGAGCCTTGAGTGGGCCTGCTCTAGCTCACTTTGCTGAGTTTGAATGGATTTCTGCGATAGGACAAGAGAAGCTTGCTGTTCCTCCAATGTCCTCTTTAGCATATTTACCTCTTCTTCCAAACCATTACGAGAAGATTTAAGTTGCGTGATTTCAGTTTCTAATTCGGTAATTATGTCCAAAGTCCTAGGTTCAGATTGTATTTGCGGCCTACTTTGCTGGTCCCTTAATCTATCAATCTCCTCTTTCAAATGACTGTTTTCTTCTTTCATACCTCCCAACTGTCTATCTTTCTCTTCCACAGCTTGTTTAAGGCTTTCAGTTTCCTTAGTTGAAATCAAAATTTTACTTTCCAGTTCTTTCTGCAATTCCGCTGCATTTTGTTTTAAAGTTTCCACAAACATGTCTTTCTCTTGCAACAAGTCAGTGAGCTGTTTCTGCCCAGCAACAGTCATGGAAAGCATCTCATTGGTGTCTCTGTGATCAGACGCCAATTGCTCTATGTCTCTTTTAAGCTGTCCAATTTCCATTTCTTTCTCTTGGTTGAGTTTGATAGCTTTTTCATGTTCAGTTTGTAAAGCAGTTGCATCCATAGACCTTGCTCGGGTCAGTTCATCTATAGTTTGTTGATACTGTTTTGCTTGGTCTGCCAATGTCTTCTCAACCTGCTGTAATTCACTTTCCAATTGTCCTTTTTCTAACTTCAAAGCTTCAATGCGTGTCTCTTTCTCTCGTATAGTCCTGTTCAAACTATTCTGATTTTCAACCATTTGTTTATTTATCTCCTCAATCTTTGCAGTTTTATCATCACAATC